GTCCCGGGACTCGGTGGTGGGGTTGGTGGAAGGGCCGGCGACATTGCCGGCAGGGATGGCTGGGGAGGGAAGGTTGACAGGAATCGGACCTGTGGATGGGGGGGCAGCAGTTGGGAGATCGAAGGTCTGGTCGCCTAAGGCGTTCCAGGCGAGGACCTTGGGGTACCAGGCGTGCCTCAGAATGCGAGGATCGTCATACCCGATGGAGTGCCAGTCTGGCCAGACCTTGGGAACCATGTTGCGGATGCGCTGGAGCTCTTTGGAGCACGAAATGATGAGGCCGGGAATAGGACCATCCCCGGACCCATACTCCTTGGCTACATCAGACTACCAAGATGTTAGAGAAGAAAAAGCACCCAAACAAAATACATACCACAAGTGTAGCAACCTGTTTTCCCAAAGCCGAGTGGCTGGGACCCGGGGGAATCTGCCGGGCGGCACTGATGATGGCCATGATCTGGGCAGCGGATGCCTTGAGATGGGTCAAAGAGTTGTCAACTGGAGTGGACATGATGAGTGGGTTGAGAGATTTAAAGATCTTGAAATCAGATTGAAATCAGTTATCAGAAAGATGAAGTTTCAAACAAACAAGACATTTGATGGGCGATCCACAAAATCGTTTATTGTTTGTGTTTGTTTGGTCGTGTTCAACTTTCGGCAATTGCCGGCTTTGTGTTGAACTTCGAAGTTTTTTAGATCATCAGTCAATCAGTCCACCAATTCTCCACACATGAGTGCCCATCCAGCCGTTAGATTTAATGACCCACCGGTGACCGACTATAATTCTATGGATGTGGATGACTCATCTATGGGCCGGGCATCACTAGGTATGTTGTATTCTTATCATGCCTTATCTATTCACCGGGTATCCCTTAGATGACTTAGATGACTTATACCTCGGGCCGGATGATGACATAGAATATGATTCTATGTCATCCGGACCCCCGGATGCGTCGGCTGCAATACCCGGTATGACTATACATTACTGATGACCTGGGATCACCATGCATGCTAACTTCACCCTTGAAGATCAATCACATCCGGGTCAAGCTGATGATGCCAGCTGTCTCATTGATCCAGACTTGTACCTCGGGCCTGAGGATGATGTCATTGATGTTGATGAGTTGCTGGACTCTGCTGATCCTCCCACTTTTGCTCCGGCTACCTCAGAGGTGTCTATTTCATGTGGGTCCATTCATTCTGGACCATTATGGAGACTGATCTTATCTCCCAAGCCGACAAATCATCTACCGAACTCCCTGCAGACCAGCCGGAGCTCAATATCGAGGATGTACGGTTGATGGTCCGGGAGCTCCATCCTTTCGGAAAATACCAACACCCAGAATGTGAGTATCTGAAAGCAGAGCAGTTATCTTTGAGCTAATCTTTCTGGAAGACCAATCCGTCCAAGATCGACTCCATGATTACAAACGCCGTACTGGAGGTCTTCCTGACCCTTCCATCCAACAACTAATCGAGGCCGAGCGTCCATTCCGAACTGCTTGGGCAGAAACATCCGACAAACTGAAAAAAGCTGATGCAGACCTGCAGAGGTTGCAAAGAGTTGAACAGATGAGCATTGAAATGCTCAGGGTAGTAGATTCCATGATTGAACACTTTGAAGAACAACTGACCATGTAAATTACTGCATTGCAACCTGTGAATTTTCATTGACATCCCCACATCATGTACACTACCGAATTTTTCAATACATGTCCCCGGGTGTCGAACGGGACTCGATACACGATGGTCGGGATTCGATAATTGGGACTCAACACTCGGGACTCGATAGTCGGGACTTGATGTTTGATATTCGGGAGTCGATAATCGGGACTCAACACTCGGCACTCGATTTTCGGGACTCGATGTTCGATGCTCGGGACTCGATGCTCAATAGTCGGGACTCGGTGTTTGACGAATCTCGGGGTTCGGGACTCGAGGTTCGATAGTCGGGATTCAATGTTTGTGACTCAATAGTCGGGACTCAATAGTCGGGACTCATAGTCGGACTCAATAGTCGATATTCGACTAGTGGGGACTCTGCATATCATATTAGGTCTGATATATGAAAGTTACACATTGACATGTAAATACAAGCAGGTAATGGCAGGCAGTGTAGTATCAGCCCATTACTTCTTTCCCCTTGCTCTCGTCACTCGAGTGCTTGTGTCCAATGGCTGCTGTGTTGACTTACTCCGGGTTGTCCTCGCCGATGGCTCAATCACCGCTTTCTTCCCCGCATGTTCTTCAGCGCCGGCGACCTATTGACTCGTTCTGTTGCACCATCCTCCTGAACATTGCGAGTGACTCTCGCAGTCAGCCCAGTCAGGAGGTCGCCCATTCGCGATGTCAGCAGTGCACCAGTCTTCCCTGCATTGACCGGGCGAGGCTTTGGAATTGCATGTGGGACCGCTGTCCCTTCATGTGCTGTCGAAGGACCAGGCTCTGTTCTGGGTCTCTTTTGCGGGGATCTACCTTCCTCTGTGTCATCATCAGCATCATCCTCCATGTGATGAGTGTCGTCCTCGGGATTGCTCTCTGGATCACTCTCGTGATTGGCCTCGGGATCACTGTCAGTTTCGGTCGATGAATTCCGAGGCCTTCGGATCATAACTCGTCTGGCATTACGAGTCCGATGAGAAGGTGAATTTCCGGATACAACCGAGGCTACCATGTCCCCATCTCTGTTCCTCCATGCTTTGAACAGGAATGTTGGACCTTCGCCTTTCTCCTGCCGAGCATACCAGAAATTCAGTAAGGCGGTCGTGTCCCAATGTTGCAACTTCGAAGGCTCCTTCAAGTCCACATCCGCCGGAAGATATGTTCTTGCCACAAAGTCATCCTGACTTTGTACGATGGCGCTCCATGGCACAACTGCCTTGACAATCCCAGAACAGATACCTGTATAAATGCATTCAACAAATGTTCGGGTGTTGCGACGACGGACTCACGATAGTGCGATGTGAGAAATGCTCTGACGATGGCTTTCTTCTCCTCAGTTTCGTCTCGGTGATGTCAGGAAGCACCGGCATCCCATCCCCATCAATTTCGAGTTCGAAAGCAGGCTTCCTGATTCTCTTTCGACCTCCATTCACCTGTCGCCCACCATCTCGTGCCCCAGCACCTATCATGACAAAGATCAACCAATTCATTCCAGTAGCCAGAGATCAAACACTCACCGAATTGTTCCTGCGCGTACTCCTGCCAAACTGGCTCGATGTCCTCCCAGTCCTTCGTCTTCATGAAACTTTCCCCATCTCCTAATGCCTCGTTATCATCGTGCCTGCATGAAATGTATTGAGATCGAAGATCTGCGATGACAAAATTGACTTACATCCCGAACAGCACCTCTCCCTGTTCATTCTTCCATGCCGACATCACAAACACTCTCATCCCGCATTGCCTCCACATCTCCTTCGAAAAGTGCTCCATATACGCCGGTCCCTTCTTACGAGCCACTTGTGCTTGTATCTCGGGAGGAGGAAAGTTGCTGGACCATTCTTCAGCCGTGTCTTTCGCCTTCTCCAACTCATCATCGGACAATTCAGCCATGACTCTTTTTACAGCCGCCTGATAATGCTTGAACATACCGGGACCTCCTGGCTTTGCCCCGGACTCGTCCTCAATCCTCTTCAGCACCTCCTCCCGTTTCTGCTGGTAGATCACCTGCCTAGGAGTCCATTTCCTCCCATACTTTATCATGTCCTTCCTCTCCTTCTTTTTCTGGTTGTTGAACAACCATGTCTTGTACATCTGAGAGTTCATGGAAGAATAAGATGTTAAAATTTTAGTTTTGAATGAAGCAAGGATGAATCACCTGCTTCCTCTTCTTCCATTGTGCTTGGTCGACCTTGGGAGCAAATAGCCTGGCAGCCCTAGCTATGGCAGTGAAAACTGCCCTCTTCTCAATCCTTTTCGCCGAAGTCCACTCAGGAAGGTAGTTCTTCAACTCCGAAATTTCGTTATCCGTGAGCTTCTGTGTCTGTGGTTGACGCGCCCTATGTCTTCCAGAAGTGGAAGTCAACTGAGTGGAATGACCTGATCTTGCCATTGTGAATGAGATTGCAGAAAGGGCTGAGGATGAGCAAGGTGGAAGTAATAACGGTGACAAGTTCAACTTTGAGCAAAGCCTAACAGTTGGTTAATCGACCCATAGTGGACGCAATTCCATTATTGGAAATGAATTTGTAATGACGCATCAAGCCCGCATAAGATCACATTGCAATAACAATTTATTCGCATTCCTGAGCTCGTGCTTTGCTTGCAGCCTTAGAAAATAACATGAAGATAGGTAGATGCACCCCACTGCAAAGATCCCACAGGGTAGAAGCAAGGGGAAGCAGAGGTAGGAAAATTTGGGTCAAGGTCCCACTTGCAAGCACAAAAAGACGTGCATACAGGTGCCTAGCTCTCCACAGAAATCACCAACACTTCGGCCTGTTGAGGCACCACCTCTTTGGGAAGACATTCCTGACAATACTTACGAGCAAGACCAAGGCTCATTTGAGCCTTTGCAACTCCCAAAAACCATGGCAAGTTCATGTAAAATGTTGCATTGCAATTCAAATGATAGCTAAGTATAACAAATCCAGAGTCAGAATGACTACCTCAGGCAATGGCTGCCAAGGCAGAAATCATATCTGCATCACCTCCTGGATCGAGAAGCTCCACCAGAAGATAGGAGATGCGTCGTCTGCGACCAGGATGGGGTCTACAAATGTCAAGATTGTCTTGGGGAGCCACTCTATTGCACTGGCTGTTGCAGAAGTCAACATCTTTGCAATCCCTTCCATTGGATCAGTCAATGGAATGGTCAATTCTTTGAGCAAAGTTGTCTCGCTCACGTCGGACTCGTCATACACCTCGGTCATGAGGGCAAACAATGTCCGGTACTTACGGATAGGTGGGACTTGTTCGAAGAAGACGAACCGGAAGACCAGCTTGAGCCTGAAGATCTACCATCTGTGTCGGGACCCGAGTTCCAGCCGAAGGAAAACACCATGGTCATCATTGACAAGTCCGGAGTTCATCGCCTCCGGGTTCGATGCTGCGATTGTCCAAATGCCATGAGTCCAGACCTTCAAATGTTTCGACATGGATTTTTCCCCGCTTCATTTAACAAGCCGAAGACTTTATTCACCTTCAGGGTTCTCGATGATTTTCTATGGACAACCTTGAATGTGGGACCTCGGCGATGAACTATTACAGCAAGCTCCGGCGAATGACCTCGAGGATGTTTCCACACCTTGTACCGGTAATGCCATGTCTCTCTCATCTAAAGGACATTATATTGACAAGGCATGGGGCAAGGACCGATACCGAGAGCTCATGAGAGTCGCCCGACAGTGGAGGCAGTTGAAGACGATGAAATGGCATGGCTTCGGCCATTGTTCCGACAGCCCGAATGCAGGAGATCTCGCATTATTTTGCCCGGCATGTCCTCAGCCTGGGATTAATGTGTCCTTCTCAGGGGATGAATCACTTGATGAGTGAGTCTTCCTCGATACCGAAGTCACCTCAGCATAATAACAACTCCAAGGTGGAAATACACCCGGTCATTTGTTATGGATGGAAATTTCAAAGCTGAACACCTGCATCCCATGAAGCCATTTGATGAAGTTTGGCTGTCAGATGGGTTGGGATTCATGGTGGGAAAGGACAGGTATAACACGCATCTTGCAGAGGCTGCCGACACTTTAGAAAAATCAAGCTGCAACAATCACCGGGCAGTAAATCAAGCAAATGCGGCTCGGCACAAGCTGGAATCCACGGTATCGGGGGAGTAGCCTGTGCGAGACACGGTTGCTTTGTTCCTCACTCGATGGTAGATTTTCAGAAAGGCGAAAGGCAAGCCGACCCAGCCATTCGATATTCACGAGTTAACCATGCATCATTCGCAGACAAATGAACATGGACTATGCCCTTTGTGAGGCTGCCCCACAACATGGAAGGCATCACCAGGGCGGTGAAGGATCTTCAACTCAGCTGAGGGTGCAGCTGATATAATTGTTGAAAGGAGGAAAATATGAGTGCGATATGTTCGTCCCTTAGGGGAAGCGGAGAAAGCAAATATCCACTGGTCAACTCTAGGGGGAATGCGCAAAGCGCGTGATAAGGCGAAAGCGCGGGAACAAAGGCGCTATAGGCGCGCGAAGCGCGGGAAAGTCGCGCGTCGAAAAGCGGAACTGGGTGAAAGCGGTATGCGAGCGATAGTGAGATGTTAAGACGTGTACTGAGATGCTGATAAGACAACTGATGCGGATATGGCCACTAGAGCTAACTGCTACTAGGGCTTGCGATGATTTATTCAAAACATAATAAAACTCGGAGATGGTGACTGTCTATGATGATGGTGGTCCCTGGTAATGTGTGTTGTTAAGTAAAAAATGTGTAATGAAAATGTGTACCAAGTGAAATAAACATGGTACGATGTTGAAATAAATGATAAATGGAGAAATGCATACCTGGGAACTTGGTTGGACATGGGAAAACACAGTGGGAAGTCAGGCGCCCTATAGCGCTTAGGCGCGGAAAATTCGCCTAAAGCGCGCGCAAGTCGCGCAAGTGTCGCCTATGTCGCGGAAGTGTCGCCTAAGTCGCGCACGTCGCGCGAACATCACGTTTATCGCGCAAGTGTCGTGTTACATGCATGATACTGTAGACTCGACCTATGTTGCAATATGTGCCATTGTGAGGCTACCCAGGATCGAGTCTCTACAGCGGTCACCTTCTATGATATCAACTGTCAATACAACAAGCACTTTCGGGTTCGGGTGGATCGAAGCCGATTTCTCGAAATGATTCCGGAATTGACCATCATTCCCGGAATCGGGTTGTGGCACATCCCCAGGGACATCAAGGACAGCTTGCTATGTCCGATATGTGGTCGAATTTTAATCGAAGGCATCTGGGCGGATTGATGAGAGATCATGGAGACCCTATGGTCACGTCTCAACCTGAGTTCCCCTGCTGCTCGGGGAATGACAGCCCCGCATCGAAGGAATGTCTCAATTATCAGATGAATGATTCCAATTCTGCAAGATGATCCGCATGAAAAGGACCCTTTGCCGAAAATACAAGCAGGCGAAGAATGGCATTGCCGAAAGTGAAAAGGCTTTCGACATACTCAATGAAGCAGCACCCAGCGATTCAAAGACAGAGTGGCTAGCCAGCGAGAGGATCGCTCAGTCCAGCAGAATAAATAATCCTGCGGCTATGGATGTATATGAGATTAATATCAAGAAGGGTTAGTTGACTTTGTCTCCATCAAAGTCTGAATTTAATTTTGCATTCAGCACCGAGCAAAAAGGAGATCGAGCTTAGGCTACTAGAGGAGGGTAATGCCCGAAATGCAGCACCTGCTCGCAGGTCTGTGGCGACATGGATATCAATGGGGTTGGCGATTGAAGAGGCTCAAATCGCATTGCTCATCGAGGTCCGAAGGATTGGTAGAAGAACTACCGAGACACAGAAGTTAGACATCGCCCGGCAACGCGATCGTCTCCAAGGCCAGATAGATGGATTCACTCGGTCTGCTATTACGCATCTCGGAGAGGGATTTGATGCAGATGATGATCCTGAAGACTTGTACTTGGACATTCTTGATGATCTCGATGATGACTTGGCAGACTTCACCGAGACATCTGACACATGGGCAAACTACCCTGAGCTCACTGTAATCCCATTGCCATCAAACCTCGGGGTAGATCGATGCAGACGCTGTATGGCAGACGATCTCATTCCGCTGGAGATGTCTCTTCGTGAAGGGCAGGCCAATGACTCCCTTCACAACCTCCGAATTCACTTGTGCAACAAGGCGATTCTGTTTCGAACAACAGTTAGGCAAGCCAAATCCCAGGCCCTGAAAACTCGAGCTTGGTCCCAGGTGACGTCGGTGCAGCAGGCAGTGTCCCTCCATGCCAGTATATATACGAAGACGAGGAAGCAAATGATGCAACTGGAGCCAGGGCAAGACCAGGTTCAGAAATACAAACCCCTGCTTCGAGAGCAACTCAAAATCAGCACTGCCGTCGGCGATCCAAATGCCCGAGGTCAGCGAAACGAGTCCCTCACTTGGTTCTGGTCAGTCGAAGTCGACCTTGGGGGTCCCAATCACTCGTGGAATGAGGAATGTGAGTTCGGGCATGCTTGATGTGTCCCGCACTCAGCTGACGGAGTCATCCAAAGTTTACCGAGTTCATTGGCTCCGGGCAAAGGCACTACGGGATCGATGGAAGGAAGAAATGATGTTGGTCCAATTGGAGATGGATTGGACATGTAACTTTTTCTTGTGGAAAGCAACCCAATGGGGTGACAGGATGCGCGAATCATTGGTGAAACACCTTCCGGGTCATGCATGCTACTCGGGAAGGCAATCCCAAATGTATTCATTGCTGGCACAGGATGCCCAGGCAGCATTTCAAGACCTGAAGACCGGGTTTATAGATGCTCGAGATGAATGAAATTTTTTTGCCAACGATGACCCAAACATTTTAGTCCCGGGAATTGGCCGGGTCGACCCATGTCGGAGTTTGAAAATTTTTATCAATCAACCAGTGGCTCATATCTTGACCTCCGAACCAACTGCCATTGTCATTGTCATTTCCAGCTTCATAATCCTGCATTAACCATGTCTGTATTGCATACTCCCCCAACATCCCCTTCTAATTCTCAGACTTCCGGCAATGGGTTCCGACCCCTCACACTCACTCAGGCAGATATTGCAGCTACAATGTCAATGGCTGCATCTCGCATCCGAGCGTCCATCTCTCAATATCAGATGGAGGCTGCCCACACCCAGGAGCCATCTGCTACTCGGATCACGCACTTTAAAGCCGGGCTGCAATGGGAGATAGCTGTAAGAGGCTGATGACTGTGGTGGTCAATGCTGACATTTCCAACAGACTTTTGTGACTCCCATCCTGCAGTACTCAGCTGCAAGGAATATCATTTCGGTTGTTCCGAGCCCGGTTGCTCATATTCTTCAGTTGATTCCCGAGCTCACCTGGAACATGGTTCCGGACCACATCTTTTCATCCCACCTATGCCAGTTTCAAGACGCTGCAGATCTGGGGGATCCCTCCCGCATTGTATCCACCTATGGTACTCCATGGTGGACCAGATCAACTGCCATCCCGAACGAATTATGGCCATGGGATCAGGTATTCGCTAATTGTGTCTGTCACTACCAGCATTGGCTAGTAAGACTTTTACAGAATTTCCTTGAGTGATGACTAATCCTTTCTAGTCTGGCGTTGAGGACGAACGTCTTGTTGTTCCCGAGCAGGTGGATGAAAGCTCGGTTGCAACACTGAAGGCACTGAGGTGGATGAGGGAACACCTCCTGACAGTGATTGAGGATCAACAAGCTGGCATCCGTGAAAAGATGGCAGAGATTCAGATGTACACCGCCGTCCTAACCAAATTGAACCCAAGGGGACCAGAGTAGTTCTAGTCCTTCAGTTCAGAATGTTGAAGTCTAAATTCTGTACATGATGAAATAAGTACTGAAAATTACATACTGACTTTCGAATATCTGACCTATTGCTATATGCTGAGTCCTGCATACCAAATATTGAGCATCGAGATCCAGATATCTTGAGTTCCAAATATTGAGTCCCAAACATAGAGTCCCGGATATCCAGTCCCGAAGCCCAAGATTCGAGACGAGACTTGAAACTCGAACATTGCTATGAGTTGCGAGTTTTGAGTCCCCACCGAGTCCTGACAATCAAGTCCCACAGCCTGACTATCGAGTCCCAACCATCGAGTCCCAACCATCGAGTCCCGACAATCGAGTCTTGAAACCCGAGTCCTGACAATCGACTCCCGAAGCCCGAGATTTGAGTGCCGACCATCGAGTATCGAGTCCCCAATATCGAGACCCAAAACCCAAGCAGCCCGAAGCCCGAGATTCGACACGAAACAAATCAAAACTCCAAACACCACGACACTTTCTTGAATCACCGAGTACCGAAACCCGAGTACCGGGTACCGAGTCTTGAAACCCGAATCCGCACTATCGAGTCCCAACTACCGAGTCTTGAAACCCGAGTCCCGACAATCGACTCCCGAAGCCCGAGATGTGAGTGCCGACCATCGAGTATCGAGTCCCTATTATCGAGACCCGAAACACGAAGCCCGAAGCCCGAGATTCGACACTCGAAACAAATCGAAACAAAACTCAAAACATGACACTCATCAATTTTGGGAGTTGTTTTCTTGAATCACCGAGTACCGGGTACCGTGTACCGAAACCCGAAACCCGGTACTCGGTAGTCGGTGAAATCGAATATCGAGTCCCGACTATCAAGACCCGAAACCCGAATGTTGAGTATGGAGTGCCTGACATCTAGTATCATGTATTTGAAGGTGGGTACTAACACGGGTAACTACCTTTCTACTTCTTCCAATCCAACCTTGCCCATCCACACGACGGAATCCCAGCATAAACATGAACAGCATCCCTCATATACCATGCCCAGGCAATCCGATCCCCTTCCACTGCATGAACCGCGTGTCTGACAATCCTTCCCGAAAATGCAATCATGCACCCCGGATCGTACCTTAACTCTAGCTGCAGGCTTGGCATACTCATCCGAGCATTAGAATAATTCCCCACGCTAGTGAGAATATCGAAGCATTCGGAAATCGATGAGGGGTCTCGATGATTCGGGGTTTCCCGATTGCATATGATGGTGAGGCTGTTAAACACCGTTGCCCAGTACTGGAGAGTCTCTGACATCTTCGGCAGTTCCTTGCTTCGTGCCTTTTCTCCGAGGCTCGCAAAGGCTTGCAACCCTGCCCAGTACTGCTCAGGATGCATCACCCTGAGTGCCGCTGTGGCAATGGCTGCTGGCCTCGCAATGGCTTTGAGGATGTTCTCGGAGGATGGTCCCTTCAATGATGCAGATACCTCCGGATCGGACTGATTCTATGGGATTGGTGAGTTTAACTACCGAGATCGCCATCTCATCAGATCCTACCTCGTGCCCCTGCTGAAACCATGCCGGAGATAAATTAACGCATCCGGGAGTTAGGACATCATTTTCCGAGCTTGGTGTGAACCACTGTTGATTAGTCCGCCAAATCCCATCGAGCTTTATGCTTTGTTCGAGCATGGGAGCTAGCAAATCCGAGGCCGCCCAAATTTCATTCTGTACGTACCATTTGATGTTCAATATCCATCCAGTCACAATATATATAACACACCTGGGTGGCATCGGTCAAGGCGTCTGGGAGGTACCATGCGATGATGGCACCGGATGCATCAAGAATTGTCGCGGGTATGTCGATCAACTTTGTGCCCTCATGGCCAGGAGGACACCTCTCAAGCAACTTTTCCTCTCTCTCTTCATTACGCCCCGTGTCCTTTGGGGAGATCAATTTGCTATATCTTGCAATATCAATCGGCATCTGAACTGTGATGAAGCAATTTGACTGATAAAACGAATTTTCCGAATCTGCAGGAAGACTCACTGGGATTTTTATATGCCTTTATGAGCCGATCAACCAATTGATCACAAGCCATCACCAGATCAGTGTCTAGGTTTGGAGAAGGTATAACTGGGTCTCCTCCTGTCTTCTCTGCATTGAATTTCTGTTCCGTATAATCACATGCCACATGAGTGACAGTCAGGGCCCAAGTGCGCAAGAGGGTTATTTCATCATCGGAAGTGGAAGAAACATCCATGATTGAATTGATCTTGTGAGATCAGAAGCTGAATCCTGAATGTCCGCACTTTGGTGTTAAAGGGGGTGGAGATTGAGAGGATCAGATAAGGGAGCCTTGGATGATCTGAGCTTTCAAAGATCTATTTCTCTTATCATCTATTGCTCAATGAAATACCACATGATTGGAAGTCTGTTGGATGTCAGATACTCGTTTGTCGAGACCCGGGCCTCGGATCTCGGTACACTTCACTCGATTTTGATACCCAGGACACCATAGTTGGAACTTGTCTCGAATCTCGGGTCTCGGGTCTCGGGTCTCGGGTCTCGATGGTCGGGACTCGATATACGGGACTCGTTGGTCGGGACTCGATACTCGATTGTCGGGATTCAATGGTCAGGCGTCGGGTTTCATGACTCGGTAGTCGGGACTTGATAGTCGGGACTCGATGGTCGATTTTCAGGATTCGATAGTTGGGGCTCAGATATTGGTACACTTCACTCAATTTTCGGTGGTCGGAACTTGGCATTTGGTAGGCTTGGATGATGTTGGCTTTCAAAGATCTATTATCATCCATTGCTCAATGAGATACCAGATGATCGGAAGTGTGCTGGACATCACATATTCGTTTGTCGAGACCCGGGTCTCGGAACTCGGTACACTTCGCTCGAGTTTCCACTTCACCCCTTTGCAAAGCTCCGTGCCATACCACATCATTAGATGACTTTGAATAATCACCTCCTTTGATTTGGATGATATACAACTAGCTGAGCTCCATCATGTCTACAATTATCATTCTCCTGGGCCCACCCGTCTATCTTATATACCCCCACGTCGGCCTACCCATCTATGCAATATATGTCTCCCGTCGGCCCACCTGTATATAATACATCTTTTACCACTCCCTCGGCCCACCCATCTACAAAATAATATTAATTCGTCGGCCCACCCGTCTAATATGATATATATCTGGGCCCACCTGTCTATGTGATAACAAGCACCCTTGATATACCCGGCTATTTGATACATATCTACCTTGGTACACCCATCTACATAATATCCAACTACCTCGGCCGATCCGTCTATTGAAAATTCATGTCCATCGGCCCACCCATCTACTTTACATATTCCCCACCTGGGCCCACCCGTCTCCATCGGGAATAATAACACTCCCGGCCCATCCGTCACAGTCGAGGATATATCTACCCTCGGCCCATGGTCCGCTGGCCCGTATCATACGGGATATTATGCACGTCCGTCCACTCGTATAATACGGAGATATGTTACTGCAATATGTGGCTGTAGTACAGCACGCTGTAAAAAGGAAAGCCACTGTGGGTATCACAACCTGGCAGGCACATATAAGAAAAGTGCTCAGCCAGTATAAGTGAGTCTCAGCTCTGCCTAGCTGCTATACTCACAGAATGCAAGAATGTTTGACCCTAAAGGGGAAGCAAGGAAAGCAAGGATCCACGGAATGATGCTGAACAACCCTGGTGAATGGCGGTGAAAGCGTGAGAAACGTGCTGAAGGTGCATGCAGGAAAGTGAAGTGCGAAAGTGCGCGAAGCGCAGGAAGGTAGTGCAAGTGGTGCACAAGTGTAGAAGATGTATACTGAGACTGATAAGAGGAAAAGTGCGGATCTAGACGGATACTGATAGTGCCACTAGCTATAGACTGATGCTAGGGCCTCAAGATGATGATGGACACATGCATTGCATGGAACTAACTGGTGATAGATACTGAGTGGTAGGAAGGTGGTGGTAGGAAGCTAAGGTGGAAAAGTTGGGTGTAAAATGAACATGAGAGCATGTAAGTTCTACCTAAGCGCTCTCCCAGGGCTCGGAGCTGAATAGGGAGCGCTCTAAGTATGTAAGTGATGTAAAGTGATGTAAAGTAAGGGTCCATGACGAAATAGGAAGTGTAATATGCCAAATATAGTCAGATAACGAAAAGGGACATACCAAGGGACTGGTTGGACGATGGATGGATGCTCCTGGATGATGCACGACGCAGGGCGCTTAAGCGCGAGAAAGCGCGCAAGGTGCGCATGTGGGAATACTGCGCGTTGTGCAGGAAAGTGTCGCACCTATGGCGCGTTTCGCAGGAAGTGGTGCACTCCATGGTGGAAGTCATAGTGGATGATGGTGCGAGTTGTGCCATGAAGGCCAGTTGTCAGAATTTGTAAAATGAGCCCATATGAGCCCACAGAAACGCGAGTCTCTACAGTGCATTCCTCTTCATAGTCTCCTGGTATCTACCACACAGGTTGAGTAGCAACTTCTGAGTGACCTCGAGAGCCTAGTAATTGTGAACCGACTGATTAAAACTGTATTATCAAACTCAATAGGAATGGAATGGCTTGACTGATGGAGCTCCTGAGGTGTTGCATCTACAGGTGCGATTGCGATTGTGGTGCGGACACGTACAAGTTCTTCGTCTGAGTCATCTGAGTTGGACTCTGATGAGGACTCAGAGTCAAATTCAGCATTGGACTCTGGTAGATCTTGATGCTGTGGCATGATGCGCAAAGGTGAGAGGACTGGTGACTCGAAATTGAGTGGAGCTGGAGGAATCTGTATTAGTATCACTGCGAGTTTATATGCAAAACTCACGATCTTAGACTGGGTCTTGCGCTGATAGGCGAGCATTGCAATTCAGAATGTTTTGGGGACTCGAGGGCGACACCACGCACAATTACATACTAAACCTGTAGCACGAGTAGCGATTACACACAAATCAGCAACCCAAAAGTAAAATACACACCTGTTACGCTCCAAAAATGTCCAAGTACAACTTGTAACGCGTAATGACCCATGTGTGGTGTCAATGTGGTAATTTCCAGTGCACAATTGTACCCTGCCAAGAGAGGGCAGCATCATAAGAAACGCATGATGAGTACACATGTCAGTGACTCATCAATGTCATTATTATCATGACAAACCTATTATTAATAATATTCTGAAACACCCGAACGTGGTGAGGAGTCGGGCCTTGTTGCGAGAGTGAATGAGTGTTCTGGCTCATAGACAAGTGGGTCCTGTACAAGGGCGCCGTGAGTGTGCCCAAATAAATTATGGTAGCCACCGAGTTATTTCAGTGGATGAGCATGACAGAACTGCCTTTAAAAACACCTGAATTACTGGAACTGCACAGAGGTCCAGCGCACAAACATACCTTGTCCCAGAAATGTTGAGCTTGCTGGAAGTAACCGCACCACAGTTCTAAACCTCCACCCAAGGTCTGTATACCAGCAAAAAGGCCCTAGATTGTACAATGTTGATAACAGTCAGGACCTGAGCGGTCTGCTTGGTCTGTTTTCCTTCAATGAATGCTTGCAATTCCCTATAATTTGTCAACAGTAAGTGGCAAATGATGAGCGAAATTGGCATCCAGTCTTTATGAAATGGTTTGCAGACCTAGCATAATGGTGTATGGCGACTTGGATAAGATATCTGGATACATGTGCGCCACTACTGATTAGGATCTGGAAAAAGGGAGTGCATATAATCAGTTAGGCTCCATGAAGCACTGGGACACAGCAAGAGAAATAAGCGACGAACATCAATGATTTTGTTAGTCATAATCTTCCCTCTCCCTGATGCCCAAAACATAGTGTCCATGCTGCCATAACAGTTGAGAAAGCAGTGGGCTTGGACGTAGGGATCCTGGGACACATCGTAAACGTGTTTGGGAGTAAGTGTTGAAGTGGTAGGGTCGTTGAGCCTTGGTGAGGTTGGCTCCATTTGCGATGTTGTGGTTGGGCATCAAGAGTCTAAGGTAAGCGGAACTCCAGGAAGGTAGTAGACAAGGGTGCACTTGAAAAAAAAATACAGCTGGCAGAATTGCGGGAAGGCAGAGGTCCAAGAGAGAAGTATTGTACAATAGGGGTCTAAGCAGCCTGCCAGGATTGTGTGTACAGTGTCTGCAATATGGAAAGTACAGTGATATCTATGGTAGAGTTCAGTCCAGTGAGGGATGGGTTAAAAGAGTCGTCTCTGAGAATGAAGAAATATGTCAGTGTCTACATAATCAACAAGGAAATGATCTCCGGGAACAGCAAAGTCCGGAACAATTAATACACCATGAATGATAGAGTGAAGCATGATGAATTCTGACGAAGCCAGGGGTCGCGCGCAAAAGTGAGTCAGTCGCAAATGTTGATCAATAATACGTTGTGGACCCATTCATGCATCCATAGTTTGTGTCATATACCATATATCCGGTTACAGATCCGATCCAGATCCGATGAACATATCCGTCGTCCGGTCCACAGATCCGCTTTGATTCTTATTTCATTTCCTGTTCATATAACTCTAACTATTGTTCATCTCCTTTCGGTATTCCTGTACACCGGTATACCGGTTATCCTTTACTTCCACTTTGCTTACTGATCCGCTACACTTACGAATCCGCTTTTACTTGTACTTCATTCCCGGTTCATGATTCGTGATCCATCCGACTTACCAATACGCTCCACTTAGACTTTGCTTATACTTTTGTACATAGCCTCACACCTTTGCTTATTGATCATTCCGTTAGCTATCCGTAGTATATAAACCTTTGTATATGCGCTGTAGTAGATCAGTTCGAATATCATCTTAGATTGCACTCATTCCGTCTGGACTCTAAGTCCCTCTGTTATCCGTCCAGACTTGAGTACGCTACTCTTGTCTACTCCGAGACTTAGGATAGATTCCTATAGTCTACATATCCGCCTCTGTCTTCGGACAGTCCTCACCCGTTAGTTTCTAGTCCGGATCCGATCCGGATTAGCCGTTACTCTATATGTTCGATATCCAGAAGTCTTAACGGATCCGTTGCAATACTTATCCGTTGCGATACAAGACTTATCCGTTACAATACTTATCCGTCTCACTAGACGCGATACTTTAGCTCTCTGAAATAAGGGGCAAGACTTGGGAAAGGGGCACAGCGCACGAGCTGAGGCCGAAGCCCTTCGGATCTGATACTACTTGAGTACGGTCTTAACAGTTTGAACTAAAGCAAGATCTAAAACATTGCTGCCAACTGTGTGCTTGAACATAAACAAGATGCGACAAAAATATTCTTGTCATTGCTGTCCTTGTCGTTGGTGCGAATCAGGGCACAGTCGCGTCACTCATGGCCATGAAAGCTCGGGTTACACCGCAATAGTCTGTAGTGAGCTTCCAATCCATGACAGACTCATAATTGACCTTGAGGAACCGATGCTCCTGGACCTGCAATTGTTTAAGAAGAGCAAGTTATCAGTGAAATGAATGTTACTGACTGTATCTTGTGCTGAAAGTCTTAGCCACGTTTTTCCGTCAGGAAGTGGTATGTTGTGGGCAGGTAGAAAGTTGTTGAGGAACAATGAAAGTTTCTTGCGGAACTGCGCAAGGCAGGGTTGGAGGTGTTCTCTTCATTGAGTTGCAAAAGGGTTAGTGAGTGTTGTGGGGTGCCAAGGTAAATATGTCCGCCAAAAGGCTGATCATCTAGGTCTTCTTCCTCAAGTTCTCGCTCTGAGAGCATGACCTTATGTCGCTCTTCATCAAGGTAGTCGATGCGGCTCCAGATGAGCCTGGAGACAAATGTCATATGATCTAGTCGAAGTATCTAGTAATATGCAAAGGATGAACAATGAGTCAGAAAGCACGATCTAATAAAGTAGTACCTGATTCACGATATCCTTCCCGTTTGTTTGCAATTTGTATGCACGTTTAATCGGTCCATGTTGCTTCTCATTCGGTCTGGTGCTGAAGTTTCGAGCTGCTCCTTTCTCCCTAATGTCAATAAATACATGCTTTGAGGTGTGAGCCTTGGGGAAATTCCAATTTTCGTTGCATAATTGCCAAGGGCCTCAATATATTCCTGTGTGATAGTAGTGTTGAGTCATGGTGATGGGCACAAACGATTTGGACACGACTTATGTCTAACAGTTCCTGAAACACGAGGATCTCCACCTCTCCAGCTGCAAGAGTACTTTCAGTATGAACATCAAGAGATACATACATATCAATGTGAAGATAGCTCACTATGCACTTTAAAAGTGCATAGCCAGCTTCATCTTCCGCACGTGTGAGCACGTTCTGTGCTGTGTACACGATTTGCTATCAAAACCATGAGAAATGAGTAGTTTAAAAATATAGCACATGAGAACGTACCTTAGATATATCCTGGAACCTTGTTGCTGTCAGTAAAATAGATGTTGGTAACACGGTCAAAATGATTGAGGTTTCGCCATCGCAGAAACACATCAAACCTTAAAATTAATGACATATGAGACGCTGATAATAGAGTAACGACTGGGAAGGGACTTACTGTTCATCAACCGTCTTCTCAGCAACACGTCCCAGTGCCTTGAGGTGTTTCTTGCACTCATCAAATAAGTGATCACCAAACTTTCCCTTATGGTAAACATGTAGCGGATCTTGCGAGAGCGCATCGTGCGGGTCTGACAGCCTAACCTTCCAAAATGCATTCTGATGGTTGTGAGATCACGTAAGTGAGAAAGACACATCAATCACGCACCTTGATAGGCCTCAAGCTCTGTTTTTTCAGTTCTGCCTCGCCCACAACATGGTCTCTGGACCATAACGCGACCCGATTTTGTGCATCTTCAACGGTGCGCTTCGGGTAAGTTGTTGAATGGTCGGTGAGCGCTTCTCTTGGGACCAGGCAAACGGGGCAAGGACAGCCAGATTTGAGGCCCCGTATTAGCGCCATCACACACCTAATATTATAATAATATAAATAATTTGTATTAGAAATGACGTGTCAATGATAAAAAACATGGACACTCACTGCTCTTCGTAATTGGCTAATAGGATCAGAATCAAGGGAAATAGCCAGCGTTGAGTTCTGTCGTAGCACTCGTGTGCGAAGCCAGTTGCAGATAAGAGTATGATAGTTACAAGTAGGATTGAAAATGACTCGTGCCATACGACACGCTTCAGATTTGTATAGGAAAGTTTGCTGTCTTCGTCTGAGTCCTCGGGAACCTGTAACAAGGGGCAAAGACCATCAATTCTTCCAGTTGAGCGTGAGTCATATGACAATGGGAGGACTTACAATTGGTAACCACCCGACCATGCGCCCTCCTCCGGTACCATCAACATTTCTGATATCAACTGGTAGATTCCCGCAACGGGCGATTACCGGGTATGCTTTGACAGTACCAGCCAACGAGAGATGAGTTTTGTCGGCATATAGTATGAACGCAAATGGCGCTCCATTCTCAGGTAATGATGACTAAACGAATTGAAATTTATTAGTTAGTCACATAGTATATAAAAAATGGGCAGACTTGGAGATTCCACCAGCGGTCTCCCGTCCATGGCTCGTGGAAGAAGCGCTCAAAGCAAGTCCCATCGTGCTTATAAAGCTGCTGAGCGTCCCAGACAAAGTGCGGAGCCAACAACGGATTGGCTAATAGGTCCATTGCCCAGTCCCACAAAGGCTGCGAATAAAATTCATACTTGATCACCTCCTTCTTGTACTCAACGGGTATAATGTGTTTTTGGAACTGTATAATTAAACACGGTCATGTACACTTGTTACAAAGGTAAAATAAAGTCACACTGCTCTTACTGGTGTCAACTGGGTAGACAACCTAGCCCACGCGGTCATAACATCTGCGTGTGTTTTGAACGAAAACTTTGTGTGTCCATCTGCAACTCGCCAGATGAACTTCAACAGCTTGTTAGTCTGGTCCTTATTCAGCACGGCTTTGTGAGCGAGCTCAGCGAACTCGAAGTCTGCACAACAAGTAAAAGGGTGCCAAGGTGTATCATCAACAATGGGTGAACGTGTTGCCAATCCACCCCCGTAAGCAGAAAACGTCTCGACAGTTTCAGGGCGACCACTGTGGGGATGGAATTCTGTCTTAAATGTGTCGGAACGGGCTGATGTCGTTGCTGTAGCGGCAGAAACTGGAATGAGACCTGGAGGAGGTGCTGCCCCTGCAGAGGCGCTAGCCATGCTTGTATCAGAGTTGGAACCTAATGAATGATATTAGTTATGTGACTCGGGTCAAAATACAAACACATACATTGTCGTGCCTCAGCCTCAATGCTCTGCGTGTCATCAAGACCCCCTTCCAGCCCTGCAGCAGGATAATCGTGGCCACCAACGTCATGATCGTACACGTCTGAGTCAAGTACAGTAGTAGGAACAGATTCCATTGCAGCTGCACCTCCTGATGAGTCTGCAAGCACAGGGGCTTGAGCAGATGCACCAGTGGGGTGATATTTCTTGTTGCGATGATGTTCTGATGCGAAAAATTTCGATGATTATTAGTGATTGATTCAGAGGAGATCAAAATGTAAAATGACAATGAACTGTGTTCTCCTTCGTTCAGTATTGAGTGTACTGCAGCCCGTGCAAATTCTCTGTCCTCTTTCCTCTTTTCCTTCCGTCGAAGGCAGCTTTTCTCGTGTGACTTGATGCCTCTGGATGTGTAAGCCTCGTTACAATATTGACATTGGACCTTGATGGTAGATGCAGAAGTTTGCATGTGTTTACGCCCTGGACCTGCGGCATTGTTTCTGAGTGCAGGCATATGTAGTAGTGTATAATATAAACAGAATGAAGTGTTGGAGTGGATTCAGATATGCGACATCAAAAATCGTTCGAGGTATAATCGGAATGAGATTGCAATCAGTTGCTGACATAACCGAACGCTTGGAAGGCGCAAATGTACCCTTGCAAGTTACCAAAATAATGTCGCCTTCCTTGGATTGATCTAAGAATATACCATGGTTCCTTGGAAGGATCATGCATTGCGGATGCAATACGGCTAAATGATGTCTCAATTTGGAATCATTGCAAGGTACCTAAGGAATTTTCCGACATAACTGGCGAATTCCATGCACGACACCTAAGAGCATTCCACCCAAGAGAAGGCACAAAGTTAGCAGAAGAGCAGAAAAGAAGAAAACTAGAGGCACAGAACGAAGAAGACGAAGACATAACCGACGACCCAGATAGTAACGGGAGTAATCAAGAGCATGCGAATGAAGAAACAAGACGAAGACACAGAAATAATAGAAGAAGATGAAGAAGATGGAGAGAGCGAAGATGAAGACGGAGACAAAACAGTGGAAGTGTCAGTGATAAGCAGAGGTGTTGGCAATGAGGGTGTCGCTGTTTTCAAAGGGGGGCACATGGAGTAGGGGACCCCCAGGCAGGGGGCGGGAGTAGAGGAGAGTTTTGGCGGTGTTTGGCAGTGTTTGAGCCGGGTTTAGCCAAGGAGAGAGTTGTTAGAGCCTCCGCATGCAGTAGCGGCCTTCAGGTCTTTGTTGTCCTTCGATAGCAGAGTCTTCGGGCATAGCCCACTCCAACGTTTGACAGGCACACGCGCGAGAGGACTTCAGTGATGAATGTAAGTTTGCTCCATCCCCAAAAAGCTTTCGGAGCACTCTCCTCTGCTATAACAAGGTCGTTGGGGATCTTCAGTTGTTCTGGTACATTGCGCAGCTGATTATGGCCGGGCTCCACTGCAGCCGGTAGCGAGGCATTGAAATACCCAGGACTCTGTCTGCTCAGGATGCATGAAGCTACCTGTAGGAGATGAGCGCTGAGCGTCAGTGAACTTTGAACTGGCTGAGGAAAATAGTTTGAAGGTCTGCCTGACCTTCAACATTGCAGGCACATTCAAACTCAACGCTTAGAGTCCAAAGCACGGTGTAGGCAGAAGGAACACAAACAAGGAGGGCAGACGCCCACAGTGACCAAGATGAATAGTGTCATTATACATTATCAGACATGGAACAAATGTAAAGTATCAAGGAATATGACAATGAGACCTATCTTCAATCCAAACGCGCAAAACCATATCCAGACAAAGACCCTTCGCGAAGAAGGGAGGGGCAAAAAATCATGTGATAATCATCAACAGGCCCGAGGGCCCCAATTGAAGACGATAAACCCTGGCATGAGCCAAGGGGTCTGCCTCGCATTGACAGAAACACAACCATCAACAGTGAAGGCAAGCCTGCAAAATCCTACCATGAGCATGGAGATATGGAACAAACATATAACAACTTACGACCATGGCAAACATGAAAGAAGCGTGTGCGTTACAGAACGTCAACCAGATCCGGATACATTTTCATGAATACCATTACTGGCATTTAGATTTGACAGGATGTGCTCCCGATGAGCTTCCACTTCACTGTGTAGGTACACACACGCCTCAGGGTGCAGCGAGATCCAGCCGACAGCGTATGACAACAGTTTGACATCACAATAGAGCTTTTGAAAGCGATGGCCTATGAATCATAAGCCATAGGTCTGATATCGGATAACGGTTCACAACCCAGGGAGACTGAGTCACGCTGCGCAACGCACAGAAGCATTGATAGACTCCCTCGAAGTCATCATCGTATGCTTGGTACACAACTTGCTCTGTGAGCAACGCATCATGCATCATGATCATGTTTGGTCTCGTCCGTGTGGATAGGAAATGGGCTACCTGCGTGGTATGCGCATCTCTGTGTGGTTATACACTGGTCCATGATATGACTGCGTGGATTCTGTATGCGAGCACTGGTCTGGTCAATTTGACTGGGTCATATGTGCTTGTGTGGTATGCATCAAGTGAGTTTATCAAGTACTTTTGGGTTTGTGGTGTAGAGACTCACGTTTCTGCAGGCACATATGGGCACATTTCGCACCTTTTCACAACTCATGACAATTGGCCTTCAATGCACAACTCGCACCATCAGCTATATTCGACTTCTATCATGTCCCCTAGTCGTTTTTACACATAACGTGCAGCTTTCCTGCGAAATGCGCCATAGGTGCGGTACTTTCCCGCACAATGCGCAGCATTCCCACATGTGCACCTTGCGCGCTTTCTCGCGCTTAAGCGCCCTGCAAGCGCCCTGCATCGCCCTGCATCGCCCTGCATCGCCTATCATCCAGGAACGTCCCTCTATGTCCACCCACCTCATTGGTACGTCATATCCCTTGCCTCGTGGTTTGTAAACAAGCATTGCAGTGTTTATTACATGTCATTACGTATTCATAGCGCTTATTGCTCCTATCCCTTCCGCTTCCAATGTGATTTCCATAGTATAAAGTTTGCTGACTTACTACTCCATCATTATTACTCCCCTTTGCTGTACTTCCCTCACTATTGGGTTTTACCTTAAAGTAGTAGTCACCACTTGGGCGCACTTTGTGTTTCCAATGGTTATCGTTATCCGCCTATACTAGACCTTTATCCGCACTCATTATAACACTTGCTTCGCATTTGCACCGCTTTGCACATCCGCTTCCTTATCCGTTTCCTTATCCAGTATTCTCCGCACAACGCGCGCCTTAGCGCTCACGTTCCCACGCTCGCGCTTACCTTAGTGCGCTCTCTCGCGCTTCACGCTCACTTCGCTTTTCTTCTTGCGCTTTCGTGCATCCATCGCACTTCAAGGGTCTTTCTTTCATCTGGTTCTGTGTTCAGTAGCAGTCCCCTTTAGGGTCGAACGTTCTTGCATTCTGCGAGTATAGCAGCTAGGCAGAGCCAAGACTCACTTATACTGGTTGAGCATTTTTAGATATTTCATATCAGCCCAGCCAGGTTGAGATCGCCTCAGTGGGTCAAGGAGCACAATGTCGTATGCACATAGATGAACGTACAAATGCACTGATGAACCACGTCCGATGCATTAGGATGAACAGTCCTCGTATGCGAAGACAAAGCCACTTGAGCCTGATGATCACATGCGGTTCAAATATCAATGATATGGGTGCGTGATTATGCACTGGTGTGGTCAATATTAAGGGTTTATCAAATAGTTCTGGGTCGGCGGGTCAAGGAGGGCAATGCCACACGTGCACAGTCAATGCTTTTGACATGAAGTGAGAGCTATAGGTATTTGGATGCAAACTTGAAATAAAAGCCAGTGGAATTGGGAAGAGTCTAGGCGCCTGGCGGATGCCACCCTCATAGACGGGCTGTGCCACTGTTGAATATTGAATATCCTAATCGAGCCATCGGACGCCGCGGAGATAGGCAACTCGGTCGTCTTTCAAAATTTCAAGTTGCATCTCAGATTTTGACTCCGTTCTTGTCAAATCTGGTCGTTACGACTTTCAATGAACATATACTCGGTGAGTAGATTATACCACCCTAGGCCTGTCTTGATTGCAATTGGACCAAGTACTGTCCCTACAAGTATTACTCTCGACATCCTGTATTTGGATCCACTCAAAATTCTATACACTGATGACATGGACACATAACTAATAACCGGAACCTCCGGTGCCACCAGTGAGACTACACAGCAACCTCGTCGTGCCAGTGCAGCCAGACAAGCGCCCGCGGGTCCTCTCAACTTGACTGCATCTAACCACCATCCAGCGAGTTTTGAATACTGCAACCAAGTGCCCATTCTCTTGCAAACATCCTGTTTAAACATCTCCATCTCCATTAAATACTCGATCGTTTTACTGCCCAGTAGAACACGCTTACTGGGCAGACTGATACCCAAGTATCGTTTCACGACTCAAAACATATCGCAACGTCCTCCGGACCCAAAAGATCGAATTTGCAGCTTCAACTTTGATCATCCAATTAACCTCGTAGGCGTACGTTATCCCCTCCGAGATAACGAGCACCGTTACAATTTCTAACTATAGTGTTGAACCCAACTAGCGCTTTCCCGTGTTCCATTCCTTCCAACCCACAATCGGTGTGACATTCTAATATCAAGATCTGTCGATGAGTGGCTACGATCAGTGTTAGTATCTCTTTCTCTTACCCCTTGTTGCGCTCTTTGACCTCATCAACAGTTTCTCAAACATCTGCCGGACCTTGGGAGAAGCTGTCCCGTGTCGCTGTCCTGGGTGCTGAATATGATTCCCCTGAACGCCAGCCCCATCCGAAATGTTTGGAAGGGACCCGAGTGGACCTTCTCAAATTCATCCACGGATTATTGAACGAACAAAAGAAGAGTCGAATCATTTGGTTGCATGGCACGGCAGGCGTCGGAAAATCTGCTGTAGCATTCACAGTAGCTGAGAGGATGAAAGGTCTGAAAGTGACAGAGGAGACGAATATCGAAACAAGGCTCGCGGGAACATTCTTTTTCTCGCGCAAGCACACGAATTGCAGCACGACCGGTCATTTCTTTGCGACACTTGCTTACCAGCTGGCGACCAATTTTCCCAGCGTCCAGAAGGACGTGAATAGAGCTATCCGCGAGAATCCTGCGGTTCTAGACTCCAGCAAGTCTCTTCGCGACCAGATGAAGGCGTTATTTTACCAACCTCTCTCTCACCTGCAATCCAGGCTGCACGAGTGTCCACCTCCGGTGTTTGTTGTCGATGCCCTCGATGAATGCAAGCCCGAAACCGTCGCTGATCTGATCTCTCTCCTTGGCCAAGCCCTTCGTGATCCTGATCTTCCTGTGATCCACATTCTGCTTACGAGTCGCTTAGAAGAGCATATCCGTAAAGCCATTCAGAAAGAGGAGATGCGGTCGCTGGTGTGCGAGATACCGGTGAACACTTCTGGGGAGGGTGTTGCTGGCACCATCTCGTTAGACGGCGATGATGTTGACAAAGATATCTATCTTTTCTTGCAGTATTCTTTCACAGAGTCGCGAGGTCGTCATCCTGATTTCCCGCAGCCCACCGCAGATGAACTCACGCGGCTGGCGAGTCGAGCTGGGAGACGTTTCATCGTGGCATCTACGATGATGAAGTTTATCGATGACGGATACAATGATCCCCGGGATCGCCTTAAGCTCATGCTCGAACTAACTCATGAACTGCTACCTGGAACGGAGGTGTTCAAGTTATACAACTGCATTCTCTCCACCTGTTCGGAACCCAACCGGGCATATCAGCACTTGTCCATTGTTGCTGCCCTTGCAGACCCTCTGCCGATCTCACAGATTTCGAAACTCCTTGGCCCTGGTCAAGGCAGTGATGTCGCAACCATACTGGTACAGCTACGATCTTTCATGGATGTTCCCGCCGACAACAGCCTCCCCGCGAATATCTACCACTCGTCCATTCGGGACTATGTTTCAGACTTCTCAAACTGCAGCCTCCTTGGATTAGAACCCATCACAGCATCACATTCCCTGCTCGCTTATTCCTCTTTCCGCTTGATGATCCAAGACATTCCAGAACGCACTGCTCTCATAGATGCGCTCTTGGAATTGAAGTCGCAGAACCAGTCTATGGAACCCCACGACCTCCGGAACTTGCAACAATCATTAGCCTTCATCGTTGAGCCACCAGAGCCGCTCCAAGTTCTCATGGACCTGTTATGGCTTCGGGGAGTACGCGGGTCGGGTTTGCGGTCCTGGCTAGGGACTTCGGACGGACGTGCGTGGCTGCAGACCCAAGGTGGGGAAGACTATCTGCGGACCCAGAAGGGAGAAGACTGGTTGGTGACCCTGGACGGGGGTCATTGGCTGCAGACCCATGCGGGGGACATTTGGTTGCAGACTGAGAGAGGGAGTAGTTGGCTGAAGAGCGGGCGAGGGTGGTTGTGGACTCAGAAACGGCGACAAGTTGCCGGAGACACTGGCGAGCAAATGCCATTAGAGACTTGGAATGGGCAAGACTGGCTGGAGACCATTAGCGGGCAAGGCTGGTTGGAGACTTCGAGTGGGCGAGAATGGTTGCAGACCCAGACCGGGGGAGAGTGGCTGCACACCCAGACTGGAGGAGAGTGGCTACAGAGCCGACGCGGGGAAGAGTGGCTTCAGACCTCAAGCGGACAAGTGTGGCTGCAACAGAACCCGAGCGGCCAAGAATGGGTGCAGACAGAGAGGGGACGAGAGTGGCTGCAGACCCAGAGTGGCGAAGAATGGCTCCAGAGCCGGCGACAATGGTTGGACACCGAGAGCGGGAAAAAGTGGCTGGACACCGAGAGCGGGCAAAAGTGGCTGGAATGGAGGGGGGAAGAGTGGCTGAACACCAAGAGCGGGCAAAAATGGCTGGACACCGAGAGCGGGCAAACGTGGCTGGACACCGAGAGCAGGCGAAAGCGGCTGGACACCACGAGCGGGCAAAAATGGCTGGACACCGAGAGCGGGCAAATGTGGCTGGACACCGAGAGTGGGCGAAAATGGCTGGAATGGAGGGGGCAAATGTGGCTGCCCACCGAGAGCGGGCAAAAATGGCTGCACACAGAGAGCCGGCAAATATGGCTGCACACCGAGCACACCGAGGGTGAGCAGATGTGGCTGGAATGGAGGGTGCAAAAGTGGCTGCACACCGAGAGCGGGAAAAAGCAATTGGACACCGAGAGCGGGCAAAAATGGCTGGACGCCGAGAGTGGGCGAAAATGGCTGGATACCGAGAGCGGGAAAAGGTGGCTGGACACCGAGAGCGGGCGAAAATGGCTGGACACCAAGAGTGGGCGAAAATGGTTGGATACCGAGAGCGGGAAAAAGTGGCTGAACACCGAGAGCGGGCAAAAATGGCTGGACACCAAGAGCGGGAAAAAGTGGCTGGACACCGAGAGCGGGCGAAAATGGCTGGACACCAAGAGTGGGCGAAAATGGTTGGATCCCGAGAGCGGGAAAGAGTGGCTGAACACCGAGAGCGGGCAAAAATGGCTGGACACCGAGAGCGGGAAAAAGTGGCTGGACACCGAGAGCGGGCAAAAGTGGCTGGAATGGACGGTGCAAAAGTGGCTGCACACCGAGAGCGGGAAAAAGCAGTTGGACACCGAGAGCGGGCAAAAATGGCTGGACGCCGAGAGTGGGCGAAAATGGCTGGATACCCAGAGCGGGAAAAAGTTGCTGGACACCGAGAGTAGGCGAAAATGGCTGGATACCAAGAGCGGGAAAAAGTGGCTGAACACCGAGAGCGGGCAAAAGTGGCTGGACACCGAGAGCGGGAAAAAGTGGCTGGACACCAAGAACGGACAAAAATGGCTGGACACTGACAGCGGGCAAAAGTGGCTGAACACCGAGAGCAGGCAACGATGGCTGGACAGTAAGAATGGGAGAGACTGGCTGGAGACACAAGGTGGGAGGGAATGGCTACGCACACAGGGCGGGAGAGAGTGGCAGCGCAAAATGCAGACTCCGCTCGGGCATGCGTGGCTACATACCTTTTACGGGCGAGAGTGGCTACTGACCCACAATGGGCGAGAGTGGTTGCTAACCAAGAGTGCACAAGATTGGCTCATAACCCCTGGAGGGCGAGAGTGGCTGCGGACCCCAAGTGGGCTACAGACCAGGCGTGGCCAAGAGTGGCTGCAGACCAAGAGTGGGAAAGAGTGGCTGCAGACCATGAGCGGGCGAGAGTGGCTGCAGACCATGGACGGACGAGAGTGGCTGCAGACCCAGGGTGGGCGAGAGTGGCTACAGACCCCCCATGGTCAAGCATGGCAGTTGACTCCTGCAGCATCTGTCTGGGTGACGATGGAAGACTTCTCGAACACGTTGCAAACAATCAGCGAGTGCGCAATCATCCCACCATTGCCTTTCCCGCCAGTTTTCCAAGCAATCCAGGAGTTTAAGAGCTTACCAGACTTCTTGATGTTTCCAGTGTTCCTGGCGTTAAGGCCCCAGGATCATTCCATCTCTACATCCCTACAAGATTGTCCAGACATCGAGGTCATTCATGCTATGACCGCATTCACGATTTTCGCAAACGAAGCACGGGATCAAAGTCGATCAGCGTCTGACGCTCTGAAGTACGCATGCCAAAACTGGGTCTTCCACCTCTCACGAGCTCCAAGTCCAACGGACGACATGCTCAACCGTGCATTCAAGGTCTTCTGGGATCGCCACCTCCTCTCCTGGCTTGAAAGGCAGTGGTGCTTGAAGGGCTTGCGGTCGTGCCTCCTTGCGTTATTCGAAGGGCAGAAACTTGCACAGGTATGTTCCCAATGATTTTTGTGTATTCGGCACCTGACCTGCGCACAAAGGAACGTCTCATTGAAGCTACAGGGTCATCTCTGTCCCGGGTCTGAAACTGTCGATTTTATGCAGTGGATGTCATTCTGTCCTGTTATGTCTTATTGATACTTTTCTTTCATGTTACTCGCGTTGTATCTACATGATTCAGAATGTTATTTATGTAAGTATAGAATGTCGGTGTTTACGTGTTGAAATCCATCGCAGTACAAAATGACAAAGATGCATTTTATAAACAAGTTTTTGTCTAGTTCGCTTCGAACTTGCTGTCCTCGTCCTCGCTACAGATGCCGGCGTAGCAGAGCAGACTGACAGAATGATCACTCATTGAATGATATAATTGAATTGCTCTACATCCCGTACAAACGAGGTGAAAGCTTTGGATTCTCACGTTCAGTTTCGTAGCTAACCAGAGATTTGCATCCTCGAACCATTCCTAACCCTTATCGACTTCGACTTGGATATGCATCTGCCTCGACGTCAAACTGTGATCTTCGGGACTTGCATCCACTCTCCAGCATCACGAATCATCGCCATTAATTAATTCAATGCTTTTCTCTAGCTCTTTGCTCACCCCGCAAGTCTCTTTTTGTAATCATCATGTTGAATTATACTTAAACATAAAATACTTCATTAGCATCAATCTTAATTCTCACCCTTCTCCCCATCCTCATCGCACCCACCGAACGTAATATACGGATCATCAACGTCGTCAACCTTTTTTAGGTCGCCGCCGCACCCTCTCATTCCGCAACCTCTACACCACCTCCAGCATCTCCGTTTTTCCACCGGGAAGGCTAGCGCTCCCTTCAAATGCTAGGCCATGGAGAAGTTATTGGGGAACTTCGAATATCATGGGATGAGCTACTCTATCATGGAGATGAAGAGTTCGGTGAGTGACCTACTTCTCATTCATGCAAATGTACTAACATTCCGTAGATCTACTACTATCTTTCACACCCATGCATAGTGTCCAACGATTGGGACGGTGCACTGTTTGATGTGAGTGACTCTCGATTCCTAGCGCTTAGACAACACCACCGTCACCACCCATATTCCCCGCATCCACCCAACGCCAAACCTCGACCTGACCGATACTGAGCGTTCACCCCAGGACGCATGGAGAGGTACCGGCATGACATGAGTGCGTGACGCCAAAGGGAAAAGAGGAATAACAGAAGGGGAGAAAAGTGTTGGGTGTCCTTGTCTGTTCATGCGGCGAACCGTTGCATCCCTGATCAGTCCAACATTTTGTTCACTTTATTCTATGTATATGCTACTGACAATTTTTCACATCTGCTTGTTCCCAGACTAAGTTCTTCCCCTCCCTACGACACCCGGTTTGGCCGTCCTGCTCCAAAGCCTAGTAGTGGTGCATCACCCTTCATTTCTTCACCTCCATTTCCAGCGCGCAACATATTTTACCACCGTCCTCGATGCCCACCATTTCTGCTTTGTCTACACCAAACACCGTCGACGCGAATGCTGTTGAGTTGGAGCACGCTGTATTGTCTGGTTAGTTGACATGTCGACATGTCCTGTACATAGTTAACTGTTTGTAGTTGTCTGGATGACGAAGAGCTCGAGTTTCTTGGGATACATTGGTCAGACTACGTGAGTTCTGCCAGGTTCTGCCACCCTCCTTTCGTGTGTGTTCTGCTGTGGACCATGGATCTGTCTGAGGATGGGAGGGTAGTGTATGATGACGACCAGCTTTTATATCCTGGGTGTACTTCTGGGCACGATTCTAATCGATTTGGCAAGACTCTTATCCTAGGAGACGGGTGACTACAGCGGGTGCTAAGAACGTGGTCCGCCTCGTGACGCTCTGCTGGACACTCTGGCTTGGGCTTCACTTATCCGAGGCCAGTCCCTATACTGAAATTTTTTGGGTTCGGTTCTGGTTCGGACCGGAAAAAAAACGAACCGGACCACGGCAGCACTACCTGCAATTGCGAAAATCAAGTTGATTGCCTCGGTGCCAACTATTCTTGTCCAGTTATGACGCATGACGATAGATGACGCGGACGATGGGTCGGGTCCATTTTGATCTTCCATTGACTCGTGGCTTACTTAAGACTCATTCAAGCTCATTACCGTGAATGTCACGCAGCGCTGGCTTGGACTGAAACGAATAAGCCAATCCCAATGGAAATGAATCACGGGCCAGGTCAAAGCTTCAGATGAGTCTGTACTACTGCACTTTGAACTAAAGAGATGTTCCTCGAATTTAGCGTCTTCAAGGGTGAAACTCGTTCACCGTGACAACTGAGCAATCAGTACTCAGCAACAAACTACTTACATGTCGTGTGGTCAACCATACTGCACCAATGCGAAAGCAGAAAACACGACTCACTGTCGCTCAGCGCTCACTCAGGCTGTAAACAAAAATATGCGACCCACCACTACCATGCCGGTGAGTCATGAAGTTAGATGAAAACTACTCATACTCACAGTGAAGGCGTTAACTATCCCCTGGCAGGTAAGGTCAGGGCAGCATTCTCCGGCGTCTCCGATTCCGGTGGGTCCGCAGAAGGTGTAGGAACATATCCTCATTGACAGGCATAGACATTGTCAACCTGAAAGCGGCAGCAACGGCAAGGATGAAGGAGAGACGCATTCTTTGTGAGATGTGATATGGGCTTCCAAAAAATAAATCTGAAGGGGACAGTTTGCCTTTAAATGTTCCCTGTCTACTTGCCAGAACACTCCTTCGAACAGATGACGTTTGCATTGCCAGCAGGTTGCTAGCAGACCTCAGGATTGATTTACTCTGTCCCTGTCATTTTTTTGGCATAGGAAAGGCTGGCAATGTGTAATTCCAAGGGCCGTTGTTGCATACGGCCTATGATAAGTGATACGACAATCATTCAGGCTGGAGCCGGGCTCATGGATACTGAGAGACATTCAGAGTCTCATCGTGCATGGGGGAACACAAAACTGGATACCGGGATCAGTGCTTGATCGGCGAGATAGGTCAATGATAATACGTATCTTTGTCCGGCATTCCTTGACCAATCAGAATCATTCTTTCGACTGCTCATACTTGCCATTCATTTGCGATAAGAGATTACACTATGTCCGACATAGGGTCTTCGACCCCAAAGGACAACGAATGTTATGTGCAACCACATCATCGGCTTGGGTCTGAACGATTAATTTTATTTAATAATCTATCATACAAACCAATTTCAGGCTACAGACACTGAAACCTCCGCTGCCCTCTCCGAGTCGGAATCACCATACAACTGAATGACGTCTCGCTCTGGCCTGCCTATTCGTTCATTGTCGGTTCCCTCTGTAATGCCCGATACAGTCCCTGTAAATGCTATAGCTGTAATTATTGCAGTGTCTTGAGTGGACCACTCGTGTGTAACCACCCGCCCCCGTGCAACACGAATAATGATGAACAATTGAGCGATGCCCTAGTCCAATAAAGATGACTGATGTCAGAAACGGGTGTAACTCAGGTTTGTTTGCTTACCTGGATTTTGCCAATAGACAGGAAGCATAGAGTGACAACACCGTCAGAATGCATACCAAAGGACACTATAAAAATAATAGCGAAGACCGAGTATAACGCCGCACACTCGATGACCATGAGGGCGATGGCATCGTATGTGCTGGAATCATATTGGGCCATAATCTGCTTCATACGCCCTCGCATGACGAACAAGCGATTCGTCACGAGAATGGTATAAATCACGGTCTGCCCGGCTTCGATGCAGAGGTAGGCGAGCTCGATGGGGTTGTTGTAAAATGAACCATTGGTCCCCGCCTGGTACAGGACAGTGATAGACAAACCTGCTTGAGATGTTAGTGACTGTCATCGCTTGGTGAATGATGAACCGCACCGATCATGGCAACATAGAGTGTGATCATTGGGACCATCACCCACCTTGACCAATTCCATATCACAAAACATCGGTAGAGCTAGATATGTCAAGCATCAGGCTTGTAGCAGACGTTCTGGGGAACTATGAGGCTCACGGGCAGAGCTTGCATGAACCACCCCTGAATGTGACCACTAGATGGGGCGTCAATACTAGAGGTCTGCAGGTGAACGGGCAAGGACACTTACGTGGTAAGCGCTATAAAATTAATCCGATAACTCATGAAGCCCTCGATTAGCGCAAGCGGACCACCAGGCGCGTCACGAAGATCGATCCAAATCATCTCTGTATACTTTGCGTTCATACCAAAGCTTATCGTCCCCAATACGAACGTGATGAAGACGTAGAAAAGAAGCGCGTGACGATGATCTGCAATTTGTCCCCCATATCGAGGATGTTGCATGAGAACAATCCAGGCTTGCACTGTAAGGAGAAAGAATACGCCTATTACAATACATAAGTCAACTTCCACATTGTCGTATTCGAACGAAAACACACCATAGAATGCACATGCTACCATCATTCCATCAAGGCGAAATCGTTCCATGGACAGATTCGTCTGTGGGGCTTGAGATGACATGACACCGGATCTGGTGACAGAACAGATAAGAGGTTAAGCAAGACACCGAGACGAAGTACTTGCTAAGGTGCAAGTGATGAAGAAAACGAGTGGAGAGCAGCCATTATATGAGAACTCGGGTAAAATTTCTACTATGAAAACAATGAGCAAGCTGTCGCACACATGAGGTTAAGTTGACGTTGACGGTTGGAAATGTCACTCACAGACAACAAACATCAAATTTTGACATGCGGGAGCTTGTACATAAGGCCAAGATAAAACAGGCCAGTGAAGCTGAACTTGAAGGGGTTAGCTTTTTTGACAGGCTACTTGATCTCGAGCGTTGTAGTCGATTCAAAGCCTGCCCTGTACTACATGTTGAGGTTGCCGATTCCAAGCTTGTGTCAAGGCTCGGTTCTTGTATACGCATTTTTGTACATTTAACCTCAACGTGAACCTTCGCGCCATGTACCTCAGCTTCACAGGTGATGGTCTACGATGGTGCTAAAACTTGCCAGGCCCAGCCGTAACCTGGGGTAATGGTAGAGCGAGAATACTAATGATTCACAATTTGAACACGGTTGGTTCTCTGGATGCCGTGATTACTTACATAGAAATCTCTAGCGAGATCAGTTTCGACCCTTGGTCGACCTGGTCACCTGGTCCCTTGCGATTGAATAAGGGTGAACCTTGTCAATTGAGTCCACACTGGCAGAAGCATGCTAGAATATAGATGCGAGGAGCATTACTCCAAGGAGAAATCATGCGACAACCACTGCAGCGTAAAGGGCCCGGGGTCGGCATGCGGTTATGCCTCTAGGAGCGGGGAACAAGAGACGGAATGGCGCTTACGGCACGTACAAAGAGGTGGTATTATGTAATGGATGACCATGCTTTACGTAGAAGGTGTTCCGCGATGCCTACAGCTGGTGTCACTTTGTCACCGTTTGAAATTCAACCAAAAAGTCTGAGAGTTCGATGGTGTCCGGGAACTCGAGCCCGCTGGATAGTTCGGGATGTGTGCCCGGGTTCAACGTTTACCCTCAGCTTACCATGACGGTAGGGTCTGATATTGTTAGAGGGTGCCCGCATGGAACCCACAGTGGCGTGCGGGTCTGGTGCTGCGGGTTACCAGTTGGTGTAACGGTGGCGCCGAATCAGGCGTGCAATATACGTTCTGGCTTGCATTTCTCACTCCTGTCTAAACCATTGCAACGCTCATTTGTTATTACTTACTCTACGAGGCTTTCGGCCGAGTACTTTACAATCCGTCTTTCCCTTTGCCTCCGTTTCCGAGTCTCTCCGAGTACTGAATAACTTAAATACCATACCTACTCTTAGAGTCTTGGTGTTTTGTGGATCCCAAATTGCAGACTTTTACCCTGTCATTCACCCGAGAGTATTCTGTTTCGTCTTCGAGCCACTTATTACACTAAATATATCCAAAAAGTCTATTTGAATTCTTTCTAAAAATAGCATCAGGATCCCTCTCTATAATGAAATATCTTGAAGCCTATGCTACTGCACATCGCATTTTCGAGGTTTCTGACTAGATCAACAAGTACTAAGAACGGACTATACAAACCGAGGACGAAGCGCTTGATCCCGCGGAACCAATTCGTGTCGTCCCCATGTGCATGCTCCACCCGTAACCCTCTTCTTGGCTCAGGCATGTACTCCACTTTGTGTTCTGAAACCTTCACTGATCGAGCCTCGTCAGAGCAGTGATCTATTTCACTCTCATTCGCATTTTTGTCCCTTACTAGACTCGAGAACATAAAAATACAAGGGACAGCCAAGCTAGAGATCAGAATTCTACATATCCACCATGTGCATGGAGATTTGACAGCATACAAGATTTCATTTTATCCCTGTTGATTTGATTGCAGCAAAAATAAGCCTTGGTCCTGGAGCTCTGGAGGCCGAGCACTGAGCAAGATGTCAACAACGCTGAGCGCTGACCGGTCGACCCCTAGTAAGTTAGCGTCGCAGCACTGATCGCAGCACGCTCCATATATGATAGGGTGCAGCATGTGCTCTCAAGCTTGCTTTGTCTAACAATATAGCGTCAGACCAACGATCATTTGTTTTTTGTATGTTGGTTGTGATAAGGAGGTGTTGGTAATACGCAATGGGCGTGCCACGGCCGGGTAAGGCCGGGCGCCACCGCTCAAACTTTATCTATTTCCTTCGGACCGGATAGAACTCAGGTAAATACAACGTTGCTGATCAACCCATGTGACACTGACATCGAGGAAGATTGACCAAGAACTATTAATGACTAATATCTTGCAGTGATTTACTGACTGTCAAGGGAATTTTGTGCGCTGCTCGATTGCGGAGCCCAAAACGCATTCATTGCGCCAATACACTTTCTGATGGTGGTGGTCCACTAGCACATCCTCGAAGAGCGGATCAATTGTTTCCATGGGACTCCTAGGCTCGGCGGCACTCCAAAGCTTCATCATGTTTCGTTTGACAGAATGACAAGATCGATGCGACTAGCTGTAAAGATATCTACCGCAATACGGAACCTACCTCCCAAAGATAATAGTCATCGATATGCTTCCAATTCGGAAACGTTCTACTGACTGGTGACGCCCCAATCCTTTTTTGACGGCAAGGTGCATCACAGTGTGGTCTTGAACCAGTACGGGATTACGCCGCTTGTGGAGCTTACTGCTAGTGCGGGGATTTCTTGGACTAGCAAAGATGCAAAGCATGATCGCGATTTGCCACAGTTCCCTTCGGTCAGCTTAGCAAGATGGAAGCCTGGGCCCTTAGCAGCACTTTTCGGAGCTCACCGGTCACCATCCAAAGATATAATCGTTCTATCACCCAACAAGTGGCTCACCATAAGAACTTGCTGTATAGACAGTAGCTCTCGGTTTCAAAGATGAAGATGGAGTATCAGACCATTACTTCCTATATTTAGGAAATCGGTTTACCTGTCCTCAGAAAACATACTAATCCCGAATGAGTCAGATTCTATTATTTATATGGTGTTTGAAATTGTTCATTGACGCTCCTCAGACAAAATGAATTGCCCAGCCTGCCAGCGCATAGAGCAGCAGCCTAGCTATAATCGTTTCACGAAGTCTCAATTGCGTGCTAGGTGTCACATGAGTGGAGTTCTTTGGTTTGGTCATACGTAATGCATTGCAATCTGCCATTCCTAAATCGACACCGCACTTGCCTGGTGAGCGTGACAGTGGCTCCAGCATTTTTCATCTACAAAAGCGGGGAGGAGGACCTCGGAAGGATGGCACCTGAGAGACTCTTTCCCCATCCCCTCCGTGCTTAATATGTTCCTCACATGGAACTGGCAGACTGGGGCAGTCATCTGTGGTCTACTAGGCGTTGCTGTTTATTCCTATCGTTCTCGTATATCTAAATTCCGTCAGCTGCCCCTACCTCCTGGTCCACCGGACCCTCCTCTTGTGGAGTAGTATGTCGTGGCCATGCCATGATCGTCATATAATACTGATGTACAACAACAGTCCACCCAGGAAAATCGCTCAGTGGATAGCAGAATATGGACCAGTCATATCTCTCAATGATGGAGAAAACGTACTAGTCATCGTCGGACGTCACGAGGTATGACCAAATTTTGTAGGATATTACCATTGGGGTATTCACATCTGACAGGAAGCGCTTGATATCATGGAGAAGCAAGGCGCATGCGTCGCAGACCGTCCTCGTTCAGTCGCTGGCGGTGACATACTTGGTGGAGGAATGCGATTCGTCCAACTTCGCTATGGAGAAAGGTTCCGCAAATTTCGCAAGTAAGCGACCCATCAACTGAATCAAACCCTGACCATCTCACCATCCTGATCACATCAGAATCACGCATTCGCACCTCCAAGTGAAGACTGCTCAGACTTACGAGCCGATACAGTTCGCGCATGCACGTGAGGTTATTCAAGACATACTGGACGAGCCCAAATTGCACCAGCAACATATCAAGCGGTTCGTCTGTCCCCTATTCTCACTTTTCGGCTGGTGACATCTGCGCATAGTTATGTAGCAGCTGTAATTATGCATGTCGTCTATGGGAAAACAACCCGTACATCACTTGATGACCCATATCTACTGCGGCTGCAAAGGATGGTCCCAAGGATTCAGAGTGCGATGGCACCAGGCGCGTACCTCGTTGACAAGTACCCCATCCTCAAATATGTCCCTGGTTATGGGCGAGATTTGAAGGCATGGGGACGGGAAGAATACGATATGTTATATGGCCAGTTCAAGTGGGTTAAAAGTCAAGTGGTACGGACCCTTCTTCTCTTATTACATCAATTTCGTCATGACCTGCAACAGGAAAGCAACATTGCGCCCCCCTCAGTTACAAAGGATTTCCTCCTAAACGAAGAAAACAAATTGTCTGACGCAGAGATGACATATATTTCTGGGTCCCTTGTCGGAGCAGGCTCCGATACGGCAAGCAAAATAAATTGACGCGCATCAGCTCAACCTAACTTGCGGAATCTTAGACTGCTGTCGGGACTTCAACGGTGTTAATGGCTGCTGCACGTTTCCCAGAAGCACAAGCTCGCGTACACGAGGAGCTGGATACTGTGGTTGGCAGGGAGACCCGTATGGAGGTAAATCTCATTTTAGTTCAAAACCGACTGACCTAGTGCCGCAGCTCCCACTTTCGAGGACTGGTCGCAGCTTGTTCAGGTTCAAGCCTTCATTCTGGAAGCTCTTCGATGGAGGCCTATCAACCCAACAGGTGAGGCAAGAAGGTACATTTAAGGTCATTTGGTTGATCAGCATTCCAGGATTCCCGCATCGCGCAACACAAGATATAATTTGGGTATGTCGCACAAAATCACAAATCAAATCCGAGTTCATCATCATCACAGAACGGCGTGTGCATCCCTGCTGGCGCCATCGTTCGTGGAAGTAATTGGTTAGTGCACGCCAGGATTCACTTTTACAGTCTTTCACTTCGTTCTTCAGGTGCATCGGGCGTGACCCCGCTGTCTTTCTCGATCCCGAAGTATTCAATCCACAACGATGGATCGGTGAAGACGGAGAAATCAGAGAGGACATGAAGATATTCACTTTTGGTTTTGGAAGACGGTAGGTATCAGCTCCTTATTTCACTGGGTTTCCGCTGACCATATCTTAGTGCATGCCCGGGGGTGCATATCGCTAGACGGTGAGCCGACAGCATGACTTCATGACTACTTTGTCTCATCATCCACCACGTTTCAGATCAGTGTTCATCGCTGTCGCTCTTATGTTCTGGTCCTTCACGGTGGCAGAAGACCCTGACAAACCCATTGACGACACTGCTTTCACCCCTGGTGTGGTATCACACCAGATGCCTTTCAGCTTGGTGTTCAAGCCCCGCATTGATGAAGCATTTTTGAGAAGCACTTTCTGTTAGACGGCATATATGATATATAATGCTCTCGCTTTGCGTGGCTGTCGGTACAGCGATCTTGGTATCTTTATGTAACTTTTAGGTTCGTTATAGTTTCTCTTGTTAGCCATATTTCCTGCTCTGCATCATACGCCTGCTGTATAAATATTTAGAATAACATAACGATGCAGTTGTATTTTGATACAGCTTTGTGACAATGCAAAATCATGAGTCCCCTCGTCACTCCTTCGAGTGCAGGAGACTGCGGGATTGATCCCTGGCCATGCAATTGCAACAGCCGTCAACTGACCACTGATGAATTGGCTAACACGTCCGACAATTACCTTCAGCGTAAACCATCCAAGAGGCAGATCCCGCTTGCACAGATTTACAAACCTGCAAGACACTTGATACTAACACCATATTGCTCTGCAGATGCCTCAGTCGAATCAAAAAGATGGACGTACAAAACAAACTAAGTGTCCGGCCTGTCAATCGTCGAAGAACCACTTGTGCATGGGCGGAACAATTAATGTACTAGCGACAATTGCGCGTCTGACGTCAAGGAAACTCCATTGGGTACATTCATCACGATGGTGGGTACCTGTCTGTGATACGATTCCCAGATGATCCGATGCGTTTCGAGTGATTCCTAGTCGGGCACGAAGACTTCAGCTAACCTTGCAATCGCAAAATTAACCGTCCCGCTAAGTGATAGTGATAAAGGTGTAAGCAGACCATTCTCAGTGAGTAGTCTCAACCAAAACTTTTATCCCTCTTGTAAGGCTGGGTATGAGTTCGAGAGGGAATTGTGAAGGAAACGACACAGATACGAGACGAGTACGGAAAACGTTAGAGACGGAAACTTCCTTTGAGGCGTTCGGGCGTGCTTGGAGCGGGGAATCACTGTATGGGATTCTGCTGCTGATGAGTGTACATGGGCTGTATATATACATTTTCAGATAGTTAACTAGGCCAGAATGAGCACGAGGAGCATATGGCGAATGTGAAAATGAACGGTCAAGGTAAGGGGATCGTGGAGTCTGAGCACAAGGTAAGATAATGAAAGAAAATGGAAACGGATGTACTATCCGCGTGTCTCGGATGCGAAGAGTTTGCCCTTCGCATCAATCAGTGAAAGGAGCGGCCCAGACATTAGCGGCAATGGGAGCGAGGTAAACGAGTTGAGTGTAAAATACTGCATAATTGACATGGCTTATGTCAAGACCATGCATTTCTCGAGCGAGTGCCCCGATTTCGTCCAGAGTAGATTTGACAGGTGCAGGAGCAGGAGCGGATACGACGCGCTTGGTTTGTACCTCTCGTCGTGCGTCCTTCCTCTCTTCTTCTTCGTCAGAGTCCCAACTTGTACGCGATGGTTTAAGCTTGGATCCACGAGTATCATGCACAGATCTAAGACGACTGGCAATAGGTTGATTCAGGACTGCATCAAACGCGTCGTCAGAAAACACCAATCGCCCGACCTCCAGAACTTTCTCAAAATCAGCTTCTTCGATATTAAGACGTCGGCCGATAGCACGTCGTGCGGAATGAGGTAGTCCCTGCCAGAAGTATTGGTCACGTTCACGCGCGGAAATCTTGGAGTTGGCTACTAGCCAGACCGCGACAGGACGAAATTGACGGTAGTACTGAAGTAGTTCCGTTTCTGTGGATATATCTGAATCCGCTGTGTTGAGGATGATTCTTTCTAAGTCGCGCATGGTATAGCGTGCGCGGGGGTATGATGCGATGATGCTCTTTTTGAAGGTGGCATAATCCTTGCTTTCGTATCCGGTCAGCGTGACCCAAAATCGCTTCGTCAGAACGTCCGTATATCGAACTATGACCCTGCACTTTTGTTCGTCCGTGAGCGCACAGCAGGAGGCCAAGTCTTCAAAGAGTTCGAAGAACTCAAGAAGCTCGAACGTTGCGCCATCAAAGTTAAACAAAGGCGCCTTGTTGGATCCAGGGCCGGGCATCGCCAATATTCCCTTGTTTGCGTTCGACATGAGTGGCGCAATTGAAAAAATAGATATTTATGTGTGATGTGTGGGATGGACCAGAAAACTGAAACGGTACGTAAGGTGGGATTAGAGTTTGCGAGGTAGTTGCAGTGACCGAAGGATTCGAAGGAGTGATTTGAACGGCGGGAGCAGTTGTAAGGCTTTATATGAGTTCGGCAGGGAATTGCGAACGAAACGAGATGAAAGAAGACGTGTTTAGTAGGTAATACGAAGAGGGACAGGTCTTTTTGAGAGGCTTTCAGTCGTTCTTGGAGCGGGGATCTCACTGTAGGATTCGCTGTATGTATGAGTGTACATGGGCGATATATATATGTTTTCGAATACTTGCATAAGCCGGATCGAGCGTGAAAATACTCTGTGCCGAGGTGAAAATACTCGATGAAGGAACAGATATTGAGTAATGTGAGCACAAGGTAAGGTACTGAATGGTAAGACGGAAAAGAGCTAATGAACGGAATATATCCACATAACTCGGATGCGAAGAGTTGCGCGCTTCGCATCAATGAATCACGTGGACGACTTCGAGCACGTGGGCGGCTTCGAGCGCCTTCGTTTTGAAGTCGTGCCAGCGTAAAGGATGTACAATCCTTACACTGTAACTGATTTAACCAGCGAAGAAACGTTGAACAGAACTGTACTCGATAAAGTCTATGAATTATAACGTCTGCTTAAGAGTACAACAGCCATTCAATCAAAATTCAACTAGAAAGTATCTGAAGTCATACAAAGGTGGAAGCAAGGAGTTCCTGAGAGTTCCTAGGAGGCTGATATCATTTGAACTTGTTCAGAAACTTCGACCCGCCTGCAGAGAAACCACATCAGCGGTGGATGACAGAATGTTGTTCAGGAGCAGACTCACTCTGCGCAAGGTTCTCCACCTGCCTCCTCGTATCCCTCCCCGCGATGCCCTCCAGCTTGTCTAGTGCGCGCCCCGTGAGATTGAACCCACCCCCTCCACCATTGCCTGTCCACGTCGGTGCCGATTGGTTCGGGGCGTAATAGTTCTGAGACTGGGGGTGTGTGGGAGGACCTTGTGAGCACGACCAGGGTTAGCAACGCGAGGGCAGTCGTGAATAAAAGATACGCACGATTATGGTGCGCTAGGGGCGGAGGCGAGTTTGGGTTTCCCCATTCGGGTGGAGGGAATGGTCGAGGAGAATGCGAACCACCAGGAGGTTGTGCGGGAGAAGTTTGGTGTTGGAAATAGTCTTGGGCAAGTGGATTTGGTGCGGGGTAGGTTGGGTAGGAATGTGGTGGCCTGTCCATTGCCATGTAAGGCTCTTGAGGTACACCAGAATTTGGAATTGTGTTCGGATGGAATTGTTCTACGCGGTGGAAAGAGGCGGCGTGTGAATGCATGTTGGCATCATGTCGATCGTATCCTAGTCCGCCTATAGCGGAAGGCTTACTCTGTGGTGAGGATGAAGGGTGGGAATCGAGGGGTGGGGCAGGGGGATGATTGTACGGAGCATAGTGAGGCTGTTGTTGGCCAGGATATTGGGACCATGATGCAACAGGTACTGAAGAAGCCGGCGGGCGCGGAGAAACTGACGGGGTTGCGGGCGAGGTGCTAGGACGCCTTAGGCTCGCCTCCACGGAAGGCATTTGCATGACCGGAGAAGAAATCCCTGACGTATGGGATTGATGTGGTCCTGGGTCGACTTCTGACGGATGGTGTGATAATTTCTGTCGGGCGAGATTATCGGCCAAATATGCCACAGTAGAAGGTTCAGGTGCAGAAAGGGGGGAAGAAGCTCCAGAAGATGGCCTGACAACGGAATGCGAGGAGCTTGGCCGCTGATAGAGCTGATGGGGACGCATGACCACATCCACGTTATCGGGGGGATATGCCGGTCTTGTTGACATCGGAGGAGGCGGAGGGCGAGAACTCATATTAATGGCAGGAGGTCGGCTGCTTGCCGATGACGAGCTTGTGGTCAGCGATGGACTCCTGGCTAGAACAGGCGGCGGGGACTCAAAAGAGGCCGAGGCACTGGATGAATAGCCGAGGGTGGGCTTGGTGGCTTCAGGTGGGACTGGCCTGACGTTGAATGCACCGCTTATTTGAGGACTCCGTGTATGATGCTCATCTTCCAGTCTATATGGTGGAGGAGCATCATCTGCCACTGCACCACCCTCTTTTGCAGCCCAATCGTTATACGCTCGTTGAGCTTTCTTCCATTGCTCCGCCTCTTCCTCGCGAGTTGTCTTATCTTCATACCTGGGGCGTGTTGCCCAATAATCTTGTAACTCCTTGACGGGAAACGTCTCGTCTATCATACGATCACCGCGCAATGATTCAGCGGCGAGACCAGTTATGCGCATATACCAGTCTGACGGAAGCGAATGGCCATCGGCGTCGAGCGCTAGAAAGTCAAACTGTGGGTGAACAGGGAGTTGCTTTGAAGAAGAGACAACAGGCATGAATGCTGTTCCTTCATCATATTCGTCCCACATGGCCCCGTAAATGATGCGCACCCCTGCGCGTCGAGCAGCATATATTTGCTTCCAGAGAAAGCGGCCCTCGTTGCGCTTTATGGCATTGAATCCCCATTTTCCGCCGGAGAGATTATAACCCTATAGAACATAAATAATAATCAGTAGGACAATGTTCATAGACAGGCATTACTGGACATACGCTGCCTCCAGGAAGTACTACGGGTATGTAGTCTACTCTTTTTTTGCCTTCATCTCCTCTTTGCTTCAAAAAATCGAAGTCCTGTTTGACCTTTTCATTCCCCCAGCGTTCCGCATCCTCTTCGTTTCCGTAACGCCCAACAGTCCAAGGGCTCAGTGCATCAAATTCTTCTGTCCAGACTCGCAAGAACTCAGGGTCTCGGTCGCTATCAGATGTCGATGTGCGCCAGTGTCCAGGTACACCTGCCATAAGATAAGCACCGCCTGGTGTGGAGGAACAAAAGAAATTAGTGATAGATCGGACGACTTCTGGAGAGTGATTTCTGTCGTTGAATCCAAAACCTGGAGGGGGGTAGATGAGCTAAACAACCAGAGGGATATGTATTGGCACGCATACCCCATAGAGCGATGACTGGGCTCCCTTTCTCGCGAAGGTAATTGGGGCTGTCTAGAATGCATTTATCCCGCATGAGATGCATCCAATCTTGCTCGAGCACTCGCTGAATCTTGTCTGGGTGAACACCCGAGACGTCATACCTAGATGCGCAATGAATACCAATCAAACTGAGTTGACAAGTATGCACACATTATGGCAAAGACCCTTCCCTCTGCTTCAGCAGCCTCTCGAACACGATCACCCACTTCATCTCTGATTTTCCTTATAGCTGAGCCCGCGTCGCATTGGCCTGCAAATCGTTGCAAGAACGCGCCGTCGACACCGTGCAACGCCATCCAGTTGAAATGGCGCCTCACCGTCTTCGGGTGGCGCGAAGAGAAGAGATACATTTGTTCTCCGTCTGCGTTTTTGAGACCTGGGGCAGGGTACAGCTCGGACGGGGAGTAATCAGATAAATCTGGCCATAGATCTGTATTAGGGTGTCCACCATGCGGGATCGGCTTATCAAACCAGTGCAGCCACCCATGGTGGTTAGGATCCAAAGGTTCGCCATCCCCATTACAGGTGAACCTGGAAAAGCAGTGTTGAGTACGAGGCTCACTATATGCGTCCCATCACCCGTCCGCGACTTTAAACCACTCCAAAGACATTCAAGGGTGATCATGAAACCAGTACAGCCCACGAGCTTGAATCTAAGAGAAAATTGAACGCACCATCCTTGATATCCAACTAGAAATTTGTCCTGTATTGTGTTTGGGTTTGCTCTATGGTGAGGTTCAAGGTGATGAGTAACAACGCCACTGCCAGCACGTTAGTCAGTGACGGTAAAGGTGGGCATACCTCTTGAGAACTCGTCCTTCTAACTCTTTCCCCGACATGGTGTGAAACAAAGCAAGAGGATGCTACGCAGCAACTCCTAGGCCTCCCTGGCCTCAAGGCCAGAATCAGGAACACGGAGTATAAATACTAAATATAGGTACCGGCGATTATACGCCCAAGACCCCGACTCCACAAGGCCGCTCTTCAAGCTTTCAAGCTTCACTCGTTTTCAAGTTTCAGGCCAAAGCTGAAAACTATCGGCGTTTTGCAAGCAATGCGCAGGGTATAGTGCCGTACAAACGATTGTCTCGCTAAGTACGTAGGTTATCATAGTGCAACTGCTGATTGTCCGAGCAACTTAAACAACACAGACAAGGGAGGAAACCACTTTCAAACCCAAGATCAATTCCAGTCCAAACACGACAAATGAAGATGAAGAAGTGTGCCACAGCTCGTCGCAAAACCAGATAGAAAAGCCACACCAATCAGACAGAAAGGCAATAGACGAAAATTACATGCAAGGCATCAAAACTTCCTGCCTCAGGCGGAGTTTAGCGAAGCCCATGACAGTGGCTGATGCGGGTCAGGTTCGAGGGCTGCGTCTGGTTGAAGGATCGTGCTATGATCTGGTTCATGGCTCATGGCTCGGAACAAAGTCAGGGTCACGGTTCGGAACAAAATCTGGTCCACGGTTCGGTTTGGTTTGTGGTTCAGGATATGGTCTGGTTCGTAGATCGGTATAGGTCTGGGTCAGCAAGGAAATTTTTACACGGATGAAGCAGAGCAGCCGCGACAACCTCTTCAAAGAGCATCATAATGTAACGCAGCGCGCGTAAGCGACAGAAGTGCGAGTCGTACGACAGAAGGGATTTGACAGACTCTGGATGGGTACGCCTCTTCGGGATAAAGTTTGCAGGAGGTTGGCAAACTGCCTCCATGGTGACAGACGCGGGCAAATCAGAAAGTGGTGGTCGGGAAAGAAAAACCATGTAGGATCATCACTGACCACGGTGATATATAGAGCGCTAAGATCGGCCATTAAACGATATGAGGTACGTAGAACAGCGCAGGAATACGCACCCTTCCAAAGAAAGGAGGGAAAGGAAATACGGGAGGGGCCTTGGAGGACTTGATCAGGCATTAAATCAACGTATGGCGGGTGACCGGTGAAGGCGTTCAACCGGTATGCGACATCTGACGCATAGACACAAGCTCTACATGAACTTCCGACTAGGAGTTAAATTTAGATAGGGCCTGATCATCTCCATTAATGATGAGGAGATTCAAGAACCATATAATCGGATATGTCGTGTGGAGAAAGTAGAGAGAGGTGTTCGACAAAGCGAGCGCTGAGGCTATGTAGTATGGAACGTGGGAGTCGACCGACATAATTCATTCCATAAAATAATTATTGAAATCATGTTCGTTGCTTTTCACCGACTTCAGTTTCCGTCGTGCCGGAGCACGCAACGCGCTGAGCTCGACCTTGAAATGCTCAATACGAGTCACGGAAAGTCAAGGTAAAAACTATTATCATCTGAATCATGAGACTTGACATAACGTAAATTAGTAATGCCCAACTAAGGTCGTCCTGTGAGACCATGATGCCATGGATGACTTTACCAGCGCCATTAATGCCATGGATATCAGGCGCTGCCTTGGATTCACTTGTCCATCGTTATCGACCGTAGTCAGATGGCAGAGCTTTCAGATTCTTTTGTTTCTAATAATCATATGTATATCATGATAAGATGGGCAAATAGTATCCGCATGTTAAAGAGAAAATTTGGAATATGCCGTTCACTGGTGTAAAACTATGACAGTACCGTAGATTGACACAGAAAGCAAAAGATACTACACAGTCATCATACTAAGTGTAGTTATGCTCTCATAGACCAACTTGGCAGTGTGAATAGGATTTTGGAACGTGTCACTACTCAAGAAGCCCGAGAACTCTCAATAGAGGTCTGTATTAAACTGTAAAACGGTCGCATGTGCCTAGAGACAACATTATGATTTGTTAACAAGCGGCGAACTACACCATGTAAACACTCACAACATACTGCGTCGCAAAAACGATGCTTGACTTATTTCCGACGTTTTGATGAGCTAGGGGTGTCCGATTCGAGCTGGCTATCGCTGTTGATTCGAAATTCATCCGAGACGCGCTTCCTGGATATTCCAATATGTAACACAGCAGTGTTGGGCCTCGGAGAAGAGACGAGTGGTAAGGGTGATGCAAGAAGAGAAGTAGAAGGAGGAAGTTGGGTTGATGGGCGAGGATTAGAAATATGCCTCGCATGTGAGGTAACGACAAGCTCTTCTGTGAGAAGCATAGTTGCTGGAGTTGACGGTCCTCTGGTGACCATGGTCGACATTTCAGAAGTAGACGCAGATGCCGAAGCTTCCCTTGTTGAGTAGTGAAAATCAGGGTCGATGGCTGACAGCCTTTTATTGGGCTGCGCATTAACGAGTTCAAACTGATTATAAGAACAAGCTTGTTAGGTAGGTGGATCGATGATTATTAGAAAAATGCATACCTTTGCAAGTTTCTGTCCCTACAGATAAAATATCAAGGCAAGACCGCAGACCCTTCAAACACCACTCCATTTCCAGCCAGCTGATAATACGATCATTCCAAAAAGCCTGGAACATGTGGTTGAGTGTGTCATCCCATGGATGGGGAACACACGAGAAATGTACAGCCCAGTTGTGACAGGCGTACTTGAGAGCATCGGAAGCTAATTGACTTCGTTCCAGTGCTTCGTTTGCGAACCCCTCAAAGGCATTCATAGCATGAATGATCTCCCTGTCTGGTAGAAGACTTTCTGATAATGCACAGGTGGAATGATAGCGGTGTCTTAATGCCAGGAAGACCGGAAACATCAAGAAATCCGGTAAGGTCTTGAACTGCTGGATTACCCGGAAAGCTGGCAATAAAGGCACATCGCTGAGAGCGATATACTCGTTGGTTGCTTCCCATGTCCTCGAGAATTCCTCCATTGTTACCCAGACGGAGGCCGCAGGAGTGGACTGCCACGCTTGACCACGGGGACTCTGCAGCCAGTCGCACCCACACGAGGTCTGCAGCCAGTCTCGTCCTGCCTGGGTCTGCAGCCAGTCTCGTCCTGCCTGGGTCTGCAGCCAGTCTCGTCCTGCCTGGGTCTGCAGCCAGTCTCGTCCTTCCTGGGTCTGCAGCCAGTCTCGTCCTGCCTGGGTCTGCAGCCAGTCTCGTCCTGCTTGGGTCTGCAGCCAGTCTCGTCCTTCCTGGGTCTGCAGCCAGTCTCGTCCTGCCTGGGTCTGCAGCCAGTCTAGTCCTCCCTGCAGCCAGTCTCGTCCTGCCTTGGTCTGCAGCCAGTCTTGTCCTCCCTGGGTCTGCAGCCAGTCTCGTCCTCCCTGGGTCTGCAGCCAGTCTAGTCCTCCCTGCAGCCAGTCTCGTCCTGCCTTGGTCTGCAGCCAGTCTTGTCCTCCCTGGGTCTGCAGCCAGTCTCGTCCTCCCTGGGTCCACAGCCAGTCTCGCCCTCCCTGGGTCCACAGCCAGTCTCGTCCTCCCTGGGTCCACAGCCAGCTTCGTCCTTCCCAGGTCCGCAACCAGTCTCCTCCCCGGGTCTGCAGCGACTCTGGTTCTGCCGGGATCTGCAGCCAATTTCGTCCTTCCTGGATCTGCAGCCAGTCCCGCTCTGCTGGGGTCTGCTGCCACTCTCGTCCTCCCTGGGTCTGCAGCCACTCTCGTTCTGCCGGGGTCTGCAGCCAGTCTCGTCCTTCCTGGATCTGCAGCCACTCTCGTCCTTCCTGGGTCTGTACCCAGTCTCGTCCTCCCTTGGTCTGCAGCCAGTCCCATCCTCTCTGGGTCTGCATCCACTCTTGTCCTCTCTGGATCTTCAACCACTCTCGTCCTCTCTGGGTCTGCAGCCAGTTTCGTCCTGCCTGGGTCTGCAGCCAGTCTCGTCCTCCCAGGGTCTGCAGCCAGAATCGTCCTCCCTGGACCTGCAGCCAGTCTCGCCCCCCCTGTGTCTGCAGCCAGTCTTGTCCTCCACGGATCCGCAGCCAGGCACGCCCGTCCACAGTCCCCAGCCAAAATTGTAAATCTGAAGTACGATCCCCTCGAAGCCACAGGTTGCAGATGACAGCTGACAGTGGCTCAGGTGGCCGATCAAGGAACGCTAACGTGTCTTTTAACTTATGGGGGTCCTCATGTTGCATAGCTTTGCTTTGCTTCTTCAGTTCTGAGAGTGCATCCAAGAGAGCCGTGCTTTCTGGAATCGCGTTCATCAACCGGAAAGAGGAACGTGCGAGTAGGAAATGAGGTGATGCGACGTCGCGTACTTGAGGGAGGCTGCAGTTCGAGGGGTCGGAAACATAGTCGCGAATGGACGAGTGATAGATATTCACGGGGAGACTGGTGTCGGTAGGAATATCTATGACAGATCGTAGCTGTATCAGCGTTGTCTGCACATCCCTGCCCAAACCAGAGCCAAGAAGTGTCGAGATTTGCGAGATGGGAAGAGGGTCTGCCAGGGCGGCGACAATGGACAAGTGCATAAAAGCCCGCTTGGGGTCGGCACATGTGGAGAGGATACAGTCGTATAACTTGTACACCTCCGTGCCTGGTAGCAGTTTGCTTGTTAGCTTGAGCATTAGCTGCAGCCGATCGTGGGGATCATCGTCTTCATCGTCAATAATAAACTTCATCATCGTAGACGCCACGATGAAACGTCTGCCTGCGCGGCTCGCTAGCTTCGCAAGGTCACTCCCTGATGGCTGGGGGAAATCGGGATGGCGACTTTTTAGCTCTCCGAAGGAATACCGCAAGAAAGTACAGATGTCGTTGTCAACGTCTGCGCCATCTAACGAGATGATGCTACCCTCCCCAGAAGTTTTCACTGGTATTTCGCACACCAACAGGCGCACCTCTTCGTGCTGAAAGGCTTTGTAGATATGCGATTCCGAGCGACTGGTGAGCAGAATGTGGGTCACGGGAAGATCAGGGTCACGAAGAGCCTGTGCGAGGGAAAGGATGAGATCGGTAAGCTCGGGTTCAGATGTGCATTCATCAAGCGCATCGACAACAAACGACAAAGGCGGACATCCGCGCAATCTGAGTCGAAGTTTCCGGAGGGGTTGGAGAAAGAGAGCCTCCATCTGGTCGCAGAGAGGTGTGTCTGGGTCTAGTAGAGCGGGGTTGTTGCGGACAGCTCTGTTCACATCCTGCTGGATACTTGGAAAATTGGTGGCAAGTTGGTAAACAAGCGTCGCAAAGAAATATCCAGCTGTGCAGCGTTTGGTGTGCTTTCGCGAGAAAAAGAATGTTCCCGCTAGCCGCTTTTCGACGTTCGTCTCTTCTGTCACTTTTAGACCTCTCATCTTTTCAGCCACTGTAAATGCAACGGCAGACTTTCCGACGCCAGCCATGCCATGCAGCCAAATGAGTTGATTCTTCTGTAGGTTGTCCAGTGATTCGTAGATGTACTTCAGGAGATCAACCCGGGTCCCATCCAAACATTTCGGGTGGGGCTGACGTTCACGGGAGTTATATTGGGCACCCTTGACAGCGACCTGGGCCAGCCTCGCCCAAGTTCCTTCAAGAACTGCCAAAGAGGTCAGAGAGCATGCGAGAGATAAAAGATGGAAGCACGGACATCGATCGTCACTCATTGACGAAAGTTGTGATATGCGGCGAGATGCAGTGAACCGACTGCAAGTACTGGTGGGTTCGAGGGTGTGGTTAGAAACAATCTGGGCGGTAGTAATCTGGAGGGACGACGTACGAGAATTTGGTAAAAAATATAAATCGTGATTAGATCGCGGAACTATTCAGCTGTCAATTGATGGAGAGTGCGAAGCGTGATGAAGATGGGATGGACGGAATCAATCTATTCTGCTATGAAAGGCTCGCTGGATGGTTGTAGTATGCAGTTGAAGGACGAGCAGGCGCTCGCCGTCCAGTGCTTGCAGGAGGACACGAGGTTGCTGTGCGGCCACAGCACTGCGGTGACAGCACAGCCAGACAGAAGCACGTCAGTAGCACTGCTCAAAGGTGAACCAGAGATATGTGCCATTGTGTGATCCCCTAGATTCTGTAGTGATTAATTGCAACTTTTGACAGACTCTAAAGTGAATGGCCGTGCAGCTCTCTAGCTTGAGTTACTCTTATACTGCAGGCATGACTGACAATCTGGCCTGGCGTTGGCTGGCTGCGCACGAAACTTCTTCTCAACATTCATCCCATCCCATCTCAAGACCTCACCCCTTTTCCGCTTGTCAGGGTCTTTTGAGTACTGACCACGGTGACCTATAGGGCGCTAAGATCGGCCATTAAACGATATGAGGTACGTAGAACAACGAAGAAATACGCACCTTTCCAAATATAGGAGAGGGAAGAAACACGGGCGAAGACTCAGAGGACTTGGTCATGTATTAAATAAATGTACAGCGGGTGAAGGCGTTTGAGCAGTATGCGACATCAAGCTCAAGACACAAGATGCTACAAGACGGTTATAGTGTACGGTACCAGTTCTTCATGAACCACTAGAGGAGTAAAATTTAGATAGGGCATGATTCCGTTGATGAGGAGATTCGAGAACCAGGAGGGACATTCGAGCCACGGAGATATCCAGGACTGAGGAAGTCAAGAGGTATATCGGATTAAGTCCGACGGATGCAAACAGAAAGTCCTGGTATTTCATGACATAATTCATTCCGTAAAATAATTGTTGAAATCATATTTGTTGCTGTTCACCGGTTTCTTCAGATTCCATCCAGCTGTACCAGAGCACGAAACGCGCTGAGTCCCAGCCTTGATATGCTCAGTACAAGTCACTGACTTGGAAAGTCAGAGGGCAAAGGCTATTATTATCTGGAGTCATAAGACTCATAACGTAATACCCAGCTAATGACACTGCTACAAATATCGTCTCAATGGATGACTTTATCAGCGCCAAACGCCATGGATAGCACTGCAGAAGACCTCGCCAGCTATCTCCTACAGCAACTCAAACTGTACGTTTATTTTTCAGAGATTAACGCTATTTGATTTCATGGTCACTCGTAAGCCAGTAAAGCAGTTGAAGAGCGGCTTTTGGTTGCTATCGCAGGCGTCCCCGCATCAGGCAAATCAACCTTGGCTGAGCTGGTAGTCGCCAAAGTCAACACGGTTTTGGCTGCTGATAGCGCCACGCATTTCACTTCCGCCATTTTGGTTGGCTTGGATGGGTGGCATCTGACGCGCGCACAGCTAGATGCCATGTTGGATCCTAAACTTGCGCATGATCGTCGCGGTGCACACTGGACTTTCGACGGACCATCTTACGTCGAGTTCGCGAAGCTTTTACGCCAACCGGCAGCTGCTGTGATAACTGCCCCTTCTTTTGATCATTCCCTGAAAGATCCTACCCCTCATGCTGTGTCGATATACCCTTCCCACCGCCTGGTTGTGATCGAGGGTTTATATTCCATGTTAAAGCACGACATATGGGAGCAGGGCGCACAACTAATGGACGAACGGTGGTGGATACAGGTAGATCTGGAGGAAGCGAAGCGGCGGTTGGTTAAGAGGCATGTCCTCACCGGCGTGGCCAAAGACATGGAAGAGGCAATATGGAGAGCCGGGCAGAATGATGAACCAAGTAAACGCCGTAATCTTCATAAAACGATATGAGGGATGCTAAAGCTTGGTCTCCCAGATGGGAAGTTCATTGCGGAAAACCTATATGAACCCACAAGGATCATCAAGAGCTTGGACGACCCCAAGTATACTCTGTGACCTACCGCAAAAATGTAAATCTCACTTCTCCGAATGCAAATTCTTGACTTCTGGGACTTGGTTCACTCGCCGATAAACCCCCGATAAGGACAGATAAGTTATAATCGAGTTGTGGACTGTGTATCACAGTGATTTTGCTGAACGCCCATCGATGCACAGCTCCTCTTCACACCAATTACAGTATTTCTGAATTCACCATGGTCGATCGATCCACGACGATGAATACCAGCATTCCCGCCTGAATTCTGTGTCTCCGTGGCTGTAAGCATCCACGATGGTCATATTCATGAGCTGCGAAAGAATAATATTTATAGAGTCCAACTGGATGATTCGGTTGGTGTTTTGGAATTCGTTTTCCGTTCCTGAGTTACTGAGAACCTGCCATACTCAAGCTGATCCACACCATATTGAGCTCGAACTTAGTAGCGGAGTTAGACTGGCGCTCAAGTTTGCAAGACATCTACGGGTTACGTACCACTGTTCAGTGGGTAGAACTTCGAGCACGATGTAGCGAGCACTGCGCGACGTAAATTCCTATTACGGCAATACTGTAAACAAGACGGACATATCGCGGCACTTATCAATGAGCTTCACAATTGTAATACAGTGAGAGCGTTGTTTTTGTTATCTTTGATCATCAATGCTGACGAGTGGAGCGACATTCCACAGATAGCAATAAGAACGGTACGAATCACACTTATCGTCAACGTCATAGAAAGTGATCGCCCACGTAGGGAAGCCGCAGATCAGCAACTACGAGTCATTCAGCTCGATCAAGGTGATTGCGTAGTAGGAGACCACGTTATCGAGGGTTTGTTCAAATCATTATTCACGTGACGGTAAGCTTCACTTACGTGTACTGAGACCTTTCAGCACCGCGATAATTGCATCTCTGACTTGTCACGCGAAAGACATTGATCGCCTCGGGGAACATTTTTACAAACTGTGTCAAAGATGCGCCTACTAAACTACAATAGACGACAGCATCACCCACGCCACGCTCCAATATTACCGTAGAGGTGAGCAGTTCGACAGTCTTTATATCACGAACAAAGTCTTACGGCGTGCTACACAACGTCTTCAGTGATACGGGAAGATAAGGATAACCTAAGACGAACGATTTGCTGACAACGTCACATCTCCTGTAAATCATGCATACATTGCGAGGAAGCAAGAACTCGACGAAGATGCCATATGACCCTACATCGACACCAAGTTGGCGGAGAGGTGGGTGTGGGAACCACGGGGGGAGGGGATGCTGCGATGTGTTAATGACCCTGTAACAGGCTTCTACGAAGCGCTGCAGCTGGAGTGTACGACCCCGATCCGGCGCGGGTTGCAACCCGAGAATTTTGATCATGGCGTGGGTCATGGCCGAAAATGTATAATTGTTCTCCTCTTTTTGAGGAGAAATTTCTCTTCGTTTTGCCTAATCACCAGCGCAGTGGCCTCAAAGCGTACCCGAAGAACCTTGAAAGGGGAGCTTGGGAAGATGGGACAAGGCAAACATTTTCCCAGGTAAATCCATCACCGGATAGCTGGGGGTTTGACGATGCGTACCAATAGCTGAAGTTCACCGTTTGGCGTGATGTGCATACGGCTTTGTGCTTACTGTACTTAATAGGTCCCACCACATCATGATTGGGCGCCTCTGGAAAAGAGCGAACCCCAATAGCAGTATTCGCCTAGGGGTTGTCTACCTTGGTAGCAAGAATGCCGCAAACTGTGAATCGGTATTCCTATAAATCACACGAAAACATCATGCGACCAGCCAGTTGGTGTTCCATGATGTACGATTGGAGGAGACACGGGCGCCACACTCACCGGTTTTGTTATCTCCTCTGAGGACAACTTAAAAAACAACGTTGAATGCATGACCGGTAAATACTATAGGCATCTGAGGCGGCACGCTACCTCATGCTGAACATATCACAAGATCTCGAGATACTTACTATGGTGTTTCCTGCTTCCGAGGTCCCTGCACGATGTAGCGGGGCGTTCCTGCCGGACTTGTGCAGGCCAGGTTCAGGGAAGAGCAGGTGTACGCCAGCGAAGTGGGTCAGCGGAGTCTCGCAGAGTACAGAGTGAGGGGTAGAGGTGGCAGGGGGCCTGGCGGAGTCCAGGGTCACGATCGTGCATAGACACATGTAGCACACGCGGTGCAGACCAGTTCATCGATAACAGCTTGGTTCTTCTTCGCCCTCTCTCTCTCGAGCAGTGCTGGCCAGTCGTACGATTTTACAGTCCCAATACTCGTGGTTCTTCACGTTTGAAGAAAGTTCAACCTCTTCCAAACCATTAATCTTTAGCCAGCCGGTCCAGTGAAACCGATGCTGTAACAGACTCTGCCCAAAGCACGTGGTGACCACTGGATGTGTTGTTACCGGTCACGCGCACGGACCGCGGCCCAAGTCAGACATCGCCGCAATTAGAGACTGGTAAGCCGCAGATATCGTCATACATGCCGATATATGATCATATATAGAAAAGGTTTTTGTCATATTGGAATATAAAGCCATCTATGACGTTGGAAAACAACGTAAAGGACCCTGGGGATATTCTGATAGGCGGCGGCGCCCGCCCGCGCCCGTCCGCGGCCAACATCGCTACTTATAAGAAACAGTCGAGACAGACACTAGGCCCAAGCTCAAACTGGCGAAGAGCAAAAACAGGATAGATTATCGTCAGGATAATACTCGATACAGGCGCAAATCTCATAACAAGCTAACGTTACAGTACGTACTCGGAGCAATCGTAATTTAGATGCGTGAAGACAACGATCGATGGCCAGCACTTCAAAAACCCCTAACGGGCCAAAAAAAACAAGCAAATAGTGATGAGGCCAGATGTAGAGCTGGCGAGTAGGTGATGTGTGAGGAATAAATGCTAGGGCGGAACTATAACCAAGGAAGTCCGAGTCCAAATAAGCCGGCAAGAATAGCAAGAAAGTCAAGAATCCAGGGAAGAACACGGCGGATGCAAAAATGATTAGACCATGACAAGTCTTCCCATAACGTACGTTCCTCCATTCACGAGGCCGACGTTCCCCACATCTTTGCCGCCGAACCCTACGGCTGGGCCCGGGAGGGTACCTTTCCACCCACAAGGGTGATATGGCGTGAGGCCAGCACTCTCATCCCATGAGTTGCGCTCTTCAACCCACTCGTTGGATACCTCATCTTTGACTGCCGTAACAGGCGGGAGGGGGACGGTGGTCGCTTTTGAAGACTCTACGGGGAAAAGATTGAATGGAAGAAGGGATGTCGGTATCCATTGCGACGGGGACGGAGCACGACGGCGCCTCTTTGCGGACGCCTTGGGCTGTTCTGATGGTGACGTAGTCGATTCATCGCGAGCACGCTTATTCGGTCGCGAATCTGAATCTGATGATGAAGCAACACCTGAGGCAGCGGAAGCCTCTGCCGGCGGGACGGATGTGGCTTCTTGTGGCGTCCCGGCAGAGTCACTAGATGTCAACTGGTTTGCGCGATTCGCAGTGTTAACGGGCTTAAGAATACACCGCTTAACATGACGGTTAAGATTGGACGCAACGCCAAAACGACGGCCACAGGTGTCACACACGAATGCTACAATTACAATTTCAAGGTTTAGCGTCGTACGACCGCAGAAAATTTGTCACATACCTTTTTCTCCTGTGTGTACGAGCAAATGCTGCAAGGCGGAGACCTTTAACATGAGCTAGCTATTTATAGCGGCAAAGTAATATTGACCTTTCTCAATGTGGAGGGCCTATCAAAAGATTTCTCGCACATCCAGCAGGCGTGCTTCTTTTCCCGTGGTCTTGGGCCTGAGCCTTCACTTTTGGCGTTGCGTGATGCCGCGGACCTGGAAGAGCTGGCACATGCGGTGCGAATGGACTGTGTTATCTCGGCAGGGGTGGTGGAGGGTCCCGGTAATGCCAGGGCAGGTAGGAGCGGCGGCGACGGATGAGATGGAAGAGCCATGTTGGACGACGTTGGAAGATCAATACAGTAAGAATGCGTTGAAGAAGAAAAATGTGATGACTGATGGGCTTTTATCGCAAGCAGGGTATGGGTAGTGTAGTTGTTGCTGGTAGAATAAAGGCAGTGCGTCCGACCACTCACATGAGGTATGGCCGCCGGCGATGGTACGAAAGTTAGCTAAAGATGGGGGGTATATCTAAAGATATAGGTGGTCCGGTGACCATGGCACGTAGAGCCGACGTTGTCGATGCGCCGCTATCTTGGAGAGAACATCTACCGCTCTGTATATCGTATGCGTCGTAGATGGATGATCTTTCTAAGAAGCCTGCGACCCAATCCGACGTGTTTGACTGGGAAAGAGATGGACCCAGTTGAGCGCTCTGTATATGGTGCTGCCGAAAATTGGGCTGTTGGAGTAGAGGGCTTGGACTCTGCATCATGGCGCGGAGGTCAGGGGGCGGCTGGGTATCGACGAGGAGGACGAAGCCTGATGAAGTTCACGCCAATTCTGTGAGCAAGAAAGCTTATATATATGATTCGTTGGGTACATCCGTTGTAACCCTAAAGGTGCGAAGACATAAAGAAAACGAGGTCCAAATCTATGAAGGCCCAGGCAACGAACAGCTGCTTTACGGCAGAAATTAGCATTCGACCCCAGCGGCTCGCACCAATTTCAGCAATTGTAATTAGGCGTGGACCAACCAGCTGGCTGAGGCTAGCTCATCTGAGAATTCCGATAGCTCATCTTGAACTCACCGCTTTCGCAGGAAGCCTCGGAGGCCCGCGTGTTGTTGAGGAAGGTGACAGGCCAACCGCTGGAGGAAGGAAATTGTTGGATCAATATTGACATACTCTAATGGGCTGTCGGTCCGTAATAACAAAGGACTACTTCCCCCACTGGCACGCGTTGACTCGAGCAACAACATCTCAGCTTCGACTCGATTCTCGGCGGAGCGGAAATACCACGCTCGGTGCGCCTCGTTGTCTGAGTACTACGATGATGGCCCACAGACTTCCTTTCCGGATGTACTTCGAAGGGTTCTGTTTGGCCACGCAGGTGGCAGATATGAGGAACGACGATCCCGGTGCATTGAGATGCATTTGAGGAAATGAAGCATTCCTCGTGTGGGATGGAAATAGAAGAACAGCTCGCTGGATATGCATGCTTGAATCTGTGTTCTCCTATACTTAGTTTAATAATAATTAGTCAGTGGAAATGACGCAGCCGCCGGTAGTGGAATCATGGAGGCGGCAGCACAGGAAATTCATTTCTGATTGCAGATAGCAACAAGATCAAGTTCCTTCATAGTTCAACTTCTTCAGGCCCCGAGGCTCTCCTAATACGCGGAATCAATTACGTTTGTAGTCTCTTGTTAATTTTCAAGGCTTTTGACAAACAATTCAAAACAACGCCTCCAACAGCCTACTATGACAATAACAGCTGCCCAGAAGACCGCTATAGAGGAGGTTATTGAAATTATAGTTGCAACAACCCCAGCTCGCGGAAAACGTCAATTATCTCAATTGTTTATGGATCTCGTCGATAGATCAGAGTGGCCTGAGTATTATGAGGTATTTCTAATATTCCGCGGAAACGAACCCTGGACATATCCGAATTATGTCTATTTCATAGGTTATACCCGAGCCCCGATGTATCAACGCCATTAAATCAAGCGTTGAGCGGAACAGATACAAGGACGCGCTGAACGCGTACACCGATCTGTCGCTCGTGTTTTGGAACGCATTGTTCTACAACGAACCAGATAGTCAAATTGCTACTGATGCCCAGACTCTTAAGGTACGTTTTCCACTTCTTATCCGCGGCGCAATCGTTCTCAACACCGATTGGGCTTTCCGACGTTATCTATTCGCGTTTAGACTGTACTCGAAACTGAATGGCAGAAGAGAAGTATTCTTCCCGTGCCCCGACACTCGCCACCTCCCTCATCTGCTCAAAAGGTCCACGGAACGGGTCCCGCTGCACCGCCGCAGCCCTTTGTTATGCAGCCTTCCACTTCTGCAACAACCAAACTAAGGTCAACAGCTCCAACATCCGCTGTACCTCCAGCTTCCGAGTCACAGACCGCCAAATCCACTCCTCTAAAGGGACCAGTGGCTGCAGAAGAAAGGGTCGGGGATAGTGAGGCGATCGGCCGTCAGCTTGAGAAAACTCTCCCAAGATGGCAAGGCTTTGGAGAACTAGGGATGTCCGAGGTCAGCAAGGCGAGTATTCATGAATAGACCACTCAACCGTGGTGATGTTTAATCCCCGTTTTTATACTTACATACTTACTATGCCACAGGACCGACTGGTCGAAATTGTGCACAGTCCTCCTAAGACTCACACGCACGAGGACAATCGTGACCGGACCATGCTGACCGCGGCAGGGAATTTGACTGTTTCCCCAATTGTCGACAAGCTTCCCCCCGAAACCAGTGGGTTTTTTTGTTATTGTTTTCTAATCCGCTTACAAGTTTTATTAGCAAAACATTTTGATCGCTCTCCGGACACAAACGAGCTGTTCTGGTTTGCCGCTCCTCCAATGAATACCGCTCGGACACCACCCCCACAGCATAGTCTGACGTACTTGCATTTCTTGGCGACGAAACGCAAGGGCGCGGGTTCAGACGTCATGGACGTCGATGGTGAAGCTGCTTCAACAGGTCTTTCAAGTCGACAGCACACAGTTGCGCCTCCAACAGTTGGCGAAATTCTGCAAGCAACCATGAATTCAGCATCTACCGAACACCTTTAGACAATTTATCTATTCAACCCAAGTTAGGTTTCTCTTGGTCTGCCCGCCTCGTACTCATTGTTTGGCACGGCTTACAGACTTAATTGCTGCCCAGAAGAATTTCATCCTTTTTGACAGCTCTTCCAACGCTATTTTCCAACTTTGTCCAACCTATTCGTCAATATTAATTCATTTTGCACTATTTAAGCGCAAACTTGAGTCAGGAAGAACTCGGGCCATCTGTATCTGTGTAATGTACTGCAACGCATACTCGAGTCAGGTGAAATCAAGTTGGACGTAAGTCATATATCCACGCACCGAATCATCTTGATTGTTACTAGATACCCTTAGTATTGAGACGCTGATGCTGATAGGTTACCCGATTCTACCACTACCTTTACGACTACATCGCGATAGATTATTAATGCAGTCTTATCCTCGTGCCGTTCAAATCCGCGGAGGGCGTAATCTTGTCAGCATCGACAAGTGACGCAGAACATCTCCTAGCCTAAGTAATCGAGTCTGCTTCGCAAGTAGAAATCAAGGAGATGATGCTCGACAAACAATGATCTGGCAGCGGTTTTAACACTATGAATCTTTAGTTCCAGACACGTTCATCGAAGATAGGTTCCGGTCATTACGTTGGGCATGACGACGTTTTAGATGACGACGAAGCAGCAAGACCGATCTGAGGGCGAAATCGGCCACAGATCAAAATTTTATCTGCAGTGTGTGTCCAATTGCGATCCTACAGTAAAAGTTTGATTCTTCCCAGGGACTCCCTATTCAACCCTGGAGGCCTCAAGCACATAGGATCTTCAGAGCGATCGTTTTTGCCTTCGACCTCCCTCTCAATCCCTTTCCACCTTCCTTTCGGCGCATACACATGTGGCTTCGGGGTTGGAAGTCGGTCAAAAGATTCCCCTCCGCAAACTACGATATAACGGCGGCCTCCTCAGTCTGCAAGGTTCTTCCCACCGCGAAGCTTTCTCTGTCGCCATACAGCCTGGTAGTACCGTTACGTGTATTAAGAACTCACTCAACGGACTTTTCGATAATATGTACGTATGTAATGATCTAGTTTCCCCTACATAGGCAGACCAAATAGAAGGACGGCAGTCATTTCTTCTTTATTATGGGAATAATCGGCAGCACATGGGCCTCGTGCCGCGCATACATACATGCATTATTTTCGATTTTTAAATTTCCTACGGAATACATTACAAGCACGTCCAATCGTGCAAGTACTTGCAAGAAGAACTCGTTTCCTCTTGCAATTGGTATCTCACTTAAGAGGTAATTTGCTGATCATGCTTCTCCTGCGGCACGCCTCCATGTTCGAGACCCAAGTCCAAGTTCATTACGGAGGCGTGGCTCCTCATATGTGTATGTGAATATTCGAATCTTGCCAAGTTATTGCAGCAGAAGCTAGCGGACTGTTCTGCCACTCATAATTATGCGAGCTCTAGGCCTTTGCGGCTTTTACTGTTTCTTGAGGAGGATCTTTGTTTTTACCATTAGGCGTCAGCTAGGTAGCAATATCAATCGGTGTGACAATCTTTGCACCGGTTAGTAGCCTGATTCTGGAACCTCATGGCACTTGAGACTTTGAATCTGACGAGCCTACCGAGGGAGCATCGTCACCTTCTGTCGATTCATCATGTAAACTCGTGGTAAGGAGGCCTAGGGGTACACTGGTTTATAAACTTCTGATCTTCAAGTTAGCGCCTTCACATCCGGGGAATTGGAAACTGAAAATGGTGTGGAGTAGGTATGAAATTCAAATTGTGAGTCTCTAGAAGAGAACGAAAGAATGTCAGAAGCATGTCCACATCTCATGATAATTCAAAATATTGTATTTAATAACGACGGAAGTTCATGTCTCGCGAGATGATGGGAACAGCGGGATATACGAAATATTGATAGGACGCGCGGAGACAGAGAGAAACTCCGTGACCCCGCTTTGCCTATATTTTGCGCATCAGAGTAAGAGATGAATAAAGATTGCGAATGACGGGACTGGCCCAGAGACGATAAGTCCACATTACAGTACATCTTGCGTGTCTGATCCAAGGCCAGAAACACGTTACTCAAACCATTGGTATGGCTTCGGAGGGCTGCCCGCTGCGTGTGGTGTGGAGAGACGTACCCGTCCGCGGTGGAGGTGAGAGTGAACCTTGCAGAGAGGGGTAAGCCATCTGGGGCTGTGGAGAGTACACAGTCCCATCTTGCGACGGAGCCAAGGACTGCCCATACAGCACAGGAGAGCCGTACGACTGAGAAAAGTCGGATGAATCGGACGGAAAACGATCATTTGTCATGCGAGTTGCCGCACCATCGCCTCTGTCTATGAATGGCTGCCGGTTGATGACAGAGCCGTAAGCTCCTTTCTTGTACACGTGGCGTCTGTACACTAGATAGGCGCCAACGGCAAGAAGCGAGAGAGCAGCCAAGGCTCCAATGGTACCGCCCACTATCGCACCCATGTCAGTTGATTTTGAGCTTGAACTTGAACTGCTGGATGAGCTTGAGCTTGAACCGCTAGATGACGATGAGGCGCTCGGGGTTACATCGGAAGGATCTGGGGCAGATCAACATCGGTGATGAAGAAACGAAAACAAACTAACATACTCGCTTGATAAGTAGCGTTTGCTTGCATGATATTGAAAGTCGCAGATGTCCATGTTGTCGCTAAAAAAACTCGTCAGTCGGCATCGCATGTTCTGAAGATGAAACCAACTCACGATTAGTAGTAGCCCAGTAAGGTATGGAAGCATTTCCACCAAGCATATATCCAGAAGGGAAAAATCTGTAAGATATTGTGAGCGCAGCTCAACAAATAATGAAACCTGAACAAACATCTGTGTCCACGATTGGTTGGTGCATCCGGATGCCCATTGAGCCCATCTATTTAATCATTAGTGTTTCCCAAAGAATACAAGATGGATGACTTGCTCCCAGACAGCAGAATCATTATTGCCTTGACATATAGTGCACGCCATCATAAGATTATATGACGACCAAGAACTGCTCTAATATCAGAATAACCAGAGACGGAGTTATCACCCCCTACTGACCAATAACATGGATTTGCGGTCGAAGAATTTGGCAAGGAGTACGAATAACCGTTCATCAGGACTGGTTGGTCATAGTCTTAGAGCGCGCACATGAGTTTATAGCCAAGAAATAAGGAAAATCCACATGCTGTTGGTCCCAGAACATGCAGCCTCGACATAAGCGACAGTAAGACAAGGTGAGTCGCCCCAACCGTCGTTCATCCATGAGTATTCACTGGTGCAGTTGGCAGGTGAGACGACATTGCGCTTGACTGGATGCACTTGTACGGCCAAGATAGTCGAAATATATGGAATTATAGACACAACTAAATAGAAACCCGGGGACGTGACCATGGTGTGGGCTAAGACTCACTGTCAGAGGCAAGGAATATGGGTAAGCACGCGGGTTATCAGAATGAGTGCCACCACGCTCTTATCTCCACGTCCCAGCGCTCAGAAGAAGCATTGTGTCTGGTGACCTGGAGGGAACCATGGCATATGGACCGCATGACCGGACGCAAAGTTCTTGCCTGATGCAATCAAAGCGTTAGCGCTGAATATCATGATTGAGTTGTGAGATTGTTATCCATTTTCAACAAAAGTCCTAGGTTGAATGCAGTGTCAAACAAGTTCAAATTTGTAAATGGTCAACTTTCAAACCACTACGACGTCGACAAGATTGTTAACGAGTAATTGCATACGACGAATCCCTCTATATAATTAGTACCATGCCGTCAACGCTATGCAAGATATATACTTCGACTTGTCTTCAGAAATGGGCCATCTGTTTCAGATTGCGCCACAGGTTGATTTCATCAATGAATCATGATTCAGCGCCTGTAACGTGGCTACAATGCGGCTGTGGCTTTTATCACCCGACATCGCCGCCATGCTCAAAGTTGGACAAGTAGTATTAGCTTCGTCCCGTAAAACTCGAAAGGGTGGCTATGTCGTTTTGAACCGATCGGCGCTTGGATTGTGCCTTCACGTCTGCGGAGTTGCCAACTGGACAATTGCAAGGAGGCGTGCCCACATCCTACGTGATTTCAATCAGAATAACAACAACATAATGATATCACAACATCATAATAAGATAGCGGGAACGACGGCATAAATGACGTGTTGATAGAATGTCCCGATCCCCACCTTGCCTGTCACACAAAAATAAGTAAAATCGTAAGGAGATTGGTCAGAAGATAATAGGTATAAGGTACGGAATGCGGGCGCGTCCAGGTATAAAAAAAATACCCTACTGTTAAACCATTGGTATGATATCGGGACGTTGGTTGTTACTAGTGTAGACAGACATATCTGTCGGCGGAAGAGGTGAGAATGAACCTTGCAGAGATGGGTATGCAGTCTGAGGTTGTGAAGAATATATAATTTCATGCTGCTGCGATGGAAATACGGACTGCCCATACAATGCAAGAGGGCCCGACATGAGTGGAACGAGGTTGGATGTATCGGAGGGGATCCGGTTATGTGTGCCTGACGATGGCATAAAGGTCGTCCCTTGTTGGTTGACGGCAAAGGCACGAACTCCTTTCCTGTACACGTGGCGTTTGTACAGCAGATAGGCACCAATGACGAGAAACAAGAGTGCGGCTGCGCCTCCGATGGTACCGCCAGCTATCGCACCCACGTCAGTTGATTTTGAGCTTGAATTTGAATCGCTAGATGATGATGAGGCGCTCGGGGTGACGCTAGAAGAATCTGGACCAGATCAACAACAGTAATGGAGAGATAGAATCAACCCAACACACTCGCTTGATAAGTAGCGTTTGCTTGCATGATATTGAAAGTCTCAGATGTCCATGTTGTCGCTAAAAAAACTCGTCAGTCAGCATCGCATGTTCTGAAGACAAAACCAACTCACGATTAGTAATGGCCCAGTAAGGTATGGAAGCATTTCCACCAAGCATATATTCAGAAGGGAAATATCTGTAAGATATTGTGAGCTCAGCTCAATAAATCATGAAACGTGAACAAACTCCTGTGTCCATGATAGGGTGGTACATCCGGATGCCCATCCAGCCCATCTATTTAATCGTTAATGTTTCCCGAGGAACACAAAATAAATGACTTGCTCGTAGACAGCAGAATCATTATTGCCTTGACATATAGTGCACGCCATCATAAGATTATATGACGACCAAGAACTGCTCTAATATCAGAATAACCGGAGACGCAGTTATCACCCCCACTTACCAATAACATGCATTTCCATTCGAGGAATTTGGCAAGGTGTACGATTGGCCGTTGTTCAGGACTGGTTGGACATAGTCTTAGAGCGCACACATAAGTTTACAGCCAAGAAATAAGGACAATCCACATGCTGTTGGTCCCAGAACATGCAGCCTCGACATAAGCGGCAGTAAGACAAGGTGAGTTGCCCTGAGCGTTGTCCATCCATGAGTATTCACTAGCGCAGGTGGCAAGTGAGACGACAGTGCGCTTGACTGGATGAACTTGTACTGCCATGGTAGTCGAAACAATTGAAATCACAGACACAACTAGATAAAAACCCGAGGACGGGACCATGGTGTGGGCTAACACCTACCGTTAGAGGGCAAGGGTTATGGGCAAGTACGCGGATCATCCCAGCGCTCAGAATAAGCACTGTGTCTGGTGACCTGGAGGGAATCATGGCATATGGACCGTAAGACCGGACGCAATGTTCTTGCCTGATGAATCAAAGTGCCAGAGCCTAGCGCTGAGCGCGGAATATTGAGTCCGTGAGATTGGGAAACCATCCATTTTCAAACAAAGATAATACAGAACTCCTGCAGGATCGAATGGTGTCAAACAAGTTACTTGCTCGCTCGCCGAATACTAACTGACCTTCAAGTTGCGCTCTTACTCGACTGTCGAGCTGACTTTGAAACCAGTCTCTGTGACATGTCGTGAGTTACAGTGACATTTGCGTGACTGCCGACTTCTGTCACGGTGGCCTATATATTAGGCCTTAGGATGCCGTCCGGCGTCAACGCATATATACTTCGACTTGTCTTCAGAAATGACATCTGTATCTATTTCAGATTGCGCCACAGGTTGATGAATCGGCGGCCCGCCCTAGGCCTCATGACTCAACGCTCGTGTGGCTACAACGCAGCGGTGGCTTTACTTTTATTACCCTACAACTCAGTTTGTCGCCGCCATGTATCAGCCCACTCAAATTTTTGAAGATCGGTAAGAAAAAATATATATTATTATTAGCCTTCGTCCTGTATAATTCGGAAGGGTGGCTATGTCGCTTTTAACCGATGCTTTTGGATTGTGTGTGAAGTTGCCAACTGGACGAGTTGGGTCTCAGAGGAAGGGAACGAAGGCATGTCAGAAATATGCCCACATCCCACGCGATGTAAATCAGAACATTGTTATTCTGTAACAAACAACAGCATCATGATTTATCATAACATCACGGGAACGACGGCATAAATATGACATCCTGATAGAATGCGATGTAGTAAATTCCATAATTTCCCGGATCCCCGCCTTGCCTGTCATAGAAAAATAAATAAAATCGTAAGGAGATTGGCCAGGAGATCATAGGTATAAAGTTCCGAATGCGGGCGCGTCCGACATGTCAAGGTATAAGGAGCTTGTAAGAAACGCCCTACTGTTAAACCATTGGTATAACATTGGAACGTTGGCCGTTACTAGTATATGTGGTGTAGACGGACATATCTGTCGGCGGAGGAGGTGAGACTGAACCTTGCAGAGATGGGTATGCAGTCTGAGGTTGTGGAGAATATGCAATCTCATGCTGCGACGGAGATACGGGCTGCCCATACAATGCAAGAGGGCCCGACATTGATGGTGCAAAGTTGGATGTGTCAGAAGGGAAACGGCTATGTGTGCTTGACATAAAGGTCGTCCCTTGTTGGTTGATGGCAGAAGCATGTACTTTCCTGTATAGGTGGCGTCTGTATAGGAAATAGGCAGCAATAGCGAGAAGCAAGAGTGCGGCTGCGCCTCCGATGGCACCGCCAACTATCGCACCCACGTCAGTTGATTTTGAGCTTGAACTGCTAGATGATGGGCTTGATCCGCTAGATGACGATGAGACGCTCGGGGTCACGTAGGAAGCATCTGGGGCAGATCAACATCGGTGATGAAGAAACGAAAACAAACTAACATACTCGCTTGATAAGTAGCGTTTGCTTGCATGATATTGAAAGTTGCAGATGGCCATGCTGTCGCTAAAAAAACTCGTCAGTCAGCATCGCATGTTCTGAAGACAAAACCAACTCACGATTAGTAATGGCCCAGTAAGGTATGGAAGCATTTCCACCAAGCACATATCCAGAAGGGAAATATCTGTAAGATATTGTGAGCGCAGCTCAACAGATCGTGAAACCTGAACAAACTCCTGTGTCCATGATGAGTTGGCGGTGCATCCGTTTGCCCATTGAGGCCATCTATTTAGTCATATTAATGTTTCCCGAAGCATACAATATGGATGACTTGCTCCCAGATAGCAGAATTATTATTGTTTTGACATATAGTGCACGCCATCATAAGATTATAGGACGACCAAGAACTGCTCTAATATCAGAATAACCGGAGACGCAGTTATTACCCCCACTCACCAGTAACATGCATTTGCGGTCGAAGAATTTGGCAAGGAGTACGAATAGCCGTTCTGAAGGATTGGTTGGTCATAGTCTTAGAGCGCGCACATGAGTTTATAGCCAAGAAATAAGGAAAATCCACATGCTGTTGGTCCCAGAACATGCAGCCTCGACATAAGCGACAGTAAGACAAGGTGAGTCGCCCTGGCCGTCGTCCATCCATGAGTATTCACTAGTGCAGGTGGCAGGTGAGATGACATTGCGCTTGACTGGATGCACTTGCACGGCCAAGATGGTCGAAATATATGGAATTATAGACACAAAACGATAGAAACACAAGGACACCATGTTGGAGGAGTAGGCTAGGATGCACTAGGGGATGTGGGGAACTTATCCGAGTCGTTAGGTCAGGGCTCGTCTCAGGCTTGTCTGGTGACCTGCCATGCCGATGTCTGTGCGCGTGGACCGGAACCGCAGGGAACCGCATGAGCGCGACTGCTTCAAGTGTACACGTGGGAGTACTCTCAGGCTTGTCATGGTCGACGGTCGTAATCTTCAAGCTTCAGCGCTAGCCCGCAACCGAGGTCACTCGATAATGAAGTAGTTATATGGCAATTCCGTAGGGAACACACACAGTATACATATCCGTTGTCAAAGATGAGTTCGGAAATGCATCTGGAAGCTGCATCCGAATTGTTTCAGGTTGTGCGCGTATTACTAGTACTACTATCATTACGGCTATTATATCATTACCCGACTGCTCCCTCGCATCTGTCAACTCACTTTGACGCCAAGGAGTCAGGCCCATCTTCAAAGTTCGGTAGTAATCTTCAAACTTTCCCAGTTTGTAAAGACGGTGGTGCCCCTGGTTCATCTATTCCTATCATGGCCATTCGCATTATTACTAACTTAAGTTGGTCCACGGGGCTTCATTCCGAGAAGTGACAGTGTGCGCGCCTACTCTATCCAAGACCTCATGATGGTCCGCGTTTAGCCGTGCATATCTCCCAGCTTTCACCGGTCACCTCGCAGCTTGTGCCCTCCGTTCGCATTCGTCGTCACTGTTTTCTCTCCTGGTTCCATTCACTACCGCCAGCGGTCGGCTTACAGGTCATTGCTTCACTGCCATCTCGATCGCGTTTCTGGCTCTGTAACATCTTTCGCACAGCTTCTTCATAAGCTCTCTCAACCTCGCTAGCAGCAAAATGACATCATGTTCAGGTTGGTCCGTGAACACCCAGGGGACATCGCCATGTGACATAGCGTCGTCGGTGTACAAGTCATGCCCGAATAATACAAGTAGTAAGCCCTCATCTATACCTTTCGTTGTGATACGCCTGAGTCGCATCAGGTAATACCACCCTCCCTTCCTCTTCTGAAAACTCCTTCGTTCCCGTTACCTCAAATGCGACCCTATGCACTTGGTAAGTCATATTTGTGTAAAGTCGGCGTGATTTTTTAAAACGAGAATGGGCACTATGAACAGTTCCTGGGCAAGTTACAACTTGATAAGTGCCTGTACGTTTTGTGTCCCGGGCTCCCCCTCTTTGGTGAGGTAAGTCTCTTAGGTCCACTCGCAGTTCGCTGTAGTAAACTTGGCATAGTTGGGATGCATGGATAGAGAATTGCGGTGGATTGACGTCAACAACAACGTGAGTTTATATACGCCTGTTTTCTACTGATCTGGTTTGTTTACTTACGTATCTCTCAAAGATACTTTCCTTGGGATTCGGGAATAAGGCTCCCTTCTAACACCGCAATAATACCTTATTATGCGAGCTACAATCGTGAGTTCTGATAACAGGACCGCTGAGCTCCCTTATCATGAATGATCTTGCAGCTAGTAACTACCCCGATGGGACATTTAACGAGCCCGTTGCCTCTGGCATAAGCTCTGCGTGTAAGCTCATTCGACTATGTCAGTCAAATGCGCACTGACTTTTATTAGCAAACCCCAACTTGAATGGATCACCCCTTCCCAGCCCTTCGTCCTCTTCGGGTTCATCATCCAGTTCAGGGAATCCTGTTGGTCCGATTGTTGGAGGTGTCGTCGGGGGAACGGTTCTTCTGCTTCTGTTATGCGGCTTCTTCTGCTTCATTATTTGCCGGAAGCGCAGAAGAGCAGCGCAATTCCCGTCCAAGGCCACACCGCATACATGGAATGATCCACCCTTTGCTGTGGCGACCAACGACTCAACGACTCGCGCTCCCCTCGCACCGTCGGGATACCCTCAGACATCAGCTGCGATGTCTACCTCTCCTTACGCTATTCAGTCTAATCATATTCGCAACGTTCCTTCAGTAACGAGTCTCCATTCGCTCCACGTCGCTTCACCCACTTCCTCTGGGCATGCTATGCCTTTGTCCCCCCATATTACCTCTGTGTTATCACCCGTCAGCGATGCAGCCGATGTGATCACTCCATTCCTAGCCACCCAACCGTCAAGCCGACCAGGCACACCAGACAGAAAGAGCGCCCAAAACCACGGTGAACCTGCGCATGAGCGCGCCGCGTCACCGCAATCTCAAAGATCACGCATGAACCCGCCCCCTTATACCTCATCATCTCCCACGTCCTCAGACCATGCCCGCACTGGGTCCATCTCTTCCAGGAGGCTTTCTGTCTTGAGGCACTTCAGGCGGGAAGGCGGCTCAGGGGACACGACCATCAACTCGGTCATGGGCCAGAGGCCGACGCACTCCCCGAGAATGCGCTCTGGAACGAGTGCTGAGAGCGCCAGAAGTGACTCGACCACTAGGAGTGTGAGCGACAATGGTCGGAGTATGAGGACTGCCCTTGAACGCACTACAACGACGGCTGCTTCAAGTTCGCGTCGGCCTGCCGTGTAAAGAATATCTTTGTATTTGTTTCTTCTTCTTGGACTCTCGTTTATCTTCCATTGGGTGTAGACAATACGCGCGGTATCGAACTGTGATCGTATAGGTTTCGTCTATGTAGTAATGGGGTTTTCTGTGAAACGGCTCCCGGATGGGGTGCGGTGGTGAGAGCGTACCAAAATGGCCGCTACTGTCATCCGCATGACTACTTTGCAGGAGCAGGTGTACGCGTTGTGGGAAATGACAGCGCTAGCACCAATATATAATATTGTGCTGACTTGGAGTGCGGCCTCCACCCGCGTGCGTCTCGCGTGCCAGGGCGCGAATTTCAAGCCCACCGCTTCGCTATGCCTGCTAGAGGTCAATTACTATATTTTACTTTTGGAATAGTGTAAGGCTTGGTATGAGTTCGATGGGGAGCGAACAGAACGAGATAGATATGAGACGTGTTAGTAGGTAACACGAAGATAGGGACGAAGACGTTTAGAGGCGGGGACTTTCTGTGAGGCGTTTGGTCGTACTTGGAGCGGGGAATCAGCGCACAAGATTCTGCTGGATTTCGTTGTAGGTATGAGTGTACATGGGCGGTATATATACGTTTTCGAATACTTGACTAGACCGGAATGAGAATGAGGAGTATATGGTGAATGTCAAATTGAACGGCGTAGGCAAGGGGATTGTGGAGTCTGAGCACAAGGTAAAGTAATGAAAGAGAATGGAAAGAGATGTATCCGCATGACTCGGATGCGAAGAGTAACGCGGTGAGTCACGTGGACGACTTCGACCGTCCTTTGAGTTTGAATCTACGTGCCGACGACAATATTATATTGAAGTACATGATGTTCATCGGTTCACTGATGACAAACACGCGAGGCAGGAATCGTAGAAATCTAGAGAATCATGCCGCAAACACAGATCACACATGACCTAGTGCTGCAGCACTGAGCGCTGAGCACTGCCGACGTGATTCTGTCTGGCTGTGCATTGTCAATAGTGAAGCCGCACAGCACCCTCGTGTCCTCCTGCAAGCATCGGACGGCGAGCGCCTGCTCGTCCTTCAACTGCATTCCACAACCATCTAGCGAGCTTTCCATAGCAGAATAGATTGATTCCGTCCATCCCAACTTCATCACGCTTCGCACTCTCCATCAATTGACAGCTGGATCGTTCCGCGATTTTATCACGACTTACAATCTTTGATTCAAATCCTCGTACATCGTCCCTCCAGATAACTATCGCCCAGATTATTTTTAATCACACCCTTGAACCCAGCTAGTACTTTCAATTGGTTCATTGTACCTCGCATATCACAACCTTCGTCAATGAGTGACTATCAATGTCAGTACTTCCATCTCTTGTCTCTAGCATGCTCTCTGACCTCTTTGACAGTCCTTCAAGGAACTTGGGCGAAGCTGTTTGAGGTTGCTGTCAAGGGTGCTCAATATAATTCCCGTGAACGTCAGCCCCACCCAAAATGTCTGCAAGGAACCCGGGTGGATCTCCTCAAATACATCCACGGATTCCTGGACGACACAGAGAATAATCAGCTCGTTTGGCTGCATGGCACAGCAGGCGTCGGAAAATCTGCTGTTGCGTTCACAGTAGCTGAGAGGATGAGAGGTCTAAAAGTGACAGAAGAGACGAATGTCGAAAAGCGGCTAGCAGGGACATTCTTTTTCTCGCGCAAACACACAAAACGCTGCACGGCTGGATTTTTTTTTTGCGACACTTGTCTACCAGCTCGCCACCAATTTCCCCAGCATCCGGAAGGATGTGAACAGAACTATCCGGGACAATCCCGCTCTACTAGACCCAGACACACCTCTCTGCGACCAGATGGAGGCCCTCTTTCTGCAACCTCTCCGGTGGCTTCGACTCAGATTGCGCGGATGTCCGTCTTTGTCGTTTGTTGTCGATGCGCTTGATGAATGCACGTCTGAACCCGAGCTTACCGATCTCATCCTTTCCCTTGCACAGGCTCTTCGTGACCCTGATCTTCCCGTGACCCACATTCTGCTCACGAGTCGCTCAGAAACTCGTATCTCTAAAGCCTTTCAGAATGAAGAGGTGCGCCCGTTGGTGCGCGAGATACCCGTGAGAACTTCCGGGTCTGGGGAGAGTGGCATCATCTCTTTAGACGGCGTGGACGTTGCCAACGATATCTGTACTTTCTTGCGGCATTCCTTCAAAGAGCTGGAAAGTCGCCATCCCGATTTCCCGCAGCTATCGGAGGTTGACCTTGCGAAGCTGGCAAGCCGAGCTGGCAGACGTTTCATCGTGGCGTCTACGATGATGAAGTTTATTATCAACGATGAAGACAATGATCCCCGCGATCGGTTGCAGCTGATGCTCGAGCTCACGAGCTCGCTGCTGCCAGGAACGGATGTGTACAAGTTATACGACCATATCCTCTCCACGTGTCGCCGATCCTAAGCGGGCATACCTGCACTTGTCCCTCGTTGCCGCCCTCACAGACCCTCTATCCGTCTCGCAAATCTCAACACTTCTTGGCCCTGGTTTGGGCAAGGATGTGCAGACAACACTGATACAACTACGGTCTGTCATGGATATCCCTACAGACAGCACTCTCCCCGTGAATATCTATCACTCGTCCATTCGTGACTATGTTTCCGATCCCTCAAACTGCGGCCTCCCTCAAGTACGTGATATCGCATCACCCCACTCCCTACTCGCTAGTTCCGCTCTTCGCTTGATGATAAAAGAGATTCCAAAAAGCACGGCCCTCTTAGATGCGCTCTCAGAACTGAAGCAGCACAGCCAAGCTATGCAACCTGAGGACCCCCATAGGTTAAAAGACACATTAGCGTTCCTTGTTCGGCCACCAGAGCCACTGTCAGCTATCATCTGCATGCTGTGGCTTCGAGGAGATCGCACTTCACATTTAGACTCCTGGCTGGGGACTGTGGACGGGCGTGCCTGGCTGCAGATCCAGGCAGGACGAGGCTGGCTGCAGACCCAAGGGGGCCGAGACTGGCTGCAGACCCTGGGAGGACGCGACTGGCTGCAGACCCAGGCAGTACGAGACTGGCTGCAAACCCAGGGAGGACAAGACTGGCTGCAGACCCAGGGAGGGGACTGGCTGCGGACCCAGGGAGGACGAGACTGGCTGCAGACCCAGGCAGGGGAAGACTGGCTGCAGACCCAGGCAGGGGAAGACTGGCTGCAGACCCAGGCAGGGCAGGACTGGCTGCAGATCCACGGAGGACAAGACTGGCTGCAGACCCAGGGAGGGAAAGACTGGCTGCAGACCCGCGGAGCACGAGACTGGCTGCAGACCCAGGGAGGGAAAGACTGGCTGCAGACCCGCGGAGCACGAGACTGGCTACAGACCCACGGAGCACGAGACTGGCTGCAGACTCAGGGAGGTGAAGACTGGCTGCAGACCGAGGCAGGACGAGACTGGCCGCAGACCGAGGCAGGACGAGACCGAATGCAAACCTGGGAAACGCGAGACTGGCCGCAGACCCAGGCAGGACGAGACTGGCTGCGGTCCCAGGCAGGACGAGACTGGCTGCAGACCCAGGCAGGACGAATCTGGCTGCAGACCCTTGGAGGGGAAGACTGGCTACAGACTCAGGGAGGCAAAAATTGGCTGCAGACCCAGACAGGACGAGAGTGGCTGCAGACCTGGACAGGACGATGCTGGCTGCAGATTCAAGCAGTACAAGACTGGCTGCACACCCAGACAGGACGAGACTGGCTGCAGACCCAGACAGGGGAAGACTGGCTGCAGACCCAGGCAGGGCGAGACTGGCTGCAGACTCATGGAGGTGAAGACTGGCTGCAGACCCAGGCAGGACGAGACTGGCTGCAGACCCCATGTGGGCGAGACTGGCTGCAGACTCCCCATGGTCAAGTGTGGCAGTCCACTCCCGCGGCCTCCGTTTGGGTGACAATGGAAGAATTCGTGAGGACATCGGAAGCAATCAACGAATATATTGTTATCAGTGATGTGCCTTTACTGCCAGCTTTCCAAGTAATTCAGCAGATCAAGACCTTGCCAGATTTCTTGATGTTTCCGGTGTTCCTGGCATCAAGACGCCAGCGTCATTCCACCTCTGCATCACCAGAAAGTCTTCTTCTACTAGACAAGGAGATACTTCATGCTGTGAATGCCTTTCAGAGGTTCGCAAGCGAAGCACAGGAACGAAGTCGATCAGCTTCCGACGCTCTCAAGTACGCCTGTCACAACTGGGCTGTACATCTCTCGCGTGCCCCCAATCCATGGGATAACACGCTCGATCATATATTCCAGGCTTTTTGGAATGATCGTATTATCCCCTGGGTGGAAATGGAGTGGTGTTTGAAGGGTCTGCGGTCTTGCCTTGTTGTCTTATCTGAAGGGCAGAAATTTGTGAAGGTGCGTGTCTCGATGATTCAAGGTAGCCACAACTGATGTCGCCTTACGTTCCATGATATTTAGTCCATGACATGACGCCTTGGAATTCTCTCTTATCTTCAGTCTGGACTCTGAAACCGGTGACGTGCCTGGCTTAGATTGGACTTGAGAGGGCGGAGCTGCGCCGGCAGGCACCTTGCATACGGTCAGGTTATAAAACATTATCTCAAGCTCAGAAGATAGGGGGAAGCGCAATCAAGTCTGTTACATATTCAATGATATCCTTCTTCTCCTCTTGACACTTTATAACATCAGTCTCCACAGAGTCCTGTGTGATGACTTTATACACAAAAACTGTCTTGTCTTGGCCAAATCGGTGGCATCGAGAAATAGCCTGCATCTAAGTTGCTGGCCTTCTACATCAATTACAATGCGTTTCGCATTAACCACTCACCTCTTTGCAACGATTCCACCACGGATTGACGAGAATGACATGATTTGCGACAGTGATGTTGAGTCCGACACCACCAGCATCAATGGACATCAGGAGCACTTTCATGCGGGAATTGTTCGCGAAAGAGTCAAGGACTTCCATACGTTGTTGGGTCGAGAGTTCGCCATGATCTAACGATAAGCATAGCTTTCAAACGCCAACCTGCATAGGAGAGGCTTATCATACGAACATTGGCCCACGCCTATCTTGAGTTTCTTCATCTGGACCTCCAGCAGATCCATCGTGTCCCTAAAGCAGCACTGGGCAGGCAGACATGAGACAAGTCTGAGAAAACGGCAGAACGACATACAAAAACCAACACCTTCTGGCCTTCTGGCACCCCTGTGATGATATCCATCACCGCGCGGATTTTACTTGAGACATACGCATGTCCAAACAGCCGAGCGAATGGCTGAAGGCTTAACGGGAGAACTTCCGGATCGGGACCAAGTCCACGTCCGTACAGGTCCACTGCATCAGAAGTTACATCAGCATTCAGGCCTTGCTCCTCGATTACCTGCCCCAAGACGCCCATGAGTAGTAATGGGTGATCGCATGCTATAGAAACGACTATCAGAATGATCTACACGTCATATACATAAACAATAATACATTACCTTGCCTGGCTCTCAGCCACGCCAAATCGAAATCCCTGATACCGGAACGAGCCCAATCATGTATCGTTTTCTCCCCTTGTGTTTGCCACACATGAACAGTTTTGATTTCTAGATTCGGAAGCAGAATTACATCTACCTTTCTCCTGTATCGCGTACAATTCGTAAGAAGATCCTATAACAGGTTCATTTCAATGACTGCGCATAGCGGAGCAACAACATACCGCGACTACGTGTGCGGAAACCTTGGAAAAGTATCCACGTTTACCGCGCACAGCGAACGCGGTGCTTTCCGCAGCCGGACCACGTTCATCTGTGACTTCAAGAAACCTGAGCTGGGATTGGATATCGGATAGCTTATTCTATACAAGCCGTTGTTAATGCTTCGTTGCTGGGTGATTGTATTCAAATCGCTACAAACTCACTACGAACGGGGTGCCAGTAAGACAAAGCCCTTGAAGCTTTTGCAAAGCCATGCATGCCTTGTACCAAGCACCTAAACCCACGATCTTATGCGATTCATCTGCAACGTTTTTGTACTCAGTTAAGGCAGTTATCGCCTCAGGTCTTGAACACGCTACCTAAAATGACGCGGGACCAGCGTGCCAGAAAAACTGGATCCTTAGGATCCTTGCTCATTCGACGTTCAATTCGCTGATACGTAGTGATCTACGCAGGGCATTAGGTGGCACCGGGCAGTTTCTCGGAGGTACTTGCGATAACATCTGCGTCCATGAGAGCGTCCACACCTATATTGATAGAGATTTTAGAATGTATGAGCAGGTCTGGCAATCTACCTACTCATGTGCCCATCATGAACTTTCGCTGTTAGTCCATCACCAAATTTCACAATTTCGCGCATCCACTGTTCGCGGAGAGATACGCTAGGGACAACAACCCTTCACAGCAGTGTCAACGAGACACCAGTAACAAGAGAAAATCGGGTTTATAGTGTCGTCTTGGGTTGTTTAGGGGGAGCTTTCACGGGTCCACTAGTCTTAGAAGGAACCCCAGGGGACTTCTTGAGATCCGCTGCTTTCGACTCTTGGAGCGTCTTCTTTATCAACGCTATGGAAGTTACGGTCTTTCCGAGACTTTGAGTTTGAATGAGTGATTAGAGGTCCATTCATGCGCATTGCACACACCCCATCTCGTGCGCGAGTATTGAGCCTCCTTGTCCTTCTTTCTCACGGGCGAGTAGCCACTCGAGGTCCATCGCTTGATGCTTGAAAAGGGTGAACGAGGAGCCCAGAACGGACCCACCAATCTTGTTGTTTGCTGCATTGCTGGACTTTGGCTTTCTCTGAAACTTGTTAAACTGACAAAATTCAAGCTTTGGTGCCACTCACAGTCGCAAGTACAAATTCACGAGAAATATTTTCACTGATAGGTGGAGTTATTTCCTTGTGTTTCAAATTTGGTGGGGCACTAGAAAGTCGAACGGATTTTGACGCCTTCAATGCTGAAGACGGCGTCACATTAGTGGCGTGGTGTGGGGACTGAAATTGACACTAATGAGTGTGTCTTAAGGCGATGCTGAAGCGATGCTTGCCTCTCTTCGACGACCATTATCTTCCAATGATGCAAGAAATAACTGAAAGGCGGACATGTGACGGTATATTGAATTTGAAACAGAGATTAGGAGGGCCCGCAGTCTCCCGCAGCTCTTTTTAATCCTTGTGAGTGATGGGCCTAGGCAAACCCAGAAAATCTTCAGGTCGTGTGATACTCCTTCGTTTTATTGTCTTAAGCTAACACAATGGTTTTCGTGATAAACCACCGTCAATTGATTCCGCTGGGATAAAGACACATGGACAGGTCAACAGCGATGACGATATGAAGGCGGTGTGTTTGATGTCCAAACCTCGATAGGTGCATTAGTATATGCCCATAAGAACCAGGATAATGAGAACAATGATTTTTTAATCTTATCATGAAGACCATAGCAACCAGTGTTCATTGTAATCACCGTACTTACGGTATACTACATCCTAGGACATCCTGAAGGAGCTGAGAAGGGCAAGTCACCGATAAGATCGAACTTACATGAATGAGCACCACAGCATAAAGAGTTGTCATGACGTCAATGGTGCTGTTTCGGTGGCATACATACTAACCGAAACAATTACATGGAAGCTTGGTGAGCCGGCATGCAAAGAGGAATCCTGAGGTGTCTGCTATCAGCGTTTTTTTGGGAGCGCCACCTCCATGGTTCGAGCAAGGGAAGACTCTAGCAACTTACCAATATTTAGAATATTGACATGTCGCATCAGCGTTCAACACCTTTGCCAGTGTGCGAACGGCAATTCTCACCTACTAAGTAAACGCGATACACTGAGGTGATGGGTGATGCATTGATGGGTGATGATGATCAAGTTGACGTTCTAAAAATTTGTGCGAAGCAAGTACTGACAGTCTGTGGAATAGCTGCTGCTTACATAATCATGATTACCTCCATGATATTATGAACTACTGCCGCCAGCCTCTGGCACGAGTCTCAGACCCTCCATCGCTATAAACTTCTGTCCATGTCTGTCTGATTTTGGATCAATTGAAAGTTCATGTTGAACTGAAATGTCCAGTTTTATATCATTGTTTAACGCTTCCAGGCATCCAGTAACGATGAGTCCTCGCGACAGACCATCAGATCCTCTTTCACGACTCCGCTACGCCCTCGAAACAATGCCAAGTTCACGAAAGTATATATTCTCTCCCGCAACCCGTGCAGAAGTTCTATCAGAGCTTTACGATGCATTTTGGGGACCGTATTCACATCTCTTCCTCCCGTTGTCCAATTCCAACCTCCCCATGCATGCTACTCTCAGTAGCGTTCAAGCAGATCTAGGCTTTGCTGGTGCCGGTTCAGAGGATCCTATCGTTCCTGGAAGGCCATGTGGTCATATCTTTAGCAAGGGAGAGAGTTGTTTTCGTTGCAAGTCAGTAACCTGCTTGCTATCCTGTCAATCATTCACAATACCCCTTCAGAGACTGCGCTCTCGATGATAGTTGTGTTCTCTGTAGCCGCTGCTTTCATTCCAGTGATCATTCAGATCATAATGTCAGCTTCTTCGTCGCTCAACAGGCTGGGGGCTGTTGCGATTGTGGAGATATCGAGGCCTGGCGTAAACCTATCTCATGTCCTTTCCACCCACTTGCTCCTCATGTCCAAGCACAGATTGAACAGTCCTTGAGCGCAGTCGATTCCACTCCTCGAGCCGTACAGCGTTCTATATCTGAGGAGATCCCATTCGTTGAGAATTACCCATACAGAGTCGCTATGCCGCCCGACCTACGTGATCTCATGAGCCGCACTATTGCATATACACTTGACTTTATCCTTGACACCCTGGACTACTCTCCGGATGAAGCGACAGTGCCTTCGCATGAGGCTGACCTACGACTACAGCCTTCAGCAGATCCTATGCAAAAGGACCAATACGCCATCATCATCTGGAACGACGACAAGCACTCATTTGATGAGGTCATCAAGCTTATATGCGAAACCACTGGCCATGATAAGAAGACCGCAAGCATCATGGCGCACTCTATTGACGATGCAGGCCGGGAAATAATTGACATCAACGGTGACGTCCCTCGGCTCCTCGAAGCAGCACATTTGATGACAAAAATTGAACTCGGTGTCACGATCCGTCGTGCATACGATACATTTCGCGAGCAGGTTGCTTGTGTCATTATAGAGTGGCTGCTTGATCTCACTCGAAGCCGGCTGGGGGCGGATACGCTGATAATCAAAGAAATCATCGCTGCCGAGCTTCTGTCGCCGAGACGGCGGGAGAACACGTTCTTCACTTCTGGTCCGCAAATCCCAAACCTCGCTGCAGATCTGACACGTCCATGCCGTGTTGATTGGTTATTCGTCTATCACACTCGACTGTGGAAGAAGCCCCGGATACATTTGAAAGCAATTTATGCGTCGATCTTGACACTTTCGCATCCCCATAAGATTGCCATCGGTACGCCACAACATTGCTCGTTGTCACAAACACATTTTGACTATTGCAGCGTCCCACTTTGCCAGCATCTACCACCGTGTCGCTGACGCTTATCTCCTGGTTGACCGTGAAGCAGAAACATCCATAAAGTATTTCGCCCTCCAACTTTTCACTGCACCATCCGTTGCCCTGCACATCGTTTCTCAACATGATCTCATGACACGTCTACTCGACATCATCGTCAACTTCTTCACCAACCATATTGAGGACAAGCACATCCTCACCACGTCTCCTACCCAACAAGACATAGACGTTGACAGCCCCCCATTCAGAAGCAAACGCTTCATGCCGGTCTTTAGTGATCTCCGGTATCTCTGTCACAACCGGCCTGTCCAGCAGCTCATCGCTCGTCACCCAGCCTTCATACGCAAGTTTGTCAAGATATGTCAGGTGTTCATGTGTATCAACCCAAACAAGCGCGTTGCCTCGAGTCACGTCGAGTACGAGACGGATGTGTGGATCAGCGTATTCAATGTAACACTTTCGCTTTCCCGCGTCATCAAAGTCTACGGTGAAGCCTTCGCATTTGCGAACCCGACGCAGCTTGTAGGAGCAATCACGACTGTCGTACGGGAGATCCTCGCCGTTTGCACTCTTTCGACAGATAGGCTCGACAAGGAAAAGTTTTCAAAGCCGATGCTACACGAGGTCGAGTTTGGTGATGCACAGTATCGGATCGTCGATTTCAATGTGCTGGAAGGATGGGTCAGCTTCCATCACTCCCTTCACTGGCTCCTTGCAGATCTGTTGAAGCATGTTGATATTTTGTCAGAGGAGTCATTGAAGCAGATTGGGGTGTCTGGCGTTCGGGACTTGTTTTTGCGCCCCTTCAACGAGGGCGCCATTCTCACATTAATCGATTTCCCTTTGCGAGGTAAAATAAGCTCATCAGTATTGCAGCTGGTCTAACTATGGCTTCGCAGTGCTCGCTATGATTGCCCAGATCAGGGCAGGATTATGGGTCCGCAACGGCTTCCCTATCCGTGGCCAGCTCCTACACTATCGCGATTTCATGCTCCGCGAGCTTTGCTACGACCAAGACCTATTCATCCTCCAGTCATCTCTCATCATCCTCGATCCCAATATTATCATTGTCTCCATCCTCGACCGTTTCGGCCTTCTCTCGTTCTTCCGTGGTGAAGTCGAGAAGTCCCCTTATGAAGGCGCCCATCTCCTGAGCATGGTCGAGGAGCTTCTCTACGTCCTGATAACTATTCTTGGCGAGAGAGCCAGCGCCACGAAGCTCCCGTTCCAGCGTGCCATCCGTCGTGAGATCGTGCACGCACTTGCGGCGGGGCCAAGTTCATTCACTGATCTTGCCAAGCGCGTCTCCGAGAGGATGGTGGATGATGTATCTTTCGAGCGTGTCCTCAAGGACGTATCTCACTTCCGCGCACCCGAGTCGACATCTGATACTGGCGTGTATGAGCTCAAGGACGAGGCTTATGATGAGGTGGATCCGTTTACCTTCCACTACACACGGAACAAGCGCGAGGAAGTGGAGGTCATCCTCAAGAACAGACTTCGGAAGAAGACAGGTGTGAAAGATCCAGTCATCGTCCCGAAGCCGTTGACCATCACATCCGGCCCGTTTTCGATACTCCCATCCGTCCTGGAGTCCGAAGCGCTTCTTCAGGTCATGTTCTATGCCATATACAACGTGATTGCGCTCACCAATAGTGCGGGGACGGCCCCGCCCTCCTCTGAGGCTATCCTCGACCAGACATTTCAACTCATCATGCTAGCGCTCGTAGAACGACCTTCTGTTTTCAGCCATGTCTCTGTCATCAAAACCTTTGCAGAAGAAAAGAAACTCGCCGACATCATATGCGCCATGGAACACGATGAAAAATACAAACCCTACAAGAGCCGCATCGATTGGGTTCTCACAGAGATTTCCAAGCATGTTCCGGAAGGGGTGCAGCCTCCTCGCAAAGTCCTGAGCTTCGCTGCGCTAGCACCTGATGTTGAGGGTGTCAAGAAGCGTGCGGCTAAGGCACGCCAAGAGGCCATTATGGCAGAAATGAAAGCTCAACAAGCGAGCTTCTCGCTCAATTTCGAGGAGGAGGAAGAGGAACATGATCAGGATATGGATGAGACATCTGATGAACTTTCCTCGTATGGCACTTGCATCGTCTGCCAGGAAGATCTCAATGAGGCTAAAGCATTCGGCTCTCTGGGGCTCGTGCAACCTAGCCGGTTGCTCAGGAAACACCCAGACAGTCATAGTCAATATCTCAACGAGCTTATGACAATGCCTCAGTCGCTTGATCGAGCGAGTCCGCGCGACACCACTTTCCCCCCAGCCAATGCCGAGGAGCTCGACAACACAAGCTCACCCAACTTCGACGGATTCCCTACACAGTACACTCGCTTCGGGCTCCACGCGTCTGTGTGTGGGCACATGATGCACTTCGACTGTTTCCAAGTTTATAATTCCTCCATTCGCCAGCGGCACCGCTCACACGCGACGAGAAATCATCCTGAAAACATTCAGCGCAAGGAGTACATCTGCCCGCTTTGTAAGAGCTTGGGCAATGTCCTTCTCCCCGTTCTTCACCCCAGCAATGCTCCTGCAAGCCAGACCCCCTTCCCGGACTGGATTCGAGCCGCGGGGATAAGCGTCTTGAAGTCGAAACCAGATAGCGTCATGGATAGTCTGCAGTTCAGGAGTGGGACAGGCGAATTTGTGTTCTGGAGCGCGCAAGATCCTGGCTATGGCGCAGCCGTGCGCAAGCCAGAAGCAGTGACTTCGACGAAGATGCTTGACACCCTCATATTGTCATCAAGACTGGTCTCGCAACAAACACGCCATCTTCGCGAGCGACCTGAACCAGAAGTAGGAGAAAGAGGCGCCGGGATGTATCTTCCGGAAGACCTTGTCGGATACACAATTTCTGCTATCGAGGTTGCTGCTCGTGGGACTGACTCCTCAGGAGGCATTGTGGCGGATTCGCTGTCATTGTCGGATACGCAAAGTAGAATGATCCGCGGGTTACTTTCCAGTTTGACAAGACTAGTCGCTCTTGAACTGGACGGTCGGCCAGATGGTGGCCGGGAGTCGGTCAAGCAAGCCATAATCAAACGGCTGCTCCCAGAGTGGAGCCGAACATCACTGACCTCCTTCTCGTACCCCTTACTCTTACGTGACCCATTCACCGTACTCATCGAAACTGCCGCAGTGGCTCCCGAGATGTTACAGCATGTCTTGATCTTGTGCTACTACGCCTGTTTGGCTCGCACAGTCATCGGCATGGTGTATGTCCTCAACAAGGCCAGGACGTACAGCGCTTTCCAGCAGCCCGCTGCTCGTGCCCATGCTGATATCTTCGGCGATGTCCGTATGTTCTTCATGTCGGTCGTGCGACACTCACCCGTCTTCGAGCACACCGCTACGCTTGTATTCGATACATTTGGTGAAGCTCGCATCGAGAAGATGCTTTACGCGTTTACTCTTCCATTCCTCAGACGGGCAGCAATCCTGTGTCGCTCCGTCGTCCCGCTTACATTCCCAACTCCATTACTAGGTGCCTCTAACGTCAATGAGTACAAGCGTTTACTGGCTACCCTTGGCATTCCTCCTTTGGCAGACCTCCCAAACCAAGATACGCTTCAAAACGCACTCTCCGGATGGTGTGCCCACTATGGCCACTCACATGCTGCCTCACAACTCAACTGTGGCGTCGTACTTGACTATGCAGCTGTGTACGGAATCGCTCGTCTACCGCTCATCCTCGATAACCTCTTTGGTGAGCGAGACAAGGTGATGAAATGCCACCGATGCAACACCGTTCCGACGGATGCTGCAATTTGTTTGATCTGTGGAGTAACGTGTTGTATGGCGAGTCACTGCTGTCAAGACGAGTTAGGGCTTAGGGGGGAGTGCAATATGCATACACGAGAGTGAGTTCCCCACGTCATGCCACGATATGATGCTGATTCCTTGTGGTTACAAGGTGCGGTGGTGCTATTGGTGTTTACTTCGTCGTGAAACGATGCTCTCTGCTTTATTTGTACGCCGGTCACGGGACATTCGCACAGTCCCCTTACCTTGATGTGCATGGTGAGGTCGATGTTTCAATGAGGTCAGTCCGTTCTGCCGCCGTATTTCAATGGAATGCTCAACTGCAGCGTACAGACGCGGTCGTCGTCAATACATACACCCAGCCAGGTGGGAAGAAGTCCGCAAAACATGGCTCAACCACGGTATTCCGACTGCTGTTGCTCGTAAACTTGAAAGCACGGTCGACAGTGGAGGATGGGAAATGCTTTGATTGCTTAGAGACCTCTCTGTCCCGTAATTTTAGCAAAAAGCTTGTACATACTACTCACACATCATCTGTATAGAGGTAGCGCAAATGGACAAATAGATGTTCGATCATGTTTGTTTCGAATCGCTGGTTTTGTGTGCTGAGAGCGCCAATTTCAGCCTTTGTGCTGTTCGTTCGGTGCCAAGAACATCGATGATCTCAGGAAGGCTGGGTCCCGCTTTCATCCCAGATAGCGCGTGCCTCAAAGCAGTCATGAAGACCTTTGACTTCAGGCCTGTTTTCTCGCACGCATCATGCAAGAAAACTGCAATGTCAGCTTGCGTCGATGGTGATGAAGACTCGAGTTGCAGGATAACTCGTCGCAGCACATGGTCTATAATGATGCAAAGCGATCAGTAACATTATGCTGATTACTGACAGTGCATGACTTGCCGTAGTCATCAGCTGATAGCCCTCGCTTTATGGAATGCGCCTCGGGCAATTCATAATCCAGTTCCACGAAAAAGAACGGAGCGAGTGTTGGAACGTCATGAAGATTTGTTATGCGACCCTAGGAGTACTCTAGCATACGTTCATCCAATAGGTAACGCATGCTCACCTGTAAGACGCCGATCACACGCGTGATGTACTCCACATTCGTGTATGGACTAGAAACGCCGAGTTAACAAGGGCATAAATCAATAGATGAATAGACTACCTGTGAGGGAAAGCAGCCTTCACAACATCATGTACTCGTCTTGCCTGAAAGGCGATACCCTGTTCGCTCTGCCAGCTCCGCATGAGGTGATGTTTGTTAAGATATGCAAGCTTTGCGGGATCAAGGACATTCCTGCGATGCGTGAGGGAAGATAAATCAAACTGCAGAATAAACCTGTTGTAGAACACGTAAAGAACCCATAAAATAGTGACAACGCACTTGATTGATGAGTTCTGGAAGTGTCATGAGGGTTGTGCTGTCGGGAGGTTGAGTCGAGGGCGTTCCGGGTGGGGATCCACGCCCATTTTCGTGGTGCACGCCCCACCCAGCTAGTGCCAGCCAATTTATAACACTTTCGGGCTCCCATCCACGGCGCTATGGAAAATGGCGTTCAAATCAAAGTTCGTGGGTGAATAAAAGTGACGTACCATGAAATCTAAGACAGACACATCTCCGTTGCGCTTTGACATCTTTGTTCCATTCGGGTTCAAGAGGATGGGTAGATGCGCAAACTGAGGAGGCTTGAGGCCCAGACATGAATAGCAGATCGAGGTGTAGTGGTAGTGAAGGTAGCCATTCCTGGAATGCATGAAATTCGAGTATGTCGTGTCACAGAGGTATGAATACCTACCTCTCCGCGGAGAACGTGTGTGATATCCATCTCATGGTCGTCAACAACAGACGCCAAATGGTACGTAGGGAACAGATCAGATTTCAGAAGAACAGGGTCTGTTGGAAGTGACGCATGTGCATCCCTCAGGATACCGAAGACGATATCGGTGGGTGAAGAACGGTCTGGGAGGTTGTCATCCTGTCACTTGTAAGCATGAGGTTTGACAGTACAATAGGTGTACTCACATTCAGCCTGACGATGGACTTCTCCCCAGCGCGTACTCTCCTTGCAACTTCTTCCTCAGTGAGATGAAGGCAGGACTTGTCATACGTGGCATTTGACCCTGTGCGTGCAAGCTTCTCGCGGGTAGCAGCAAGTTTATCGGGAGAGCAAAAGCACCGATATGCATGACCAGACTATGAATTGGCGTTGGTTAAAGAAAGAAGAGAGAAGTAATGAGCACACGACGGACTTCTAGGAGCCTGCGTGTATATGAATGGTAAAGGTCAAGCCGTTCTGACTGGTGAAGCTCAGCATACGGGGCACGCGACAGGTTGTGAGACACGGACTTGGAAATACGGCCCATGGGGACCATCCATTCCAGGACCTAGATGAAGATTCTTTGAGTTGCTTCGAGCCAGAACGTGATGTACAGCATACCGAAGTCATGCGGAAGACCAGCCCATGCCAATGCATTCCTAATGCCGTCCACCGCGGTCGGTACATATCTCGCCTGGGTCACAAATGAGATTTTACTGCAATGAGGGAAGCATGCAACTGACCGCGTCTGTGTCTTCTATTCTGAGAATCCATTTGCCTCCGTGTTTTTTGGCGAACAGATGGTTGTAAAGGGCGGTCCTGAGTCCACCGAGGTGAAGAGCACCAGTAGGAGATGGTGCAAATCTCAAGAGAACCATGTTTGAGAATTTATGTTATTAATAGGGCAGAACCAGGCGCTTCAATCGATATTAAGTGCACTGTGCAGTAGAAGCAGCGATGAACTCGAGCCGGTACTTGAATGTGGTTAGTCAAAGCTTGCCCAATTGTCGGATCCATCTACAAACAAACACAATATCTCAAACGACCACCCACCATCATGTATGATCAAACCAACAGTCCGCAGGATTTTTGACAGACGGCTATGTTGGCATATAAACCTGTATATGATACCTAATGTACGTATTCAATTTGTACTACTGGCATTGACGCTAGGGCGAGTAGACCCGCCCCTCTCAACCATCTATTCCTTTATCCAGGACACCGGGGAACACAGGTTTAGACACGTCCCCCTCACAAGACCCACAAACATGGTGAAGTGTAATCGGTTGAGCGACCCCTACCACCTCGTAATATCTGCCTCAGCCTCTCCAAACAGGCTCGTCTTCTTGATCGCAAAGTCCCCCTCGGGAATATCCTCCTCATCTCTCATATATAGATCTGGAAACTCCCTCCTAAGGAATCTGAGAACATGGGTATTGATTTGCTCGAATTCAAGGAGGAAGCCGTCGTGGCCATCAGGTGATGGGATGACAACAAGTTCTGCATTAGGTATGTGTGTCGCGAGCTCCTTTTGTTCAGAAGGAGTGAACAAGCCGTCCGTTTCTACACTGATCACCAATGCACGCGGAGGGAGAGTTGCAATGACAGCGGCGAGGGCGGTTGATTGTGCTGTCGGTGATGGAGGGTCTTCAGTAGTGGAAGTCCGTCCTCGAGCGACATCATGCGTATCCATCTTGCGGGTGATATGGATGTAACAATTAGCGTCGAAACGCGCTACGAATTTGGCGCCTTGATAACGCAAGTACGATTGAGCTGAGAAAGGTGGAGGGGGCGAGTCAGAACCCGTGCCGTTCGGCCCTTCTGTTGGAGAATGGGACAGAGATGATGCGGCTGAGGTTTGAGTTTGGGGGCGTGCGCGGGTCACTTTTTTGTGACCCTCATTATGAGCAGCGAGATCCTTATCAGCAAGTGTAATAGAAGAGGGTGTGACAGCGCTAGACTCCGTGACAGGGAGAACTTGAGGGCGACGTCCAAAGCGACTCTCGAAAGAGTCGCGCGACCGATAGGTTAAAAGTGCGGCCATTCGAGCAGCAGCCAATCCTGTTGAAGGTTGTGTTGCATAGTACCCGTCGTCGTAAAGCGGATCACTATAAATGCTTTGACGTTGTGCCTCTCCCCAACTGATACACCAAGCAGAGTGCCGCGCAGACGTAGCCAAAGGAATGATATGGCGGACGTAACCCCGGGGGCTGCACAGAGGCCATTCAAGTACAGCCATTCCGCCCATAGAGCCTCCGATGGCTACAGCAACACTAGACACCCCCAAATTATCAAGAACAAGTTTGTGCAGCCTGTCAATGGACCAAGTCAGAGACCATTCGAGATATTGAAAGACCACCCACCGCACGTCATCACGTATCGATGTCTGAGGAAATTCTGGGCCATAAGGTTTCCCTGTCTCCGGATTAATTGTCACAGGAGAGGCCGATCCATATGGTGAGCCCATAACATTAGCACAGAAAATGAAAAAGCGATTGGGGTCGAAGGCCTTCCCGCGTCCGATAAGGGGGCCCCACCTGAAACGCATAAGAATTTTCCTGAAATGAAACAGCAAAAATCTCACCAATCTTCTACGTCTGCGCTGCCAGTGAATGCGTGACATATGATCATAACGTTGTCTCTAGTGTCATTCAATTTTCCCCAAGTCTTGTAGGCAACCGGGACCTCCCGCAATATCCTCCCATTCTCAAGAGCAAACGATGGAACAGTGTAAATGTTCTGGTCGACCCAGGGTGCAAGAACAGACATGATGAGTCACTTGCAGTCAGCACCACTCGTGACTCGATCGTTATAACACACAAGCGCTGCGAAATAATGACGAAATATATGAAAGAGATAATTAATGATAATGCCGAATGTTACGGAAAGAAAGTGTAGCCTAGACAGACATGATGGTAGTAAATATTGAGTTCGTGGCCCAATCGAAAATTTGAAATATTGTGGGATTACATAAAACCTTGATAATAATAGAAACTGATTGACTCGAATCAGCAGCTTCTGAATTCAACAGCTACAAACAAGTCACTAGCACTGAACATGTAGTGTAACGCATTTTTACTACTGCAGTTTCTCTCGGTCCGAAGGCAAGAGCGACAAGAGCTCTATCAGACAGTATGGAGCAATCCATGGGTTTGGCGCAGTGCATTGCATCTGGAAGGCTGCGGCGGAGGCTGGACCAAGGTTTTTTTTGCAGGTACGACTTCGCAGAAAGACAGATATAATGACCTGGTTACAGTCCTTGCAACGATTAAACGTTTGGGGCATCGTGTCTTGGGGGTTTAACGACACGAGGGAGGCTTTCAAATAATACATTCACACCTGGTCGAGTGTTTGAAAATCCCGAAGGGAGCGCAACCACAGTCGTAGTCTTCCAAATGGATACCGTTTGGTGACGAGCTCGTTCGACACAATACTTCGTCCGTGGGACATTAAGACTGGTGCTATGCTGAAGAAAATGGAGGGGCATACTACATAGCAGCAGGCATGCTGCAGGCGTTATTTCTTGTCCGTCTGTTGGACTGTTCCCTTCTCGAGCTGCCTGGATCTGCTGACGAGAGGCATAACGTGGAAGATCCTCCGGTGTTCAGGCCTTTTCGAGAGAATGTGTTTTGATTTGGTTTTTTATTTGTGAGTAACGTGTTTGATTGATCGCGTTGGCGCATTTTTTCTGGAAAAAGGGAGCCAATATTCCAATTACAAGCACTGCGATTGATTGTTCGCCTCCGACAGCCTTTCCGCGCGTTATTGCTAGTACAACAGCGCAGTGGAGAACACACGAGAGTCGCATTGACTTGTACGAAAATATTCCCGATTTTGTACTCGTACTTTGCTCGCGTTGTATATATTGGCTATATAGCATGAGTAATCTACTTGCTGGAGCCTCTCAGCTCAGGGTCCTGACCTTTTGTTGGGACTCCTACCAGGACCTTTTTTGCGATGTGCCGCAAATCACTGGGTGACATACTATACTTTTGCCGGCTCCTCACCAATCATCCTTAGGCGGAATTAAGGGCTGGATTTATCTTAGTTCACGCAGGGGGAATGCCAGAAATTCCGTGATCTCCAAGGATCATCGATAGTCCAATGTGATTTTGATCAGTCACACGTGAGCGTCTCTCCTAGAGGTGTCTCTCAGACCGAGTTAGATGATTGAAATTCCAAGACATCAAATTTGTGAAGTCGAATTCGCAATGCCAGCCTTTTTTATATACCTATGATACATGTTACAACGTTAGCTACACGCACGGTCAGTCTATGCAAATAAACGCTACGAGGGTTTTGGTTTTGGATCTTCATCGGGCTTTTCATCTGTGACGTCCAAAATGGCTGAAATGGGTACCCAAAGCTTGAAATATGAAACTCTGAGGGGAAGGCACAGAATCGTCGATGATCCATATTGAAACTCCAATGACCCAATAAGTACAGTAGCAGGAACGCCAGCATGTGCAGCAGAAAAAGATGTAGTGTACAGAGATAGGTGTTGGTCCTGTAGATACTCTGGTTTCGTTTTGGGAACAGCAACTAGGCGACAACCACAGAGATGGGGATAGCGGAGTACCATAGAGGCAGCTTCACGACATAGTGTTGACACCAAACCGAAGGCGATGAGGTCAAAGGGATGGAGATGAAGAGCGATCTCTTTCCAAAGCTCAAGAGGCAGCGGTGGACAGATGGTGTTAGGTGGCACATCGTCGCCATCATTAGTTCCCTGATGAAGCGATTCCCCCGGTTGAATGCGCATGCTCATGGACTGATTGTAACCGCAAACCTCCATAACACGCTCAAAGAGTGCAGGGTCCTTGCGATAGCCAAGACGGGCGAGAGCGACGATGCCTGGCGTAGAGGGCGAATCTGCGTAGAATGATGGTAAAAATTGGAGGGCATTCGTGTGGCTGAATGTCATCGTGTGCGCGTCTTTGACGACTTTGACGACTGCACAATGGTATACGGAAAACGCGATTCCAAAGTAATCACCAGGATTATCCTTCTGCTCTGTGATCGCATTGATCAGGCGTGACATAGAGGCCTGTAGGCATCGCTCGTCGTCTAGATGTGTTGCGATGCAGATAACAGTGTCTTCGCGAATCCATGTGAATTCCTTTCTTTCAGCTCAGGATAACAAACGAGGTCATCGCCAAATATCTGAGGAACAAATGCAATGCTGGCCATGAACCATGCGATTGACCACTGATCGTCCGTGAGTTGATTGTGATCGAATACGAACTCTAGTCCGTATATCTCCTCGCTAAAGACTGGGCTAACCATGCACCGCCCAATCATGACCTCTAGCAATGAGACCCTAACATGCTCGTCTCGAGACAGGATGTTACTGATGACGAGCAGGTCGCTCAAAACCATGGAAGATCCAGTGCAGATCAAAGATTGGTATGACGCGAGGATAGAATTGTCAATAATTGGTGGAGCTGGCTTCTTGTACTTGTGCTCAGGGGGGGCACTGTGATGCACAAGCTATGTGGCCATAATGATCTTCGGAGATGTATTGGATAAAAGCCTTATCCTCTGGAAGGCATTGCAGGGAGAAAAAAGGCATCCTGTTTATGTGGAAGATGTTGCGATCAAGATCGATCTCGTAGACCCACTCGATACAGTCGTCGTTTTGGGGGCGGAACCGGGAGGGGAGCGTGAAATCTCCACCGCCTTCTAGCAACAATAGAGAAGGCGATGCGCTCTTCAACCCGTCCAGCATCTCTCCCAATACCTGTCGATGAGTCGTGATGGCATTGGGCTGTCGCATAGACCGAAGTGCCCTCACACCAAGCCATTCTGGCTGGCCACTATAAGTGTGGTGTTCCGATAGCGGAGCACATAGTACGCGGAAGTGCCCATGGCTGCACGTAAATCAGAGACCTATTAGACGATAGTCTCAACTTGAGCGTTAACAAGTGTACGGGAATAGAATTTGAGCTTGAGCTTGATGCATCGATGACTGACCTTAGGTACCAGTTTGCGTCAAACCATACGAAACACTCCAAATTGGAAGACAATATTGTACTCTCATTTTATTTTATTTCAAACTTGGATATATTCGCAAAATGTTCCATACATTGACAAAACAGACTAAATTGGTAGATACTATCTTGTGAAAATTCGCTCTGCTCCGTTTTCGCAAACAAAAGCGTCACAGCGAAGGGGTTTACAAAAATTGCTGAAAGCCGAAGCTAACAGACGGGTTCGGATGTGTAATTTGCAATCAGCAAAAGACTGTGCCTCGGTAAAGACCTCACTGGCGACAGTACATGCCCGAGCACAAGAGATGGGGAAATAAAATTTAGAACGAGGGTTTATAAAGGTTAACTGGTCTGCGCACGGACCAAGTTCCAGATTTAGCAACATGTCGTGTTACCCATTTTGGCAGGCATCATGGCCAGAATGCGCTAGTATATACAGTTTCTAGTACTGCAACATCCCACTAAGGGCAGACGACGCCCCATCCTTTCCACTCTGTTCTACCCTCCTGGATATCAAGAATCTTTTTCCGGAGTGCCGTGCCAACTGGGCCCATCCCAGCCCCAGTCGGAATTACAATGTCCTTACCCTCGTACCCAATTCTATTGCAAGATCCAACAATGACCGCTGTGCCTATGACTAACGCCTCCAGCAAATTGCCCTCGGACGACCATTTGGCGAGGTCACTCATAGTATACACCATTTCTTGTGGGTGTAACCGCACTGTGCTTTCTCTGTAGAATTCTGGATCGCTTGCGAGAGCAAGACATGATGCTCTAGTGACTCCAGGCAGAATAGTGCCGTCCAGAGGGGCGGTGACAAGGTCCACGCCTTCAACGGATGAGTCCATTTATATATCTAATTTTATCCAATTGAAACTTACCGTCCCCATCATCCCTCTTGACTACAACGAAGAAGTTCATCGCTCCAGCTTCTGTGACTCTTCTGTCGTCACCAAACAGCCAAAGGATTTGTTCGTAGCCTTTCTCTGCAGCAGTGCGTTGGGGTAGGAAGCCGGGTGAGTAGTTGCCAGCAACTTTGTGCCCTCCAGTGCCACCCGGCCACGCGCGCACATTTTCACTGACCGCAAGGAGAGAAATAGGCCTTAACACTTCATAGTATGGCCCAGTTGGCGATGCAAGAATGTAAATCATGGCATAGTCGGACGCTCTCACTCCCAAATCTACATTACAATTAGGTGAATACTCGTATATCATCGACACATTCCACGAACCTGGCCGGGTCGAGATGACGGTAGGACGCAGATACAAACTATATCCAGATTCTTTGGGTATCCAGCGCTTTTCAAGATTCACCAGACACTTTATCAATTCTAAAACGACATCCCCGTCGATAGGCTGCATGGGACAATGAAGTCAGAGTCGCTACCTGCATGAACATCATGGTGCTCACGGGAAGAGCGAGACGTGCACAAGACTTCTCCATTCGACGCATGTTCATATCTGGGCGGAACAAGCGTGCCTTACCGTCAGGCCCAAGATAAGCCTTCATACCCTCGAAGACATTTCCGCCGTAATGGAAGCACGAGCATGCAGGATCAAGTGCAATAGGCCCATAGGGCTTGATCTCAGGCGCGGACCATCCTATTTCAGGGTCATAAGTTGCAACGATCATGTGGTCCGAGAATGTCTGATATCATTATTATTAGAGCGATATGGATACGGTTGTCAGAGGTGTTGCTCGCCTGGCCAAAACGTAATGTCTCGATGGGCTGCAGGGGCTTCAATGTCTTTGCGAGCGTGACATTGAGCTTGGATGCCTGTCGCAAACAGCGTTGGCGTTATACCATGACTACGCTCAGCAGGCGGCACACTCACATCGAGTGCAGCAAGGCTTCTCGGATTGTCAGAGTCACCCGTTTGGCCTGGTGCTAGAGAGGTGATGCTATCTTTGTCACCCATAGCTATTATCACCAAGGAGAAAATACCCGTTATCACTTCAACCCATATTTTTATAAGTACACTGACAGCATGACTAGAAGAATATGTAACAAGGATGACTCGTCACCCTTCGAACTTTATTTCAAGTGTATGATCAGATCGGATCGCTACACTAGATGAATCCTATGGGCAAGCCAATGCACGACCCCTGATACTCCCTAATACGCTTTATACGCCAGCACCTTTAGTCCCGAAATCACTCATGCCACGATTCGGAGACTGTGACTAGCGTCATCGAATGGTAACAGAAACTTGGCACCTAGCCTCAAACGTGGACGTGATGCGACATCCATGTGACCAATGGGCACTTGGTGAGCGCGAGAGGGCGCTGGCATCACCACAACCCTGATCCGGACGTTGACATGCTAGTAAATAACGGTAAGGTTTTGTTGAAGTGTGGACGGATTAGTGCTTACATCTGAATCGATTTGCCAGGTGGGTAGCACCAGATAAAATCCAACGTCCTTCGACACTCGGTGCAGTGACGTGGCAGCTATCAGCACTTAATGCCGTACCACCGCGTGACGTTCTACTATGATGATAACGCTCATCCGAGTAGCAGATTCTTCTCTACGCGACTTATCGGCTTGTGCCACGTCTGGAAGGCAACTATGAGTGTTAATGCTCTCGATGACGCGCAGAAAATTTCCTACAACAGTACTGGCATTGTAACGAGTGATATTGGTGTCATATTCCGATGTTGTATTACCATACGACGCTTTGAGGCCCGTTGGTAACCTTGGGGTAAGCGGCCTGCTATGGTCCGCTTGCATAAGAAGCATGACGGCGATAAAGGTACCAAACATCATGATAAGAGCATACCCATCGCTGGTTGTCATTAATGAAGTCCACGGTTCTCGAGTGTTCACAAGCCATGTTCATTGAGAACGGCGAATTTGTCTAGATACGCCAATGAGTATGTCAGAAAACATAGTGCAACTTATGGAAATTACCTTTTTGACGCATGTGCAAATCCCCCACATTCAAGGCACGGCGTTCACACTTGACAGAAGGTGTCAACACAAAAATTCCGCGCCCGGAAGCAAGTCGTCCAAAATATATGGCTATTGTAAGGAGCAGCCGGGGTTCTGAATTTCGTGCAATCGATAAGTAGGTGTCAGGCAAGTTTAATCACGAAGCTTTACGTCAAACGAAGTACTTCGGAGCACGTCACACAGTGAGATGAGTCTGATAAGGTCTATTATCACACTTGATATCAGCACCTGATCAAGATGTTCACCTTCTGCACGTAATAATCAAGACTAACGACGAGAAGCGTAGTCTGGACTCTGGACCATCTGGTCAAAGATGCTAAGGTGATAATATTGATGAACGCTAAACCAATCTCAACACCGCTACGCTCTCCACATGAGCAGTCTGTGGGAATAGATCAAAGCCCCTCAAACTCTCCAAGACATATTTCCTCCCACCCCCTTTCTGCTCCATCCGCTCTATAATCATCCCAATATCACGCGCTTGTGTATGCACATTGCAGCTCACGTACACCACCGTGCTGCACGCGAAGCGAACCAATTGTTCTATGAATGGCTCATCAGAACCCTTGCGTGGAGGATCTATGATCAACGCAGTTTTGTCTGGGGGGAAGTGCGAAACCGTTGAGAATATGTTCGCAGCGTCACCTGCCAGGAAAGAGCATTTCCCTTGCGGGAGGCGGTTGATGATAGCATTCGCAGTTGCAGACTTGATCGACTCGGCGGAGAGCTCAATGCCTGCGACGGTGTCGAAATGTGGCGCAAGCATCAATGAGAAGAGACCTGATCCACAGTATGCATCCACGAGATGCGTGGGCCCAGACGATTGTGAGGAAGGGAAGATCGCATCTTTTACGTACGAGGTAAGCGGGACAAGCACAGAATTGTTGTTTTGAAAGAAAGAATGTCCCGGAAACTCGAAATAAGTAGAATCCACGCGTTCACGGACAGTGGTCTTGTGGTTCGTGACACAGATGTGCTTCTCGTCTTCCGGATCGGGGATAGACGATATATCGGAAGGTAGGTGCTCAATAGAGTCACGCAGAAGCAATGAAACACCTTTCTTATAGCCCCAGATATCCCTGATAGAAATTCAGATATAGTTAAATTTCCAATACAGCTAACGTACTTGATTATATCTTCCCGTATAGGTCCAAGTGCTGCGTTTAACACGGGGGTTGCAATAGGACACTCCTGAAGCTGCTAAGTACAAACCAAAACATTCCAAGTTGATTATTGTCACCTCGATGTCCAGCACTGTCCGTTTTCCGATTTCATTAAATCCAATTTTTAACCAGCTAGGCTTATCTGTTGAACTAGCCGAACCAGATTCAGCCTCCTTGCGTGCTTTTTTTGGTGGGGCCTCAAAATGCGGTGTTATTTTCGTGCGGTAGCCGTATTGAAGTGGCGAGGCTATGGTCGGAAGTACGTCTGGGATGGTCTCCTTGGGAAGGTCTAGTTACGTGAGTCAAGGTATCAGAAATGTTTGAATAAAAGGTGTACTTGAAAAGTTTTCATAAGCTTTGATGACGACGTTGCGCTTGATTCCAAGTTGAGTATCGTAAGAAAGCATCTAGCATGTGACATCAGCGGCCGAATGACTAGGATTATGTTATCACTGAGACCATGGGAGCCGATATCTATGCGAAAGCGAAAAAGACACCCAACTAACCTGATACTGGCAACCAGAACATTGTCCAAAGTAGCGACACTTCGCACGGCTGTCATCACGCAGGTCATGGTTCGGTGAAACGACTTCGAGAAGGTCGGCGAATGAATGCAGACGCGAACTTCGATAGACCCGAACACGAATTCTTTCCCCTGGCAATGCAAATGGTGCAACGATCACCCAAGGAGCAGCAGACGCAGGGGAATGTGCCAGCGCATCGCCTGGTGTACGTGAAGATTAGGACTCAAAATCAATAGACAGAAAGGGAACATCCTTATCCGCACCGTTGGAAGATAATGTAGATACCTCCACCTCCACCTCTTCACGGAAATCAAACGGCGAATCCCACTCGGTGCCGTGTTGCAGAGCATGTCCGACTGCATCATCTCCTAGTAGTGCGACTATGTCACGCCATAGGACATCTTCTGAGGAGTAAGGCTCTGGCAAGACACGCTTCTGTTTCCTCTTGGCTGATTTCAACGCTTTCTTGGAAGGTCTAGGTACCGCAGGGACACTGTCATTCGTATCTTCTTTTGTTACATTGGACTCATCCATGGTATCCTCCTCCAATCGCATCTTCTTCTCCGGTGGTACAGGGACCTCGGAACCGATTATTGGCGATCTCATTCGGGTAGACATTGCAGCTGATAGTTTCTTGGACTGATAAAAAAAACTGGTTCGAGCGTTACAAAGTAGACCAGAAGCACAAGTGGCTGGTGGACGCACGCGATGCGAACGAGCTATAAGCCTTGAAATGGTGTGGATGGTGTTCACAGAGGCGACAACATTCATACCTTGAGCGATTGTCGCAAGCGGAACAACGTATATTCCTTTGCCCGACTCCCCGCGCCACGCTGTGGCCGCCAAATTACATTCCGAACTAGGAAATCCACACGTGACTACTAGGAGGTGATCCGTGATTGTTTTTTTATCACCGGTGGCAGACCTGCATTATGTCATTGGGCTTTGCCAAGACTTTTATCCGCTTTAATAACGTTCAAAAGGAAACGCAGTGATAGTTTTGTTTCTTTTGCCCCATGATTATTACTCTTGCCCGCTCGCTGCTCATGGAGCCCCCTGAGACAACGGGAGAGCCAGTGGATTCAGCTACCTTCTGGTGGAGGATTGCTATGAGTGCCGTCCTTGTGCTTGCGGGAGGTGTATTTGCAGGGTGAGTCGGACTATGCAGTCTAAGTGCTTATGTGATATGTTTGATGTTTGGTCATAGATTAACTCTCGGGCTGATGGGGCTCGATGAATTGCACCTGCGTGTCCTGGCTACGTCGTCAGAGGATTTGACGGAGAAGCGCAATGCGCAGAAAGGTGGGTTGCCAAACAGCCCATGTCTCATTTCCGAGTTAATGAAATGGGCCTCTCGACCAGTATTAAAACTGATGCAGAGAGGTCGGCATTGGGTATTAGTGGTATGTTGATGCACGCATTGCACGCACACACAAACGACTTATTGTTCATTGTAGGTGCTTCTTCTGGGCAACGTTGTGAGTAGCTATTTCAAGTGCCTATGTCTGCAATAGCTTAGCACCCGCAGGTCATCAACGAAAGTTTGCCCATCTTTCTCGATGGTGCTGTAAGTAACATTATTGAACGTCAATCGTTTGGCTTTACGCTGATTAACAAATACTATTCGCGCCAGATTGGTGGGGGCATTGCGGCCGTTGTGATATCTACCACAGCGATAGGTAAGATCTCTTGTGTGCCCATGAATTTCTTGTCTGCTGATATGTCGATCACAGTTATTTTTGGGTACGTTCTCGTCACCTCGGAGTTGGACTTGCTGAGCACACCATGTTCTTCTGCAGAGAGTACGTACGGCACTCCGTGATCAGGAACACAAATTATCCGATTGATCCCATCGCTTATTTGCAGAATTATCCCCCAGGCTGTCAGTGTCAGATATGGCCTCGCAATTGGCGCAAGGTGTGCGCCTTTTGTGCTCTGCCTTATGTATTTATTTGGTAGGTGCCAAGATGCATTATGTTGAGGTTATAATAACTCTTGGCGAAAATAGCTCCTATCGCGTACCCTACTGCGAAGCTTCTCGATTGCGTTCTGGGCCAGAATGAGGGCCATACGTACAAGAAGGCTGAGCTCAAATCTTTTCTGCAGTTCCATCGCACGGGAGAGGAACCGCTACGAGATGACGAGATCAGCATATTGAATGGTGTGCTGGAGCTCAATACAAAGAATGTGGAGACAATCATGACACCCATCAAGGTAAGTGTTGCGTTGGTGATAGATAGGACAGTGTTGCTCATGTGTCTCGGAACTGTAGGACGTTGTAACGCTGAGCTCAGACACTATTCTTGATCACACGACTGTAGACGCAATGTAAGCATCATAGTTCCAGTTTTCTATTCTTAAGTCAACTAACAGCTCGCTCAGTCTCACAAGCGGTTACTCACGCTTTCCTATACATGAACCCGGGAATCCACTAGCATTTCAGGGGCTTCTACTCATTAAAAAGGCAACTTTCGATGTTACACGTGATTCTGCCTGGACGCTGAAGTCGTTTCTCAGCTGTTGGTATATGACCCGGCGCGAGCTCTCCCAGTCTCGGATTTCAAGCTCTCGATTCTTCCCGAAGCACATCCCAGTATAAATTGTTTCCAGGCGCTAGATTACTTGTGAGAATCTTCACTTGAACTTCCGTGGTTCTGATGAAAGCGTTACAGTCAAACGGGACGCGCCCACTTGCTATTGGTTAGTCGGACACCTGGGATTGCAGGCGGTGGAATTGGAGTGATCACACTCGAAGGTGTGTTTTCCCAGACAGCTCTGTCCCCTTACTGACATCCATGTTCTAGATATTATTGAGGTGTGTCTGACTTGGACTCCAGTATATATCCAAGGATGACGACGTTTTGCAGGAGATCATATCAGAAGAAATCGTGGATGAAACAGATCGATACGAGGATAATCAGAGTAAAAGGCGTGCGAAGCGAATGACTACGTCTACTGTAATGCGGGGGTTCGTATTCCACTGTCACTCTCCCATACCTGTCGTTGATATATCATCTTTGAAGGATTGTGGAGCGAGAACGAAGTTTAACACGAGTGCCGTCCTTCGAGCGGACACCCCTGTTGCGCGAGACACCTCTCATGTCATCTTCTCCGCGTTCCGAGACTAATCATCCGACTCCTCGCTACGGCGCGATACTCAGCCAGTCCCCAAAAATATGAAGATTCCAACCATGTCCAGTGACAGGGTGTACACTACCGGATTTTTTGCAGTTATCGGGATGAATCTCTTTGTTTTTAGTGTCTTGACTCGTCGAGATTAATCTAGATCTCGGATTCAATTGGTTGGGTATTGGTCTTTTGCTTCTTGACATGGGCACGCACATCCGCGCGATGACAGCTGTGTCTATCGATCCGTGCCCTCTGAGCTTTAGACTCAGTGTCGGGTTCAAACTTCGAAGAAAATGTACTATCTAATTAGACAATTATTTCCTCACTGTTCTTATCAGAAATTTATCAGCTGCGAAATTGATGTTTGGGGATAGTTTTATGCATGGTACGACATTCATTCAAGTTGACTGCAGGGTATTCAGGAAACGTGTGGACTCCGAGTGCTAGTAAATTCTGTCGAGATACCACTCAGCGCTCTTGAAGCCGCTCCGCACTGAGTCCGCAGCGATAAGTCGTAGATGGCACAGATCACCTGAGAACGCAAAAAAAAATCACCACTATGAACAACTACGGATCGAACCCTACGATATTATTGTCATTGATCCAAAGCCGATATGGATGAATACTGTGTAATATCCGGAGAACTTATTCCCAGAAGGTTATAATGACGACTGAGGGCACCATCTCGTGTCTGTATGCGAAAAATGATTGCTGTTAACTCATCGCAATGGTACAGAAACGTTGGAGTAGTGTATGTGTGCTGTATTCCAGCTGTGTATCTGAGGTATGTAGATGACTGACGTCTCCTTCATGTTGGTAATATCTAACGACAAGATGGCTGACTAGCTGATCAACATTTGCAGTTTTGTCGAGCTCTCGTAGTCGTTCCTTTAAAGAAAACATCATAATGGATCACTTTATTCAGGTAATCGTCCGCGGACTTACCTCAAGAGCAAACAGGTGCGAGTCATATGATGCTGGTGCAAGCTGACGGACTGATTCCGCCAGACGATATAGATATTCCTGAGGGAAATAGTCTCAAATTTGCTCTGAGCTGGAGGAAGCTTGACAAGCCTTATTCGGTCCAGAGGGGCCCACGGAGGCCCATATCCGCTGTGCCAAGTCCTCTAATGGTTCTGAACCAACTGATCGCATCGTCAATAGACTGAATTTAAAAGAGGATAGTGGGATGCTCACTGAATGACGGGTTATCTGGCCGACCGACATAACACTTGCTCCTCGTGAGATCGGGAAAACTTAGTTAGAAATACAACGCGTACAAAAGCCTGAGCTAAAGAGTCAACGATAGGTAGGTGAAACAGGCGAAGCGTGTTGCATACATCCTGAATTGCAATCTGTTCTATCCCATTCTCTATGGTGTATACATGCAGCGTCTCCATTGTGTATCCGTCCTGATCCAGTATATTACCTCGGATGATCGGATACCCAGTTCTGTTGAGCGACATACCTTTTCTCTGTAATCTGTCCGGGCACCTCGAGTGTCAATACGAACCGTGGAGCCTTAACATCTCGAACTCACCCAAGTAATCCCTAACTTCTGCCTCGTATTCCGGGTCGATCGTGTACGCTATGCCTGTGAAGAGGGACATTATCAGTAAGGAGAGAACCTCAATCGGATGGAAAAACCTTGCCCCAAACAATATCTTCATCCGGGAATGCATCCTACGTAGTGTGTATTTGCGGATATCCTAGAAGACGAGAAGAGATGAACTCACAGATTGGGGAAAGCGATCCCAATCCTCCTTGTGGATAAGAGTCACCACACGCCCCGGATTCTGCGAGTTCACGATCAATACTATGTCAGGAGTTCCGCGGACGTGTACGATGGTCGATGAGTGCTGGGACACACCTCGGGTGTGCCACGATGATCATGCGATTCCTGAGCGAAGCGTCTTACGTAGCCTTTTAGGAATCCGGAGGCTGCAGAAAGCCAGATTCATGACATGTTTGCTAAGCCAAATGGATTGATCGCTCGCTCACTCTGGGATAGGACATGAGGTGGGGGCTATATCGCCGGTGATCGCAATTAGTTAGTGAGCCATTAGTTACCACACTTTTTATAGTTGTCTCTCTTCACCTTGAATATCAGTGAGCCGTACCCAAAGACTACGAATGGGGCATTGATGGACCCCATGCCAGTGGACAGCCTGCAAGTTAAGCGATGACAGAATACTCGGAGCACGATTCAAAAGAATGAGTTGGCGCTGTGTGATTATGCAAGAACAGACGAGAACTACACGATATAGGCGCCGCAGATACTGCTACGTACTGTATAAGGAAAACGAATTCATTCTATCACTAAGTATAAGTATACCAATACCGTGTGGCATAATGCTATCCAGCTCCCTGTTGGACAATATTAATGGTTTGATATCAGGGCTTTCATCTTACAATCTATCCATGATGCATGACATGGACCGTACAGGCAGAGGTCAAGTACAATGTCATGCAAACCACGCTGGGCCACGTAACAAATGCATATCATGGATCGGAAACATTGTTAAGATCTACTAGTCAGGACCAGCGGCTAGCTTATAGGTAAGAGCATGAATCGACTGAACGATTCTCACAACGCGTGGTCCTGTCCGTGTCGCGCAGACTAGATAAATCGGTTCCGGGGGTGGTTTCTAAAGTGTCCATTTATCCATCCGAGAGAAGACACTAAGGGATTCTCCCTAGTTGGCTCTATGACAAAGAAGACAAAACGAATCAGGCGTGCCGCAGATGCGGTTGATCTACGCTCACCTAAAATTATACTTCACCCTTGCCCTCCATTCCACATATGCTGGCCAGATCCAATACAAAATGTGTCCAATTCGCATGTACTGGGGCATGAAGACTGTCTTCTCTTTGCGATCGATAGCCTGAATACAGCGTGTCGCCACCACCTCACGTCGCAAGCCATGTTTGTTCGGGTCAGCCTCGTGTATAACGGGAGAAGAGTTGGGCGATGTGTCGACCGCGGACGCGCGGAAGTCACCCTCGATCGTTGCGGGAAGGAAGGATATGAATGATATACGGGGGTGCTCGATTGCAAGCGCCTGAAAGAGTACTAGGGAAGCTGATTTAGTAGAAGCGTAAAGGGTGCGTGTTGGCGCAGGAATAATTGCTGCCACACTTGAAAGAAGAAGGATAGATGGTGACGTGGAACAGGACGTGAGGAGAGGTATCTAGTAAGTTGAACATTCATGAGTTACATATTAACGCGCTGCATGAAGATATAGTCTCACAAATGTGATCGCGGCAATGTATGGACCGAAGAAATTGCCATTGATGGCTGCTTGAGCGACACCAACCGCGTGGTTAATGGCTTCGGCAGTGGCATGTGGCGGAGAGAGACCGTCTTTGGAAGCAGTCACTCCAGCAACTGTCATCAATGGTTGAAGGGCAGAAACACCAGCCGTGATTATGAGCGTGTCGATGCCATCCCACTCTGATACATCACCTCAGTGACAGTATGGAACAAAAGGAACCATGTTACATACCCTTGATTACCGCGTCACGCACTTTTGCCATGTCTTCCACGCTTGCGCAATCTCCGCGCACACACAACACACGATCGCTTTGACATAGTTTCCTGCATTCCTGAGCAGCCTCTTGGAGCATCGACTCCCTCCGTCCTACCAAGCATATCCGCGCACCTCTCTTCGCATATTGATGAGCAAGGGTTCGACCTACTCCACTCGTTGAACCTAATATGAGGACTCTCTCTTGTGTTGGCAGGATCTGAGTGAGTCGTGGTGCAGGTCGTAAGTACCAAAAAAGAAGGAGGCCAAGAGGCAGGGCCCCAAACGCAAATGTTACCGGTGCAGTGTTGAGATGCTGTAGAGAATCGAACATGACAGTACTATCAACAGGGAATCAATAATATTTATTGACGTACTTATTATATACTCGAGCTATAGCGTGTGTTTTACTAACGATATTCTGGGACCTGAAAAGGGACCTGGGAGGTGGAGAATTTATGGGTGTCGGGGAATTCCGAAAATGGATTCTGTCTTGATCCAAGATGCGGCTCGACCAGCTGCTAGAACTGCGGAACTATTCTGAATTTCTGATACCCTTTTGGTTCGATATTTGTTAGAGGACATTAGAGACCTAGAGCCAAATTCATGTTGACCGTGACATTCGTGAGTCGTTCATTTTGTGTCATTGCAAATGAACTAACGTGCAAGCGGGAATCAGGTCAGACATGGACAGTCGACCGATAATGTGGTCAGTTTGCTCTGTGGTCTCCATGCGCCGTATCGTGCTTATATGTCACAGAGACACGTGTGGGCAGGGTGGGCTGATGCCCCACTAAGCCAGCGCGGTTCGTTAAGTCCTCTTCCATGTCAGCTGCTCTGATATGCTCTCCAACATGCAGGAAAGGCGGTAAGCCCTCTTCAATTCTCCTGCTTTCAATTAATATACGTTTCTCTTAGCAAGCCGAAGCTCTCGGCGCATACTTTTCCCAAACCCTATTCACCAAGATCTATGCCTCCCCCCTCAAGCGCGCTGCCACCACTGCAGCTTTTGTTCTTGCCGCCCAACCTGCTCCACAACCACCACACGACTTCACAATCGAGTCTGTAAAGGAGCAAAACTTTGGCGTTGCAGAGGGGAAACCGTGGTGTTCTCCGGATAACAGGATTTCCAAATCACTCTCAGAGTACATGAGCGAGGGCAAGTACCCCACACCGCGTCCGGGTGAACGCTTCACGGATGGTGAGTCCGATGAAGATTTAGCAGCGCGTGCGACGCAGGCTGTGGATGAGGTGATTATGCCACACGTACGTAGTGCAGCGCGGGCTGGGCGTGCAGAGCATATCGCGCTCGTAAGCCATGGGCTCTGCATCGGAGCGCTCATTTTCGCGTTGTTGAAAAGGGACTCCAGAAATGTTACCCCTACACGTGAGTACACTGGGATGCAGAACACAGCGTGGGCGAGAGTAGTTATCAAAATGCAGGTTAGATGATGACATGTTTCTTTTTTATGTGGATGCTGATGGGGGCATGCAGGACGTTGCAGAAGACACACCAATAGACCTTACTGATGAGGATACCCTCCCTCTGATCGTAACAATGATGGACTTCGGACGTGCGGATCATCTCGTCAAGCTTGTACGTCCACCCGTCTTTAAGCATATATATGGTTGCTACTACTAGTTCTCAGAAATTCAACGCTGGCGGGACCGGCAAGATTGCCTATGACCCAAAGCAGCAGGACATTAGAGCGTTCTTCAGCGGCGCGGCCAAGACTGTTGTCACCAAGCACTACGAGAGCGATGCACGGAATGGCATCGATGGGGAAACAAAGAACTGACCTATTCACACCTCACACAACGATGTCGCTAGCTGCCTGTAATTTCATGCCTCCGTGCGTAATCAGCAATATATTTAGACTCACCATAAACGCAGAGGCTACGAACACATACCTCGATACACTATTCAGATTGGCGCCAACAGACGGACTTCATTTGCGAGCTTTCAAAAAAATCAACTGGGCTGTTGTCGGTCCACTTGACCCTTCAGACATTGCTATCAGCCACATCTTCCAGCGCATTCATTTTCTCACCACATTTGCTGCAGCCCTGGGATGACTCAGGCTCAGTCTCCCGCTGATATCAATGCCCTTGCTGTTCCCACAGGATACCGTGAACCTTTCGATTCGATGTCTGGACCTTCGTGGACACTCAAGATCGCATATTTGCCACCTCCTAGTGTCTCGCCACGTCCAACCGTCACATGCACCACTCTTCGCTCCATGCCGCCTTCCAAACTTTCCTTTCCGTACTGGATGATTCTTATTTCGCCAAAGATCTCATCCTGGTATGCCCGTGTCTCGGCCGTTCGACGATTCATTGAATGGAATGCCATTCCTGAGGACTAGGTCACAGTTTCTTTAGAAGATGATATTGGAATAATGAATCGCGTCAGGACTTCTGTGTGGATATGTCATCCCCCGTCAGAAAAGTGCCTTTTTCATCGCTCAAGTCGTTGGCTCAATTTCAAACATTGATCAGGTGCCCCGGAAGCACCAGAAGACTTGGCCCAGACTTTGGCCCCAGACCGGTCATTTCGGAGATGTTCTCAGAAACGTAGAGTCCAGAATCTGAATTTGCCACAGCTCGAGTCTTCCCCGTAAGCTGTTAATCACATCATCGTTCTAGGTGGTTGAAATGAAAGAAACATAAGGTTGTCAATTGTCAATTGCCATGTAAGCAGTTGAGGCTCAACGCCCGTGACCGGGGTGGCTTATACCAACTCGGACTTAGAAGTGGTTGGCTATGTCACTCTACGTCAACAACTTTATTTCTCAACTCATTATCGCAACTAGACTCGGGACGAGCCCTTTAGAGATAAGAGTGTCAATGTAGAGTGACGTAGTCAGTCTTGAAAGCCTGCATGTGAGCCCTGCCTGGGCCTGCCTAGAGAGGACCTCAGGGCTTGAGAGCCTCAAGCCCGGTACATCGCTAGCAGCTTGCTTCGTGCAAATTCCCAATGTTATGATCAACCTAACCAAACAACTTACTCTCTTATATAACAGCGTTCAAGCGACTCATTTCAATCCAAACACAACCAACAAATCATCTCTCCTATTGAACATACAATCATGGTTTTCTACGCATATGTGAAACAGGTACGCCCAAAATTCATTCTTCAATGTCTGCGATGTCGCGCTAAATCGCCATTCAGGTCACCGACAACTCGACCTATCGATATGTGATTGTCTTCGCTAGCCGCGCAGTTGCCGATGAGTGGTGGCGTGCCGTGTCCACTTCCTCCGTCGTTAGTTTCACGGACAGTATTCAGCGTGTCAGCGCCCAGTTCTACACCCACAACGTGAACCAGGCCAACGCCGCCAACTCCCTCACCACGACTGGAGTTGCGACGCAGTTCCTTGGCTACGTGTTTTTCACGTTGATGAACGACCTAGGTGGTCGCGACTTGAGCATCATCCCGCCGCTTGATCATTTCGCGGATCACATTAGCGGGAACTCGTGAGTTAGTTCCTTACAGGATGTTCCACATTTAGCTGATAGCGGCCCTACCAAAGTTTCTTCATTCGCTCCAAAGTCTCTCCTTACAAGTACTGGTACTGTCCCCAGTCATCCAACGCGGCAGATGATGGGGTCTATGTTTCGCAAACCGAACGCACTCGCTTCCTTGTTAGTCGCACCGACAGCGGTACTGCAGGGACCATCATAATTGGCTCTGACCAGATTGCTATCACGTTGACCACCGTCGATATGTCCATTAACGTCGTCACCAGCACCGGTCAAGTGATAGTTTCAACCGCTCCTATGTCGGGGTTGAAGTTTAGTGACCTTTTGAACAAGTTCACCACGGGGGCTACCGATCAGAGCTTGGACATGAGGGAGCTCATCTACACGGATGACGGGGAGGAGTGGGAACTCGCTTGAACTGCTATCACTGTTTGACATTAGCAAAGGGCTTGCATTTGACACAAAGTTGTCCTGGACTATTAGTAACATTAACACCGAAGGAATTGTATTTTTTGTTGAACGCCTGAAACTACGTGTACGACTACAGGGTTTTGAGACGCACGGATCCTTTAGCGTAGACTTCTCGACCAGCTTACAAGCAACAGTGTTTAGAGTTACCTCCCTAGTCACTAACTCGATGGTAACATTATTATTGAGTGATCATTACGTAATCTCTGAGTCAGTGATCGTTGTGCCCCAGGCCCGAAGCTTGATCTAAACGTTGTTTATCGAGTCATTCCGTTGCCTCTACATGCCACAATGTTCTTTTGCCAATGCATAACCCACGATGTCACTCGACAGAACCCTCTCTCCACTAGAATCGGGGACCATGGAGCAGGGCCATTCCGGGAGCAGAAAAACAGATCTCGAATGAAATCATGTATCACCAACTGCCAGTAAGATATTCCGATGTTATTCAATACTCCGAGCCGATCATGGCCTTTAAAAACCTTCGAAATCTACGACGAGGACTCAAGCGAAAGATGAAATCAAATTCCCGCGGATCTTCTGCTCAAAAACCCTCTCTCCACCGCTCATACGTGGAAGCCGGAATTCGGTGATGAAATTTTTTGTTGGCAATTGGTCGTTGTAAAGTTCACATAGGTCAGACAGGTCTTCTGTCATCTGATAGGTAGGACTATCGGCCGGTGGCCCGAGTATCCGCGATGTCCTTACAAGTGCCATTTTCAATGTATGAGGACAGGGTCTCATATTAGTGTGAGCACTACGGTAACTTGACAGAGGCAACGTTTTCTCAACTCATTCTGGCGAGTGACTTTGTAATGGTCTACAATAGCTGGCTCCTGCATTTACTTATAAGTTTGCGGACAGGAAGGCTCGCACATGTCTGCCGCAAACCAAATCCCTGCGTCCGTGAATGACGAGGGACAAGGCATACTGGACTCGGTGTCTCCCGCCCCAACTTTACAAGGCGATCACACGCAAAACTCAGTCCATCAAATTCCAGTCCAGAGTCATTCTCAGAAGTCGTATAACACTGGCAATAACGAGCTGCTTCCGACAACGGATGATACAGATGTTTTGATTGTTGACTGGGACGGCCCGGATGACTCTCAAAATCCCAAAAAGTGCGTTTGCGTGAGCAAGGCAGCATGGTTCGGTATTATACTCACAGTTTTTCCACAGTTGGAGTCTCAGACGCAAATGGGCCGCAACAATAATTTTATCATTGTTTACTCTCCTTAGCCCAGTTTCTTCCTCTATGATCGCGCCTGCTACTGGCGAAGTAGCGTCTACCTTCAAAATTAACGACGATGCTATACTTGCACTCACAACATCTATCTTTGTGCTTGCATATGGTAGGCTAATTTGGTGGATGCTGGATACCACACTGATTTATTAAACTACGTACAAGCGACGGGGCCTTTATTTCTCGGTCCATTGAGTGAGATTTATGGACGGTCATGCGTTTTGCAATTGGCGAATCTATGGTACCTCGGTATGTGACCTTTATAAGTTAACCCATAATCTCACCCCCATTCTTAATATCTTAGTATGGAATCTTGCCTGTGGATTCGCACAGTCAGAATCTCAGCTTCTTGCCTTCCGATTTCTTGCTGGCATCGGAGGCAGCGCAGCTTCGTCGGCAAGTCTTATTTTTAACTAAAAAGTATTGTTTCTGACCGACTTCCCTCTTCAGATCGGCGGCGGCTTTCTTGGGGACTGCTGGCAGCCAGATGAACGAGGAAAGGCTGTTGCCATTTACTCCTTAGCTCCGTTATTGGGTCCCGTCCTGGGGCCTGTTACAGGCGCCTGGTTAGTAACTATTTCAAGTTCAACGACACTATTTGAATTGTGACCAGGATCGTTGAACGCTCGACCTGGAGATGGGTGGTGCGTGATGCTTTCACCAACCGAGGACATTACCTTCTTATTTCTATGACAGTTTTGGTCTACATCCATTCTGGGTGCGGCTATTCAAATCATCGGAGTGTTTTCATTTCGAGAAAGTGGGTAATTGACCGGTCGCGATCTGATGATCCTAATAAATTGTGTTCAGCCTATGCGCCCCTCTTATTAAAAAGGAAGGCAGAGCGGATTCGCCGATCAATGGATGTCGAAAAAGTGCCGTACAGAGAAATTCGTACTGTGTTCGAAAACCAAGATCGTTGGTAAGTTCTCTTATAATTCCTGCAAGACGACATCTGAGGTTTATGATCTATATAGCTGGCGGACCATCATGGCCAAATCCCTGAGTCGCCCCTTTGCACTCTTTGTCCGTGAGCCGATCGTGCAGCTCCTCGGCGTTTATATGGCATATCAATACGGGTTACTTTATCGTAGGTCATATTTACTTCCACAAACGTGATCTCACATCCCACAGTCTTTCTGACGACGATTCCATCGATATTTCTTGGTGTATACCAGCAGTCGATAGCAATCGCCGGCCTCCATTACATTGCACTTGGCATAGGGATGATAGCGGCGGCCCGAATAAATGCGGCAACGATGGACAAGATTTATGTTCATTTCAAGAGTAAAAACGGTGGAGTTGCGAAGCCGGAATTCAGATTGCGTTCGTCATGTTATTCTAGTGCCTCGTTTCTCGAGTGCTCATTTAGGGTGACCAACAGCTGCGATGGTTCCCGGGTCTGTACTACTTCCAGTAGGCTGCTTGATTGTAGGCTGGACTTCTGAAGCCCATACACATTGGATAGCTCCAGATATTGTTAGTTTGATTCTCCTAGTAGTGATCTCTAGTAACAATTTCGGCAGGGTATTATGCTTGTGGGAGCAGGCATTAATCTGAGTTACCAGTGTATCCAGGCATACATCATTGATTGCTTTACGCTTCATGCTGCTTCCGGTACGTATTATTTCGTTCGCATTTCTTATCCATCTCAAACCTTCCATATTCAGCGTTGGCCGCTGTCTCCTGTTTGCGATCACTAACAGGCTTTGGATTTCCCCTGTTTGCTCCAGCGATGTACACTACACTCGGGTTCGGGAAAGGCGATACTATTCTGGCAGTCGTAGCAATCGTCATAGGTTGTCCTGCGTACGTCTTCGTTCCCCTTCCTTCCATCGTCACCCTTAATGATGATACCTGCAGACCCTGGATATTTTGGCATTACGGGGAACAGATACGGAACAAGAGTCGATATGCGCGGCGATAACCCTAGACAAACGAGAAGCAACCGAAATAGGGCATGTATCACAATAACTTTCAAATTATGAATCCCGCTGGCAGTGATACGGTATTTTTATTCCCGTTGGCCCCGTATAATGCACCTAAAAACTCTGCTCTTAACCTCCCCGCTCCCAATTCCAAGTCTTGAAGTTGCAACAGTAACGAACGTAAGAACGCGAGTAACCATGATACACAAGATACTGTATGTGACATGCTCGACTGTTGCTGCTGAGGTCTGCCGACGGGGGCTCGAGCTTGTCTCGCGAGAGCATTTGCAGGATTCACCAGATTGTTTCTAGGGTATAAGGCAAGCCCGGTGAAGCTCTCATGCGCCTTCACGAGGAATTCCGTAAGTGCCCATTTTCAGAGACAAGTTCTGCATAGTCAGGCCTTGTGATCCTTGAACGACTCCAAACCTTGCACGCATGTTTAAAGTCATCTCATCTAAAACGAATCGCGCATATAAAGTGGTCGGCAGGAACGGCGAACTGGACTAGGGGGGGAACGTCTCACACCAGGGCATTTGCGAATTTGGAGATGCATCTGGGCACTAGGGCCCTTAGACTAGATCGTACTGTCCTCCATGAAGGTGGGGTAGTTGCGCTCGTGGACTGTTATTAATGGTTCCTTCTGCTGCTCTTTTGCCTGCTTATCCGCTTCCTCATTTCCATGCATATCTTCGTGTTCTGGGACCCATCTGACATCGAAGTCGCCATATCTCTTTACTATGCAACCTATCTTTTTCCTGGAATAGTCAGCTAAGTAAGAACCTGGACTTGAGTAGAAATTGTCACCGCTTTGGACGGCTGCTTGTTTATCGATTAGGATCGATGTTAGGAAAACAGGATTTCGTTCGATCACATCTTGTAGGGCGTTGACCAAGTACCAAACATTAGGGTTTCCCTCATTCTGAACCGCAGGTTAGCTCCAGCAGTTAAAAGATGGCAAACGTGACTGGAGTGAGGCACAGAAATCAGATCGATACAAATGACTTGCAATACAGAGGACAGATCAACACAAACAAAAAAGAACGAGACTCAGGCTAGCGTTTGTTCTATGTTCCGAACACGCCATCCACCAGATGCTCTCTCCACGCACTCCCCACACCGGATCCGGGAAATACGTCACTCGACAGGACCTTACGTTGGATGACGACGCTCGGAACGACGCTGAAAGCACGTAATCGGCCACTTTCAATAAGCCAACTGAAAGCTTGATCAAGGGCTCGGGAATACGCGAATGGCGGGTGGCGAAGATGCTGCAGAAGACGCCGAGCACCGGACAAAGAAAGTGCATAAGCATGAGTGCAACGCGGAGAGTAAGATGGGTGTATGTGTGACCGTGTTAGCGGGTCATATAACGGAGACATGACCCGAGGCGATGGAAGTGCGGAGTAGAAGGATTCATTTGACCAGCAGTGACCTGAGGAACACGATATGGCATCAATTATAGACTTACAACGTAGCACCGGTGCTTACCCAGAAAAATCATATCCCAGCCATGTGGGAGAGAGGGCCAGACGTGACGCATTCTTATCTCGATGTCCTTTTCCATATCGATATCGTCTTCCAAGAAAACAGCGACATCCTCGGGAGTGGCATTCACTTTATCAATGAATTTTCGAACAGCAGAGACATGGGAATACCAGCATGAGATCTTTGGCGCAGTGAGGATCATCCAGTCCGGGAGATTAGGATTAAAAGGCGGTACAGAGTGATCTTGAGTTGCGCACGTGACGTTTGGATGTGACAAAGAGGACGAGGTGGTATGTCTGCTATCTTGAATGTCCGCAGAGGTCCAGAGGTCGGAACCGGAAGCTCCAAAGTACTCTGTGGAAGCAGCAATGGCGTTGATATCAGCGGGCCAGCGGAAGACTGATCCCAAGTCGTCCCGGTGTCCTTCAGAGGGCTGCAGCGAACGTTGAGAAACAATCCGCTCGAAAATATGACCGATAGCAATATCCGAAGGGTCGAGTGCATCAACAACCGTCCAATTAATTTGTTTGGATGCTTGCAAATGTTCCATCTGTTGTCGCCGGTCTTGTCGCCAGGGCAGAGATATGAGATACACCTCAGAAGCGATACCCAACTGCATCGATGAGCGGGAGAATGACGTTGTAAAGTTCTTGGAAGAACACGAAACTTCGCTGTAATGCTCTTCTTTCCAAGGGACACGAGAATGAATGAAGGATGGTAACGTCCTCAGTTGCGGAGACACGAGCGCAAGGATCGACAACCATAAAGCCAGAACAACAGCCAGAACAAAACATATATATCTCGCAACACCCACTCGACGCACGAAAAGGCTGGCAAACATAGCAGTATTGGGTAACGCGCAAAGCGGTCGAACCGGTATTAGCAGACAATTGGTTCAAGTTAACAACTCCAGGATGCAAATGCGCGGAGTTTAAAACGTTTCTACTACTAACAGTCTCTCGCGTGTGAGGGCATACCGTTGGAGTCCGCTCAAAGAGCCCGCAGCTCACGAATCACGATATTGAGTCTGCCCAATGATTCCGTGTTGCACTGTGTATGTATGTAGCACTCACTGCGGAAACGAGATTTTAGGCAGACCCTAATCAGAGGGAGACGGCGCGTGTAACACGACTCTAAACGTACCTAGCTTGTAATCAGACATAAATCCAAGATGTCGCAAATTTTGCTCGCTCGCTCCGGAGCAACACATGTAAACAGACACTTTTCCAACTTCGTCAACACGTCTATTCGGACCCCGTTTATTCTCTTCAAATACCTGCAATTCCACCACTAATCAACACCGCATATTCAATATTTCGACAGTCTGTTTAGGTCGCGCTTGAAGCAAAGTGAGTTTTTCAAAAATTTGTCTAAGTCCCCGCGTTACACCTGCTCTACTAGTACGGGAGTTTTGCTCACATGACTGCATACAGTCTGACATGTCTAGATATCGAATATCATTATGTCCTCTTAGACCATACTACTCAAACACATCCGAACCCTGTATCGATCGACCAACATGGCTCCCCCTGTACGCTGCTACTGCAAAGTTACAAAGTGCAACAGGCATTCTTGTTCCACCTCACGTTTTTCGCTCGCATGAGCGCTCTGACTTATGCCAACAAACTCTTGCTGATCAGGCTAACTTTGCCCGGCGTGTCGGGCAATGCATCATCTCACAGGGTGATGCAGATATTGAGCCAGTTCCTCGAGGATTTTCAGTTCCGTTACATGAACCTCCCCCTCCCTTGTCTCCGGAGTTTCGTGACCCTTTGGCGGATGTTGTATTGGATTACGGGGCACTTACAGATGTAGATTTTGGTATTGCGACATCCAGCGGCCCTCTGCCCAACCTTGGTCCTAACATGCGCAGTCCCGAGGCTCTTATTGCCGCTGTTGACCACTTTGACGCGTATAACAATGCGACAGCTGGAGAAGACCACACGGATCTTTTGCACCTCCCTCACCATCTGCTAGTGATATACGCACTTGTCTCGTGGCTTCACCTTCAGTTTCACCTTCCACGAGTTACATGCAATGCACTCCTTGCGATACTGGCTTGCATTTTACTCTCGATTGCACCCGCCATCAACACTCCTTTTATAACGCTTCAATCCAGCAATCGGGTACTTGGTGTGGACAAGACTATCTACACTCTTCCTGTTTGCCCTTCTTGCCGCAAAGTTTTCCCTCCTGCTGGTTCAGTGCATACCGTGGATACCTGTCCGATCTGCCTCGATGATCTTTTCCTGTCAGAACACACTCTGCGGGGTAACCAACGAGCAGTCAAGTCCCCGGTGATAAAATATCCTTATCTCCCACTCTCCGAACAGCTGAAATCTCTCTTGAAGATACCTGGCTTAGAAGCATTACTGGATGGCTCGCCTTGAAGTGTTTGCACTTGTGCTGTAAGTGCATTGTTTGAGGTCGTAATATTACTACAAAACTGTTGTATGCTTTCAGACAGATGCAGCAATTCGCTGGCACTGGCAGTTCTACCCTGTGGACCCGAGTACTGCATGTCTCCAGTTTGGTCCTGGAAAAGCAAGCCACCGCGTTGGTATGGGTATGTTCCTGCACTGTGTGATTGATGAGGTCGTGCAAACTGATCATAGTCAGGGTTGTGGCCTCCACCTGGTGCCAAGGACTGCGAGCGAGAACGTGGCTCACTGCCTGATGAGAAAGGAGTGTGCAAGTTTCCATGACCAAGGTATGGTGTACTGGCCGGCTGGGGGTTCATATAATTATTGACACCATGCATAGACAGGGAAGGTGTACGCTGCTCGTTGTGCCTGGGGATGAATGGGGTTTCTGGTAGGTTGTTATTGCCCAATGGTCTTCCCATATTCTCATTTACACTGTCTTCCCCTAGCTAATAATATGTGAGTTTTCTGTGTTCGCATTGAAGTGATTCTGACAAGTTTACCATTGCAGGATTGGGCAGCCATGGTCCACTGGAAGTACTCATCGTGCTGCGGCAAGTCGTCGTTGAGCAAGTTGAGTGGGGATGGCCCAGGATGAGGCTGGCCAAATTGGTGTGGACCACTCATTTGAGACTGGCGGTCTTGACTAATGCCGTGTTGGTTAGGATACATGGGGGCACCGCTAGGGCGTCTCTGTGGGCCCCGGGATCCATGCATCGTGGATGTGGGGTGTGGAGAACGAAGGGAAGAGCGAGTGAGAAGCTATGGGCAAGCGCATGGCGAATCCTAGGAAACATATGGAGCATATGGACCTCTTGTACTATATCCTTTGCAGAGTCTAATCAGAACTATTTTGTATATGTATGCAGACATAATTCAGATGTGCAAGTCATGTTTTCCGATATGATCCTATTGTTGGATTAGATACACAGATAACTAATCTACCTCTGCAAAATTTATGTGTCCAGTGTCGGATTAGAGCCAGCACTGTGTACCTCTCGCTAGTCTAGCGCTTCAGGATTTGCGTTGTATGCGATGTCTGTTTATATTCCGCATATATGGTCTGTCCCTACACTAATCCGGTGAGGGCGAGGAATGATAGCTGCGTGCTATGGGGAAGAGTGGGAAGTGGGCTCTCAAGTGCTCCTCTGGATACGAGTGGAAAGTCGTCCCAAGGGGATTGCTACTGAGAAAGATTCCTCTAGTGAATGGTGAGGGGGATCTTTAACCAGCGATTCGGTCTTGAAGTCTGAATGGGACACTGAGGCAAATAATGCACCCAAAAGCGAAGTGCGCTAGCTAAAGGCGCCTAAACGCGCTAATAAGGCGGAAAGTGCAGAAAAGCGCGCTTCAAATGTCAAAGCGCACTTCGTGCGATCACAATGGAGTGCTTCGAGTAGAGATGACAATCAAAATGGGGAATCAGGACTTTGATAGATGTAGAAATAGACACTTAAAGGTGTCAAAGCGCCAATAGGAAGGAAAACCGGTGTATTCAGATAGAAACTCGAGCTATACACTTCGATGGTAGTGGAGCGGAAGTAAGTGACCGGAAAACAAACATGGTGACGTGTAGGTATGCTAAGCGAGTTCCCACGGCTCGGAGCCGAATAGGAAGTACTAAGGTAAATGGTGAGGTAAGTCAGGGTCCACAACGAGATATGATGATAAGTACTAGTGCCTGCGTGATGGAGTATGAGTTCTGAAGAAGGGAAAACGCACCAATGGACCTTGGAGGACTGGGACGGGACATGCGGAGGACAGGCGATGGATCCTAGGGAAATGCGATGAAGTGCGCCGTAACGCGCTCGAACGCACTTGAACGCGCTGGTACGCGCCAAAGTGCGCGTTGCGCGGAAGTCGTATTAGAAGCGCATTGTAAGGATATCAAGTGCGTCGTGAAAAGCCGTGAATTTGGCCCATATGAGCCTGGAGAAATGTGAATCTCTACACCGGCCTGACTATTTTCTCATTTCCGCAGTGAGTTCCCTAGCCCCTGGACGACTATCTTGACCCGCTTTAGCAATTGCGCGTCAGGTGTGGCAGGTGAATCTCAGATTCGATTAGAGTTTGGGTTGTTTGAGTCTATTTGGTTTTTTGACGTCTCGGTTGATCAACTTGAACCACCTTAGTCACTGTGGAAATGAGAAAATAGTCAGGCCGGATTAGTGTAGGGACAGACCATATATGCGGAATATAAACAGACATCGCATACAACGCAAATCCTGAAGCGCTAGACTAGCGAGAGGTACACAGTGCTGGCTCTAATCCGACACTGGACACATAAATTTTGCAGAGGTAGATTAGTTATCTGTGTATCTAATCCAACAATAGGATCATATCGGAAAACATGACTTGCACATCTGAATTATGTCTGCATACATATACAAAATAGTTCTGATTAGACTCTGCAAAGGATATAGTACAAGAGGTCCATATGCTCCATATGTTTCCTAGGATTCGCCATGCGCTTGCCCATAGCTTCTCACTCGCTCTTCCCTTCGTTCTCCACACCCCACATCCACGATGCATGGATCCCGGGGCCCACAGAGACGCCCTAGCGGTGCCCCCATGTATCCTAACCAACACGGCATTAGTCAAGACCGCCAGTCTCAAATGAGTGGTCCACACCAATTTGGCCAGCCTCATCCTGGGCCATCCCCACTCAACTTGCTCAACGACGACTTGCCGCAGCACGATGAGTACTTCAGTGGACCATGGCTGCCCAATCCTGCAATGGTAAACTTGTCAGAATCACTTCAATGCGAACACAGAAAACTCACATATTATTAGCTAGGGGAAGACAGTGTAAATGAGAATATGGGAAGACCATTGGGCAATAACAACCTACCAGAAACCCCATTCATCCCCAGGCACAACGAGCAGCGTACACCTTCCCTGTCTATGCATGGTGTCAATAATTATATGAACCCCCAGCCGGCCAGTACACCATACCTTGGTCATGGAAACTTGCACACTCCTTTCTCATCAGGCAGTGAGCCACGTTCTCGCTCGCAGTCCTTGGCACCAGGTGGAGGCCACAACCCTGACTATGATCAGTTTGCACGACCTCATCAATCACACAGTGCAGGAACATACCCATACCAACGCGGTGGCTTGCTTTTCCAGGACCAAACTGGAGACATGCAGTACTCGGGTCCACAGGGTAGAACTGCCAGTGCCAGCGAATTGCTGCATCTGTCTGAAAGCATACAACAGTTTTGTAGTAATATTACGACCTCAAACAATGCACTTACAGCACAAGTGCAAACACTTCAAGGCGAGCCATCCAGTAATGCTTCTAAGCCAGGTATCTTCAAGAGAGATTTCAGCTGTTCGGAGAGTGGGAGATAAGGATATTTTATCACCGGGGACTTGACTGCTCGTTGGTTACCCCGCAGAGTGTGTTCTGACAGGAAAAGATCATCGAGGCAGATCGGACAGGTATCCACGGTATGCACTGAACCAGCAGGAGGGAAAACTTTGCGGCAAGAAGGGCAAACAGGAAGAGTGTAGATAGTCTTGTCCACACCAAGTACCCGATTGCTGGATTGAAGCGTTATAAAAGGAGTGTTGATGGCGGGTGCAATCGAGAGTAAAATGCAAGCCAGTATCGCAAGGAGTGCATTGCATGTAACTCGTGGAAGGTGAAACTGAAGGTGAAGCCACGAGACAAGTGCGTATATCACTAGCAGATGGTGAGGGAGGTGCAAAAGATCCGTGTGGTCTTCTCCAGCTGTCGCATTGTTATACGCGTCAAAGTGGTCAACAGCGGCAATAAGAGCCTCGGGACTGCGCATGTTAGGACCAAGGTTGGGCAGAGGGCCGCTGGATGTCGCAATACCAAAATCTACATCTGTAAGTGCCCCGTAATCCAATACAACATCCGCCAAAGGGTCACGAAACTCCGGAGACAAGGGAGGGGGAGGTTCATGTAACGGAACTGAAAATCCTCGAGGAACTGGCTCAATATCTGCATCACCCTGTGAGATGATGCATTGCCCGACACGCCGGGCAAAGTTAGCCTGATCAGCAAGAGTTTGTTGGCATAAGTCAGAGCGCTCATGCGAGCGAAAAACGTGAGGTGGAACAAGAATGCCGTTGCACTTTGTAACTTTGCAGTAGCAGCGTACAGGGGGAGCCATGTTGGTCGATCGATACAGGGTTCGGATGTGTTTGAGTAGTATGGTCTAAGAGGACATAATGATATCGATATCTAGACATGTCAGACTGTATGCAGTCATGTGAGCAAAACTCCCGTACTAGTAGAGCAGGTGTAACGCGGGACTTAGACAAATTTTTGAAAAACTCACTTTGCTTCAAGCGCGACCTAAACAGATGTCGAAATATTGAATATGCGGTGTTGATTAGTGGTGGAATTGCAGGTATTTGAAGAGAATAAACGGGGTCCGAATAGACGTGTTGACGAAGTTGGAAAAGTGTCTGTTTACATGTGTTGCTCCGGAGCGAGCGAGCAAAATTTGCGACATCTTGGATTTATGTCTGATTACAAGCTAGGTACGTTTAGAGTCGTGTTACACGCGCCGTCTCCCTCTGATTAGGGTCTGCCTAAAATCTCGTTTCCGCAGTGACTCTTGAAGATGGGACATGTAGTCCGGGTGAGATAAAACTTCAAATCATCAGGACTATAACCGTAAGCGATGCACACAACCGCCTTATATCCGTCTGACAGCGCCCGGCGGTCTCATCTCAACTTTGGTAAGTACCTCAACCACCTTCCTTCCTACATACATATCCTCTATCTCTCTTAGGCAAACCTTAGACAATTAACTGTCCCATGGCCTTGTCATCTGATCGAATGTCAGTTCCTCTCAAAATATCGGATGCGTCGAACTTCGCAGACATGATATTAAGAGCCTCATATTCTCTCCTCGGACCTCCAACCGCGATCACTCCCATATGTGTTCACGCCTCTGTGGAAATGAAGACACCGCTACGCTAAGCCCTGCATTGGAGAGGGTAAAGTAGCCACGGAAATTGTCAATATGCACCACCCAACAATGAGTCACAGTCTACTTCTCCTAGTCTCATATGCAGAGATTCACATTTATCGCAAGTTCAATGCATATTTGTGAAACTCAATTGTATACTCTTCCTGTTGAGTCTCCAGAAACCGACTATCGAAGAGCTCCTTGACGAGGATGTCCATTGTGACAACCTGGTGCACCTGCGTCCAATATCACTCTCAATTCAATGTCATCTATCGTGCCGGAACTTCTCATGTTAGTCCCTACTCTTCGCATTGCCTCAATTTCATCCCCCGTTCGCTTGCTTTCGCCCAGTGTCCAGTTGTTTTTTCACGCCCCACACCTCACCACATCCTCACGCATCGTTTTCATAGTGCTCTCGTTCTCACCGCTTCCTCATGGATTTCCTCATGGATTTCGCGATTACATGCTGTACTGTACAGTGAACACTTGCAATGAATAAATATTCCATCCTATCCTGTTATCTCGGATGTTTAGCCCACTTTGAATGTACCCTACTTGAACAACCACGATCGCAACAACGATGTCCTCCTGTTCAGTTTCTCAGTCCGCTATGAGGAAGTACCGATGCTATGCATCACTTCAACACTATCCACGACTCACGCGCAACTGCATCTCTGATAGAATCGGCATGCCTTGTCCGTCGTTACGTGCTCTCACAAACTAGCACGAACATCATAAGTACTGCTACACAGTCAGCTCAAGTCGTTCACATGGACAACCCTAAACTCAGGTTATATGCTGGGTATAGAATAGAATACGAAGTATGATCTACTGTACACTCAGTCACATGTAAATTGTATCTAAAATCTTCATGATGGATACATTGCTGCGATCATCGTTGGTACTAAGGTCTGCAAGTGTTGATGTTAGTAAACGCGGGGAACAAAAGGGTTTCGAAGAGACTCACTCCTCTCGGCACTTTTGCCAGTGTTGTCCATGTGCCATACGACTCAAATCAAGCTCAGTACCTCTGGGTATCACTAATGCAGTCCCAGGGCTCCACAATAAATGTCGATAAGCGGGTGGTACCCAAAATAACAGCCGACGTTCGGGTCCTATCACCTACCCACTGCGATCATCCAGGAGAAAGGGGGTCGAACTGCGGTCATCATGGGATGACCCCTCCGTTAACTCAGAAGTGTCACAGAGCGAACTGCGGTCATCATGGGATGCCCCCTCCATTAACTCAGAAGTGTTGCAGAGAGCATGGATAGATTTGGATGAGAAGCGAATGAAGTGATTGTTCGGAGTGTTCAATATCATGGCAGTGGTGGCCTCGATCGTGTGATGTTCAACATCTGAGAATGCTGGATGATTTAACTCGGCACACTGTTGCGATGGCTGCCCCATCACTGCATACCACAGCCGAACAGTGTGATCTCTTGAACCAGTGACGATGCGAGTGCCGTCCGGCGAGAACGAGACCGACAAAACCAGAGAAGTGTGTCCCCGTAAGGGCTCACCGACTGGCTCCCCCGTCTCTGCATCCCACAGCCGAACAGTGCTATCCTTTGAACCAGTGACGATGCGAGTGCCGTCCGGCGAGAACGAGACCGAGTTAACTGATCCAGTGTGCCCCCAAAAGGGCTCACCCACTGCCTCCCCCGTCCCTGCATCCCACAGCCGAACAGTCTGATCCATTGAACCAGTGACGATGCGAGTGCCGTCCGGCGAGAACGAGACCGAGTTAACTAAAGAAGTGTGCCCCCTGAGCACGGTCTGAACAGCCGGCCAGTTTTTATCACATCCAGATGCCACACGAAGAGTATTCGGAAACCATGCAGAAAACTTTCTTGATAGCGGAGAGTTGGCAGGCGAGAATGAGAGTGCTGATATATACAGATGTGGTGTGCTTTGTAAAATGATACCGCCGAAGACTTGAATGAACCTCTGTACGTCCATTGCAATCGACGAGATATCTTTGAATTTGGGATGGCCCTGTGCTTGCGCATGAGCGCTTTATCTGACACCTAGTAGCAATGTGCTCACCTTCAGCCACTGGGCAATGGGCGGAAGGGCACCAACTGCACCCCTGAGCGCATTGGTCAGGGCGAGTGACTCCAGCCAGAAAAACACCCGCTCATGGTCGAATAACAGTGTCACTTCTTTCGTGAGTTCCTTGTCGAAGGCTGTGTTTAGTACGTGCGACGTCCAAAATCGAGATGAATATGACAGATGTGGGGGGATGCATTTTTGGACTCGCTGTTGTAGACCGGGATCTTCGCTATTGGGCAGATACGACGACTTTAAAGCACAGATATTGAAGCAAAGACCGTGTTCCATCACTCGAAGTGACGCGAATGCAAGGTCGCATTGCGGCTTTGACAGGTCAATGAAAAATTCTTTACTGGATTCTTCGTCAGTCAAGAAATCATGAAAGGACACGTGGAGGGGTCGGATTGGGGAATCTGGGTTGGTGGTGCCGCTGAGGAGGGAGCCCATGCTTTTTACCACAAGCCCCACGTCGAAATTGTCCTCTCGCATTGGAAAATGGGACCTCATGGCGTTCAGGGAAGCTAAAGGAAGGGGTTCAGCTGTGCCCAGTATTTGTCCCATCACTGAGCGAAATCTCGCCAACTTCGTTGAACGCAGTTTCGGCGGATCCGGAGATGTATCCCTGGGCATGATATTTGTTAAAATGAGGTCATACATGTTGTGCAACAGCTTGCTTCTCTCAGCAGGATTGTGTGATACCACAGCCTCGTAGTAATCCTTTGGAGATACCATATCGGACTCTTTGATGTATCCGCAGGCGAGACGCGCCCACTCGAAAAGTCCATCAGCTTTCTCAGCGAGGACTGCGAACTCTCTGTCCTGGAAATCCAGCCCTTCCAACTCCTTGGATACATAAGCACGGATGTCACACTTTGCAAATTCTGGTGGAATATCATCCATCGACATCTGTCGAATATGATGAACACCACGAAACTTCTCTTCGATATCACCAAGCGGCCGAGAGGTAACAATGAAGCGGAAGTTGCCAGGAAGGTTTGTGATTTTTGGAACGTCGGGGTTTGGATGTTTGCCAGTTAGAATACGGAGGAGGTCCATTCGTGTCTTTACTCCACCGCTCTCGTCCAGTGCATCGATCACGGTCACGATGGGTCCCACAATCGACGCACATGACTTCCCCAGTGGTTCGACAAGAAGGTTCTGCCACTGCTGAATGATATCCGCTGTGTTCTTGAGCGAATTCGCGGTCTTAACTGCATCTGCTAATGCCCGCCTCATCTCCGGATCACGGTCAGCCAGGTCGTGCGCAATCGTGGAAAAGATCTTTTCATGGCGATCATCTACTCCCCGGTCAAAACAGTAACACGAACCAAGCCCTCCCACGTCTTTGAACCACTTAGCAATGGTGTGGGCGATGGCCGATTTGCCCTTGCCCGCAGGGCCAGATAGCCACAGCACGCATGGAACCTTGTCCCCAGTGCTGTTGACCCATTCCGTGATCTGGGAAAGGATTTCTGTGCGCGTCCCTTGAAGGCATTCTTTTCTGGTATCTAGTCCCGCGCGATCTGCATAAGTCATACCGCTGAGGTCCAATGTTTCTGAAAAAGGTATGAATATATGTGAAGTCATAAGGACGTCCGAACCCTTACCCATACGATGGATGTGTATGGCTATGTTGTTGACGTGTGTGCGTATGTTGTGGACGCCTATGGCTACGTCGCGAGCCTGGTCCCGCAAGTTTTGCATGAGCCTATCAAACACGTCGTTGTACTTTATGATCGTATCGTCTGTTTCTGAGACAACATCCTTTCCAAGTGTCTTCCCTATGATGATGGTAAAAGCTTGAGACGGTAAGGTGCGCAACAGCTTGTTAAGACTCACAAAAATTCTTGGTCTTCGAATAATTATTTATAAAATGGGCACATTCACGGGTCTGCTGAGAAATCTTGCCAAGGATGATGCGCATCGACGAGAGTTGGTCAAGCATGTCGTCTTGTGTTATGAAGCTGTAAACATCGCATATCTTCTTGAGAAGTTTGAGTACCGTTGCGTCGCGATCCGCATGAGCTAGAATAATCTGTACAAATGATTGCTGAGTGGTGGGAGACAGGAAGAGAAAAAGAGAAAACATACTTTGGCTGCAAAAGACAACACGCCCAGTGCCATCTTTGCATATGGATGTACCTGTGGAACTAGATTAGTTTGGTTCTGATCGAGAGGAGGGCCTGCATACATCCGCAATCTTTCCGATAACAGCGTCGAATATCCTGAGGGGTTCGAGATATGTGTCTTTGAAACTGCCAGCAGCATCGAGATCTTCTGGTGTATCTTGAACATGAGAAACCACAGCCTCCACTTCCACACCAGATGGAGCCGCGTGAACCTGCGCGACCACCAGTATTTAGAGAGAGAACAGAGACTAGAGGATAAGTATGAGAACTTACCTCGGGATTAGGGGTCGATGAAGCACGTTGATGAGTGACATTCGGGGGAAGAGGGTTGCGGGTACGGGAATCCTTTGAGCGCTTATGGCAATCTTAGTCGTATTCCAGGACACTCATTATACATGTTCGTGGACTCACCAATATCCTTAACTTCCTCGCACCGTCCTTCATCTTCTTCAGAAGTCGACCGAGTTTACCACGGGGTCGGTGCTAAACGAAGGATGTGTCAATGTTCGGAATGGAGTGGACTGAGTGATCCTCATCAATCACGTACCGAGCCAGTTGTGTGAGTCGAATCCCTCCGAGTCGGAGTCGATGAGCTGCCTTTTCTCATTGTGAATAGCAGTTGAAGCGAAGCAAGATGATGAGTAAGGGTCCTAGGGTCAACATCATCTATATAAAATAAATTTTGTCTTGAGGAAGTTCAGGTATAACCTAGTGCAATAGAAGTATCAATATAATCTGTCAAATTTTCTCGCATATGTAATACATACTTTGATGACGATGTGAGCATGTGGAAGACCTCGCTTTTGGAATTCAATGATTTTGATGATATACTTCACTTCTCCAAGACATTTGCGGAGAATGTCAAGTAACCGTTTCAATCGCAATTTGAATGCTCGTGCGGTGACTACAGGAGCCTCGGCCGCTGTTTGGTCTGGTCTGAGCCATGCTCTAATTTCAGGCCAATCTGGATTGCAAGTCATGGTAATAAAAAACGAAGGACGATCGAAAGCACGGGCAAGTGCAAGACTGTCTGCAGTTTCTTCTGATGCCCAATGTCGTGAACCGATGAAACTGGTGGGTAATTCAATATTTGGGATTTCATCATGTTGTCCTTCGGGTGTAGAGAGTTGTGCATGACTTGTGCGATTTCTGCGAATGTAGCCGAGTCCTTCTTCTTCTATGCGCGAGTACATGTCAACAATATATTCTGATGCGACACGACCAAAGTGTAGAAAACGGTCTTCTGTGAGAAGACGGGACTTGTACCACTGTTGTTGTGTGAAGTCAAATGGACGTGTAAGATGTTGAGGACGTGATGGATCATCTGCCGTCAGGCCCCATCCTAATGTTCCATGTGGAAAAAGCAGTGGGTATTGCAGAGGTTCATAGTGTCGGGAATATATAGGAACAAAGGTAGGTTCTCGATCGGAGTTATGCCATATGAGGATATTGCGTGGCTGGACAGACATTGAGTTAGCAGCATGCATAATTGCTGCAAAATCATTGTTTGAAGATGATTCAGAAAGTTCAAGCGCAGTTGTTGTTGTATCGGGAATATGATGAAATTGCTGAAGGTGGGCTACATATGGATTGCACATGTGCAAATCAGCACGGAGTGCTTGTGTCCACTCGATCGGCACATCAAAAAGGTTTCCATGTGAATCTCTCTCCGACTCATCATATAAAAACCAGTGGAATGAATGATCTTGTTCAGAAATATCGAAAATGCGGTGATAAGTCCTGCCCGTGATGGCGACCGATGATATTCCAGTTTGAAAGTGAGCAAATCCTTTACTTGAACCAATGGCAGTAAATGAAAAGAGATTGTTAAGACGACGGGATGAGAGGGAGATGTTATGTGAAAGTGTAGCAGAGTTAAGAATATTGGTGATGTTGGGGGGCAGAAGAGGGTAGCGGCGGTACTATATATGTGCCATTGTTGCAGCAGAAGGAATTGTTCTCACGTTTCTGAGCAGCCTGGTGTTCACGAAAAGATGGATCTAATCAACGCCTCCGTGATCGTCCTGCATCTTGTTCTCTATTTAGTGGCATGAGTGGGTGATTAAGAAAAAGGCATTATTTGGCTGCAAATTATATATTGTGTTAATTTGTTTTGGTCAATGGATCATAATGCACTGGACGAGTAAGACTGCCAAGATTTAATATCACGACAGATCAAATGGAAGATTGGAGCAGTGACATGTAAATCATTGATGAAGGTACATATTTGGTAAAATTACAACATGGAGTTCTACATTGTTTACAATTCAGAGTACAAAACTAATCGACTTCGCTGAGGGGGCTGCCAGAACAACCCTCAATAAATTCGTGTTTCACTTTAACACCATCATTCTCTCTTGCAGGGGTATTTGTGGCAGCTTTTTGCTTGCCCTTACTCCTCGTGGCCTTGCCTGGTTTCGCAGTAGCTGCACGTTTGGCTGGATGTGGATCATCTTCTGCACCATCAGAGTGAGTATCTTCATGCGCATGCTTGGAAAGAGAAAACTGTGTATCTTCGGTGACAGACTTCGACGGGGAAGAAGTAGTGTGGTCATTAGTGGTGGACTTGGATGGGGACTTATTCCCCCAATTCCACTTCGTGCTTTTCCCTTTGATTGGATCAGTAAATCTATCAATACTGGAAAGCAAGGGAGATCACGAACCTTTTGCAGGAGAAGGAGCAGAGTCTGACGTCAGGAACGCAAGTTCTTTTACCTCCAAGGGGAGCCGTTTGATGGCACCACCGTGATCAGAAACAGGTTCGGATACAATGAAACCAGTGACAACAATCGTGGAACCAAGTTTCGGGATGCCAAGAGATTGGAACCATTTGTTGTCAGGTGGATATGAGCAAATATAGGATGCAAGATGAGTGTCACCAGCAACATATTGGTTTATGTTGAGATGAAATGCGTGATTGGAAGACTTCTGACCAGACTACGAAACAGAATGAATATTCAGATGAGTGAGCATAAAAGATGTCAAAACTGACCACTCCAGCTATGATGACAACTGGCCGCATTGGTGCAGTATCGGATGGCATCTCTTGTAACTGCAAGGACTGTTGAGCCGGAAAAAAAATGCGAGTGGAAGATTTCGCAAACATACCATCATTGCATCAATTTCAATATCATAATCTTCCGTAGAGTTGCCTTCACCGACGCAGGTGTTTTCGCGTACAGAGGCAGCTTTGCCTACAACAAAATACAACCTGTTGTCAAGCAGATCCATATTTGCTTGAGCTACGAAGTAATGTACAACGGCTTGAGCCGAGCAAGGAGAACCATCCTCAGAAAGGCCAAGATAGACCTCCCCGTTGTATGTGATGGTTTTAGGCTTCTGAGCAAAGATGTGGCGTGAGTTGGTCAAAGGAAGAATTCCAATCAGAATGGATGAACCGGGCATGATAGAGCTTATAAGTACAAAACTTGAAATCAATGAAAAGCACAAATAGCGCGACATGCAAAGATCAAATTTATACTTTTGGCAGTGTAGAAATGACATCAACATGTGGAGTCGCATTTTGTATTGGCGCGGGCGGGACATGGCCACAATGTTGTAAGACGTGGATCAGAGCTATGGTGTGAAATAGTCAGCAGGTTTCTGAAATCATCATCGTCACTAGTCGGAAACGAAATAGTATACGGCCTTTTTTCATTTTAATTTGTTTACACAAAGACAGCAACATTTTTGTTTCCTTTTAAGAGAAACTGAAAGGAGTCGCCCAAAGGATGTGTGGAATGATGACGGCAGAATGATGTATGGAGAGGAGGGATGACCGATAATGCAGTACTGTTATTGTTAACGATTTAGAAGGAAAAAATGAATTTCCGAATAGAGACGATGTTGCTCAAGTAAGTGCACGCGAGACGCACGCGGGTGGACGCCGCGCTCCAAGTCATCATAAGATTATATATTGTGGATGGAATAGGCCGTTCTTAGTACAAGCCTCGAGGCGTTAACGTTGCAGCTGTTAGATCATATTTGGTAGGAACAGTAAATGCAAATTTGCACAAGATTGCTCACAAGCGCTCACAAAACGCTCGTGTGGATATGCTTTTTAGTTAGCTCAGGTCATCATCCGTAAACACTCGCTTTTAGTTAAATTAGACCCTGATGCACATCAGACGCGAGATCGGTAGTTATCAATTCGATTATCAAAAAGATGTGTATGATCTATTGCATTATCTGTACAGTGCTATCTAATCCGAGTCAGATGACAACGAGCTCCCACCCTCTCTTGCCTGTGATGGTCCAATCGCTAATATATACTCCAGATATCTTTTGAACTCAACCTTCTCTGCGGGAGTAAGATTGTCAATCGCCTTGAGAATCTGACTGAACTTGGATCGATGGATTTGTCCACCGAAGGAGCCAACATGCAAGTCTTCCTCTCCTTGTTCAGACAATGAGCAGTGCATCAGCAAAATCACTGATTCCCTTTTTGTACTTAAATGACTTAATAAGCTCAAATAAGCAAAGATCAGCGGGCAACTTATTCAGACAAGTCAATCTCTGATTTTCGTCTTAATCTCACTTATCCCTCTGGTAGTAAGACTGAAAAAGTGTGCATTGCGATCAAACAGCAAAATCAGTAAGGAAAAATAAGGTGGCAAAATAACTTGGATCTATTAGTGATAGTACGGGTAGGATCCAGAAAACGGATAGGAAAAATGTGGAGAGTCTGTTATTGGCGTCAAAGGGAAAGAAAAAAAACACTACAGCTGAAGTTGTGTCAAAGCGCATAGGGTAGTATTCTATTTAAAAAAATGAAGTCAGCAGTGATAACGCTAAGTGGGGAGTGAAAAACTTCACAAATGAGGGCGCGCTCGTCAACACTCTGAGTCTCCTCAATATCTTCATCCGAGGCATCTCCCCTCGCAGACTTCTTCATGTACCTTCGTGCGCGCGAAATGATGATTAGTTTTGAGTCCTCGTTCCTGTTGCTGATCGACTTCCTGTATGCTTCTGTCTCGTTGTGCCAGTTAGTGAAGGAAAATTTGTAACATCCGCTCAACATCTTGCCCGTTGCCTTGTTGTGTTTTGCCGGGAGCTTGACAGAAAACTTGCCAGTGGCCATAGACGCGAGAACTTCATCGACATTGATGATGCTGTCTTCGACAAACTTGAGGGCATGTTCAAGCTGGAAACAATCAGAAAAGAAACATGGTTTTAAAAAAAACTCATGGCAACGACGCAGAGCACAATAACACCATCCATACCTTTGCCCAAAGCGAGCTCATCGGTATTCAATGCAGGTACACTGGCATAGTCAACAATGGCACTGAGGTGAGTGGATGCGATCATTTGCAGTACAAATGCGGACAGGTAGGCTGTCTCCCGTGATATGTTATCCGGGTCTTCATAAACGAATGCGCAATCCTTCAAGAGTTGCTTGGTGACGAGGTCATCTGGTGCATCTTTGATGCGAGGGCAGAAATCGACGACGATCACAAGTGCTGTCGAGCCAATGTTGCTCCTCCACTCTGAGAGCTGCTGTTGTGTCTAAAAATGCATATGAAAGACATGACAAAAAATAACAATAACTATGAACTTACCACTGCGAATACAGCACCATTGGGATTCACCTTGTACTTGACATCAGGGTAGACCACATCAAAGATCTCCTGCAGTGCGTCTGCCATCAGAGACTTGGAAATTTCCCATGGATTAGCTTGACTTCCAGCCCAGAGAAGTGCTGTAGACAAGAAGGCCTTCACCCACTTTGAGTCGGCAGGTACTGGGAGATCATTGTTGTGATATTGACCGCGCGGCTTAACAACCTCCTTTGCAGTAGCCTTCTGTAAGGCCTGTGGGACTTGGGTGCTGGGAGGAGGTACAACATCGTCATAATAACCCGCTGGGACTTGGGTTGAGGGCGGAGGCACAAGATCACTGCAGCTGGTAACCTCAGAGCTTTCTTTCTTCAACTTTTTGAATGGTGGAGGGGTAGCGCTCTGAGATACAATAGTAGATGTCTGAAATACACATGCTGAATCAGATCATCACACAAGATGAAAAAATCCACGTACTGATGTAGTTTTGCGAGAAACACGGCCCTTCTCAATGGCGGGAATTGATCTAACTTTGGGCAAGAGACTTTCCTGTAAATCATCAGCCGAAAAGTCAGTATCATCAATGGCCTCAGACGCGGTCTCATCAACAAAATCCCTGTCATCATCAGCCTTACGCTTGATACTACCAGGCTGAGCAGAAAACATTATCTGCTCAGGCTCAGAGTCACTCTCGCTGGCGGGAACAATTAGAGTAGACTTCTGAAATTGAACTGAGTCCTTGAACTGAATTGCCGATGGGAAGGATGACTTACTTTAATCGCCTGTTTCCCTTTCTTCCTAGGCAGTACAGCTGGACGCTGTTCAAGAGCCTCAGGGTCATCAAGACTATCGTCGCTGACCATGAGGACATCATTGGACTCAGGTGCGCTAATCGATTGCTTCTGATTGATGTGCACAGGTTTGGCCTTGGAACTGGTCTTGGTACTAGTGGTAAATACTGATGAGGGCGGAGTGGTTGCAGCGTGAGAAGCAGAAAAGGTGTTTGATCTGGAGCTTGGTGTAGCAGACCTCGGTTCAGCTGGTACATCGTTAGCCCAGTCGTTGATAAAACCGCCGAGTGAGAGTTTTTTAGTTGTACTTGAAACCGCACAATTTATAAAAAAAAAGAGTTGATTCACTGAGTGAAAACATTGTTTTGATGAAGAGTGTGTTGGACTCACGACAAAGGTGCCTTGTTGCCTTTCTTATCATTCAAGGCACATGCATCAGAATTGATGTTATTGGTCTTGCAGGCATTCTTGATGGCTTCCTTCAGCAACATTTTTGCTGCCTTCTCTTTCTTTTTCTTCCCACCAACAACTTCAGCTTCTCCGTCGCTCAGTAGAGTGTCCTCTGCATCAACACAAGTGGTTTGACCATCTGGTGAGTGTCAATATCAGTTTCTATTCTCAATGTGACGTTTATCATACCATCAGTAATATCTGTGCTAGAGGTTTTTTTTGCCTTTGGCTACAGGATGAGGACGAGGATGAACAGGCTTTGCCTTGATACCTCCCCGCACTTCGGCTTCAAGAGCCACCATATCATCCTCAATACCAGCGATCCATTGAGCGGCCTTCTGAATATGCGTGCTCATCTGTTCCGGGCTTTCGTTCGCATATGGGTCGTCAGTGACCTTCGAGTTCTTGGTATGTGGTTTCCTTTTTGTATTTTGCAGTCGTTCCTCAGCTTCGGCCTCTAAAACAGGCCTGCCAGGATGAGCGTTGGCATTCGCAGGACAAGTTCGACGGGTGGACACTTCTTGCGAGGGTTTGGGTGCCATGGTTGATGAGAGGAGTAGACGAGGTAGAGCAAAGGCGCAAAAAATGCAAGGTACTGGTCCCGGGGATTATGCTGACTTTTCTCTTACGTTCTTGAACTGCCGTAGGCAACGGCTCAATTTTCGACGGTACTACCCTGCTTAGTCCTAATTAAGTTACTCTCAGAGGTTCACATTCAATCATTCACTCGCTTTCTTTTCGAGTCTTCATTCTGCACTCTAGTGCCATGCTGCCCACTCGAAAGAAACATATTTCATATCAATTTCCTTGTGGCCGTCCTGGATGTAAGAAGTACTTCAAATCTCTCAGCGGACGCACAAGGCACCGCACTGCCATGCACCCATTTATGAGCAGGGAAACTACAAAGGGAGCTGGGTCGCAGGACATGGACATTGATGGTGAGTCCCGCATCTGTTTCACTCAGTAATTAATGTCTTTATTCTGACCCTGATTTCTTAAGAATGTGGTTCAAATTGCTCATCTCTGGTGCTGCCAGCACAGGAAGGAGATTATGACATGAACTTTGCTGGTGAGTCCCATCAGTGATACCCGACCCACAACAGTTATAACGCTACTTATTAAAGATGGACCACACCTTTCATCTCCACCACCACCAGGGCAAGTTGACGGTGATATTGGTGGTGAGTCTCAGTCTTGATGTCAGCGTGTTTTTTCTGACAGTGCCTTCTGAAGACGCCCGCCATTCATCTGTACCACCAGCTCATGAAGTAGACGCCGAATTCCATGGCACGGGCAAGAACTTGTTCTGCAACTATCACACTGGTTTGAATGGTGAGCACGCCTTATTCTTATAGCTATCTAACGCTAATGGAGTCCCAGCTCAACCATGTGATGCAAATGGCCATTTTTTACCGCCTAGTACTCCACCACTGCCTCTCACAGAACAGTTACCTGATGACTGGTCACCGTTCCGCAACTGTACTGAATTTGAGACGGCCGAATTCTTGTACAGCCGCGCACAAATGTCTGCGCCAAATATCAACACTCTCCTTGATCTCTGGGCTGCGTCACTCCTCAAACATGGCGATATGCCGCCTTTTGCGGATCATAAGGACCTCTACAAGACAATTGACAACATCCCCATTGGTGGCGTCAACTGGCAGTCCTTCAAAATTCAGTATTCCGGAGAGAAACCTGATATACTGTCACGAATTCCAAATACAAATCATTACTCTTTCTTGAACACTCGTAAAACACCTGTTAAGCGCCCATCACAAGCGCCTGTTGTTAGCGCTCAGTCAACATCTATACCTATAACCTTCACAAACCCTAACCCGAACTTCTCTATTCCATTAGCGCCCACTACTTCTATCTCCGACATCCCTGAATTCGATTTCCTTACTCAAGCAATCAAGTCACGTGACTCTAGAACCTTCGAGAACTCTTGCACAGCCATCACACGTTCCATGACATCATAGGTGTAGTTATATTTAGATCATCGTACGATTCTCTTTTCTATTTAATGATTGGCTAGTTAGTTCAGATTCAGATTCAGTCTCCGCTTCAATATATGTATATAGGTAGCTCATTGTAGTCAGTAGTTCTTCAGTTCAAACCTCTTTTGTATTAGCTTACTGCTAGCAATCCTAAGACGTCCCTGCTATCCTCTTCTCTTGTTGTGATATCCTTGTTTGAGTCCTAGTCTCTGCCCCTACGTTAATTCGTTATAAGGGTTGTGACATATACCAGCAGATGTGCCTTCATGGATGAGTCAACAATTCGATGTTTGGTATCGCAACCCTCGTGAAGTTGCACGCAACATCCTCGCTAACCCTGACTATGTAAATGACTTCGATTATCGCCCTTTCCATGAATATTCAGTCAGTAAAGAAGAACACCATTACCAAGACTTCATGTCGGGTGACTGGGCCTGGAAGCAAGTGGTACGTGTCTTTCTATTGGATGTTACTTCCTTGTATTGAATATTCTTTCCAGGATATCCTCGCTACTGACCCTGACACGCTCGGTGCGACATTTGTACCCATAATACTCGGAAGCGACAAAACAATGGTATCTGTTGGCACCGGAAACAACGAGTATTATCCGTTGTACCTGTCTATTGGCAATGTACACAACAATGTCCGTCGAGCGCATCGAGATGCGCTCTGTCTTGTTGGCTTTCTTGCCATTCCAAAGAGTAAGTCTTTGACACCTTTTCATACTGTAACTAATCTCAATCTTGCAGCTACCAATGAGCATAAGGAAACCGAAGAATTCTGTGACTTCCGACGCCAAATCTTTCATTCCTCACTTGCGAAGATACTCGAGACTTTCAAGAAACCTATGTCAAAGCCCGAGGTCGCGCGTTTTGGCGATGGACATTATCGACGTGTCCTTTATGGGCTAGGACCATATATTGCAGACTATGAAGAGCAGGTTCTGCTCACATCTATTGTGAGGAATTGGTGTCCAAGGTTCGTCTCACTAGCTCTTCGTGCTGTTCTCCTAATGTTTAATACTTTAAAGATGTCTCGCTCCCCGTGGAAAACTGGACGACGATGAAGCACTATGCCGATGCGAGGCACACAGAGAGGCTCTCTTCAAGGAAGACACGTCTGATGTCCTGCGGCGTGATTTTGGTATTGTGGGGTCTATTGTGGTATGATTTGTTCACTCGCTGCAGTGTTTGCCTGACTTATAAAAATTTAGCCTTTTACTAACGACTTTCCTCGTGCCGACATTCATCAACTGATTGCACCGGATATCCTTCACCAAATCATCAAAGGCTGCTTCAAGGACCATCTTGTGACATGGGTGGAGAAGTACCTCCATCATGTTCACGGTAAAAGGGAGGCTGAACGTCGAATGGATGACATCAACCGACGACTTGCTGCCGCTACTCCCTTCACTGGTTTGCGACGTTTTCCACAGGGTCGTGGATTCAAACAATGGACCGGGGATGACTCTAAGGCACTCATGAAGGTACATTTTTTTTCTGATTGACAGAAGATTTGTTGACTGATACATTACTGTTCAATGGCATCTAGATATATCTACCTGCGATAGAAGGCCACGTACCGACAGACGTCATCCGCACGTTTCGCGCGTTTTTGGAGTTCTGCTATCTTGTTCGAAGGAACGTCATCATGGAGGACACGATCTCACAAATAGAAGATGCACTACGTCGCTTTCACCACTATTGCTCAATATTTCTTTGGTTAGGCGTTGTCCCTACATTCTCGCTCCCTCGTCAGCACTCGATGAAGCACTATCCCGACCTTATCTGTCTATTCGGAGCGCCAAATGGTCTATGTTCGTCGATGATGGAAAATAAGCATATTAAAGCTGTGAAGCAACCGTGGCGTTGGTCAAACAGATATAATGCGCTTGGACAGATGCTTGTGACAAATCAGCGACTCGACAAAATCGCTGCTTTGCGTGTAGACTTCGCAAAATGTGGTATGCTCAATGGTACATGTCTTAGTGATGCCTCAGGTAAGTAAATCGAGACTATGATATCATGCTTCGCTGATTTCAATTAGGTTGTCTCGATACTTCATGCAATGACCCTCCTGCCAAACCTCCTGACACCAGTCCTGATGTAGAGACTCGCGTTTCTGCAGGCACATATGGGCCCATTTCGCACCTTTTCACAACTCATGACAATTGGCCTTCAATGCACGACTTGCACCATCAGCTATATTCGACTTCTATCATGTCCCTAGTCGTTTTATGCACAACGCACAGCTTTCCCGCGAAATGCGCCATAGGCGCGATACATTCCCGCACAATGCGCAGTATTCCCACACGCGCACCTTGCGCGCTTTCTCGTGCTTAAGCGCCCTGCAAGCGCCCTGCATTGCCCTCATCGCCTATCATCCAGGAACGTCCCTCTATGTCCACCCACCTCATTGGTACGTCATATCCCTTGCCTTGTGGTTTGTAACAAGCATTGCAGCGCTATTACATGTCATTACGTATTCATAGCGCTTATTGCTCCTATCCCTTCCACTTCCAATGCGATTTCCATAGTATAAAGTTTGCTGATTTACTACTTCATCATTATTACTCCCCTTTGCTGTACTTCCCTCGCTATTGGGTTTTACTTTAAAGTAGTAGTCACCACTTGGGCGCACTTTGTGTTTCCAATGGTTATCGTTATCCGCCTATACTAGACCTTTATCCGCGCTCATTATAACACTCGCTCTGCATTTGCACTCACTTTGCACATCCGCTTCCTTATCCGTTTCCTCATCCGGTATGTTCCGCACAATGCGCACCTTAGCGCTCACGTTCCCACGCTCGCGCTTACCTTAGTACGCTCTCTCATGCTTTGCGCTCACTTCGCTTTTCTTCTTGCGCTTTCGCGCATCCATCGCACTTCAAGGGTCTTTCATTCATCTGGTTCTGTGTTCAGTAGCAGTCCCCTTTAGGGTCGAACATTCTTGCATTCTGCGAGTATAGCAGCTAGGCAGAGCCAAGACTCACTTATACTGGTTGAGCATTTTTAGATATTTCATATCAGCCCAGCCAGGTTGAGATCGCCTCACTGATACTGCCGAGGCCAATGATGTTGACTAGGGTGAAATTGATGATGGGCCAACTGAAATCGAGGCCCATGTGCAGCTTGCACAAACATGCCGTGCATATTTCGATCCTTTCACTATATATCACTCACTCACATTGATTTTAGAATGAAAACGTGCCAGAACCATAGCAGCGCTCGCTATTGAGCTTTCTATTCCGAATGTGCAAGATCTTATTGGTCGCTTTCTCTTCGAACAACTTCACCCTCGTGACCCTCGTGACCATGCCACCATCCCACTGCACAGTTTCCCCATCTATGATGGGAAAATCTCTGTGGTTAATTCCGCATCATCAAGATTCTATGCGCCGAGTGACTTAAGTGGGATCGGAGGGATGCGAAGGGAACATATACGATCCTGCCCTAACTGGAGGAATGCGCACACTCGCTATGACTGCATGTTCATAAATGCGCAACCGGACCTTGAAGGAATGCGAGGGCTTCAAATAGCACACGCACTATGCTTCTTCTCCTTCAAGTACAAGTTCGTCTTGTACAAGTGTGCCATCGTTCATTGGTTTGATGTCATAGGTGACACCCCTGATGAAGACACAGGCATGTGGGTAGTTCAGCCGTCCTTTGATGGTCACTCTCTAAATATTTTGGTGATACACATTGACACAATCTATCACGCAGCTCATCTCCTTCCCCATTATGGTGTTGATTTCATCCCTCGTGCTATCAACTTTTCAAACTCTTTAGATAAATTCCGCGCTTTCTATGTCAACAAATTCACCGACCATCATGCATTTGAAATCGCATTTTAATATTGTATCACTCAGCTCCCCTCTCCCATATCTCCAATGACACATCCACCAAATTCATACTCCCTTCATTCATCTCTCTCGGCTCCCCTCTCCCATATCTCCAACGACACATCCGCCGAATTCATATTCCCTTCATTCGACCCGCTGTAGAGACTTGCATTTCTGTGGGCTCATATGGGCTCATTTTACGAATTCTGACAACTGGCCTTCATGGCACAACTCGCACCATCATCCACTATGACTTCCCTATAGAGCGCACCACTTTCCCACGGAACGCGCCATAGGCGCGACACTTTCCCGCACAACGCGCAGTATTCCCGCATGCGCGCCTTGCGCACTTTCTCGTGCTTAAGCACACTATGTCGCACAGCATCCAGGAGCATTCATCCATCGTCCAACCAGTCCCTCGGTATGTCCCTTTTCGTTATCTGACCATATTTAGCATATTACACTTCCCATTTCATTATGCACCCTTACTTTACATCACCTTACCTCATTTACATACTTAGAGCGCTCCCTATTCGGCTCCGAGCCCTGGGAGAGCGCTTAGGTAGAACTTACATACTCTGATGTTCGTTTTACACCCCACTTACACACCCAAACATTCCACCTTACCTTCCTACCACTCAGTATCTATCATCAGTTAGTTCCATGCAATGCATGTGTCCTTCATCATCTTGAGGCCCTAGCATCAGTCTATAGCTAGTGGGCACTATCAGTATCTGTCTAGATCCGCACTTTCCCTCTTATCAGTCCCAGTATCCGTCTTCTACACTTGTGCACTGCTTGCACTACCTTCCTGCGCTCCGCGCACCTTCGCACTTCACTTTCCCGCGCGCGCCTTCAGCGCATTTCTCGCGCTTTCACCGCCATTCACCAGGGTTGTTCAGCATCATTCCGTGGATCCTTGCTTTCCTTGCTTCCCCTTTAGGGTCGAACGTTCTTGCATTCTGCGAGTATAGCAGCTAGGCAGAGCTGAGACTCACTTATACTGGCTGAGCACTTTTCTTATATGTGCCTGCCAGGTTGTGATACCCACACCGCTCAGCTTCCCTCTCCCATATCTCGAATGACACAACCATCTCCTACCAAATTCGTACTCCCTTCCATTTTAATATTGTATCACTCAGCTCCCCTCTCCCATATCTCCAATGACACATCCGCCAAATTCATACTCCCTTCATTCATCTCTCTTGGCTCCCCTCTCCCATATCTTGAATGACACAACCATCTCCTACCAAATTCATACTCCCTTCATTCATCTCTCTCAGCTCCCCTCTCCCATATCTCCAATGACACATCCACCGAATTTGTACTCCCTTCATTCGACCCGCTCAGCTTCCCTCTCCCATATCTCGAACGACACAACCATCTCCTACCAAATTTGTACTCCCTTCATCAACGCCGGCAGCATCTTTCCGAAACACAAAATCCATCCACCTCCTCCAAAAGACCTACCATATGCCAGCTCACACGCAAGCTTCACATCCTCCAAGCGCAAATGCCCTCTCAGACCCTGCTCTCCTTCATGATACGCAGATCTTCACCTTCCTCCCACTCTTCGTACCACGGGACCTTCCTTGCAGGCGCACCTTCTACAGCAGTGGTCTTCTTCTTGCGTTTCCTCTTGCGTGTATTACTTTTACACTCATCAGTTGAATGCTTCATGCACAACTCGACGGTGGGTATCCCCAGACCATCAAGCTCTATGTCTTCCTCGTTCTGCCCACCAACAACTTCAGCGAACAGCTGTATCCCGTGCGCCCTGAAATCTTTGAAAGGGATGAGTGTCACACCTGGTGGGGGTTTTGGAAAGGGCAGAAAGGTAATGACCCATCTTGCATTCTCCTCCCATCTTGTATCCTCCATGGATGCTGCTCGCACGGCTGCCCGTGGCTTCATTCCTGCCAACGATGCCCAAGTAGAGGGATGGAAAAAGGTGTGTTTCGTCTCGTTTGATGATCTCGCTGGATGAGAGCTTATCCATGTCCCAACTGCAGGTAACAGAAGCCGTCCACTGGAGAAGGGCTCTTTCATTTTCCTGCGACTCTGGGCGTTGGGGCGCTGTGAAGGAGTAATTGCAACTAGGCTGGTTAGAAACTAGCGCTATTTATCCAAACAGGCACGAGTGTAATATTCGACCCAAGAGGACTGCTATGGAAGCAACTCCCTTCAAATATGCAAGGGTAGCGATGATGCGAAGGGCTAAATAACCTATAGTGACCTAAGACCAAAAAACCAATGAGTAGCGCTGTAGCGGTCAGCGACTAGCGACAAGTGAGTTCCGACAGAGAAACGTGCACGTAAGTGAGTTGCGCTATGCAAGTTGTCCTATGCGATAGCGCTATGCGACGTCTGACTAGCGACAGTGAGAAGAAATCAAAGGAAGGGAAAGCGAGGAATAAGGTATGATGGTGCAAGTAGAATGCCTGATAGTGACTAGATTATAGCTCGACTACCAATAGCGATCCCGACGTTGCAAAAATCAAACTTATGAGGTAACTTTAGCGACACGCACTTAAAGCAAGTCAAGCGACACGCGATCAGAGAGGTTGGCAAGAGTGGAATCGATTGGACCAAAACTAAGATATAGTGACTAAAGTGACTCCGACACCAGCAAAGGTCCAGGGAAGGGAAGTACTGTACTGTATGTGCGACGGGTCATTTTATCATACTGTGTAAAAGTTTGGGATGCGTAGGCGAGTATAGTAGCGACACTGGTGAGGGCATGATGTAGTGACAGGTAATAGAACATGCAGTGCTGCGGAGCATGAGGACACATGTAATAAGACCTGCGACTGATGAGTAGTGACATTTAAGGAAATATAACACACCAGCGGAGGTAGGTGGACATAGGCAGGACATGGGAGGGTGGAACACCTAGACGTCGGACCGGGTAGCGTGCTATGGGAGAAAAGTGGTTCCAAAGCGGATAGCTTGGGAGCTGAATAGCGCTGGTGACTAGCGTCTTACTCTTTTCTTCTAGGCAAGTCAAAATATGCCTATGGCATTCATACGTGCCTAGCGCCGGTATGATTGTCACACCAGTCCAGCGATTGGGCACTTTGATGCAATTCTCAGCTGATACAACAGAATGCTTACTCATCACACATTGCAAGGATCTTTTCTCACGGACGGCTTGGCAAAGTAAAGATTTCACAGAGCAGTGCGTGCGACTTCTTAACTGCCAAGAATCAATGGAGATTTTTGACCTGTACACGCTATTGACTTCTCGTGAGGTGCCATTGGTCAATGCCATGCATGCTGAGGAGGAGGAGGTTGCGATGACTAACCCCTCACTCTCATGGGTTTCCCACATTCTTCCCGATGAAGTTAGGTCGGTTCGTGGTCCTCAACCAGTCCGTAACCATTTCCTCAAAGGCATCTTCTCTGGAGATGCGCAGACCGCTTTCAAGTGAATGTCACTCCGGACTACAGATCACTGTCGCCGGCTGAAATATGCTCAAAATACATGCTTCCCAACTTCAATTGTGTGCTTGCTGACTTTATCATGCAATCATCATTGTCCAGTGGTGAAAATTCCCGCTGGGACCCCAGATATGGGCGCTACCAGGTGTGGAACAAATTTCAGCTGCAACTTCATTCAGCAGTCCAGCAACATGTCATCATGTTGAGCAGAGTCATGCAAGCATACCCTCCAAGCGATGATTTTCCCTTTGGCAATTGTGATACCGTTCTCATTGATGCCATGGGCATTAATGGCAAAATGAGTATGTGTATTCTATGCGCCTACATCCTAACAATATTAATGCGATATATAGCGAGTTACATTGCACAAGTTTGACTGGTTTTTCAACCGGTGGTTCGATGAGGTTCCAATCTGGAACTACCATCTTATCTCTCCAACCCACTTCTCTACGTCGAATTCTTCCGCTTCATTTCCAGTCCTGATGATCACCCCAAACTCATGATGTGGACTGTCGAGCGCACGTACATGCAGGATGAAAACGGTGTGGGTATCACAACCTGGCATGCACATATAAGAAAAGTGCTCAACCAGTATAAGTGAGTCTCAGCTCTGCCTAGCTGCTATACTCGCAGAATGCAAGAACATTCGACCCTAAAGGGGAAGCAAGGAAAGCAAGGATCCACGGAATGATGCTGAACAACCCTGGTGAATGACGGTGAAAGCGCGAGAAAGCGCGCGCGGGAAAGCGAAATGCGAAAGTGCGCGGAGCGCGGGAAGGTAGTGCAAGCAGTGCACAGGCGTAAAAGATATATACTGAGACTGATAAGAGGGAAAGCGCGGATCTAGACAGATACTGATAGTGCTACTAGCTATAGACTGATGCTAGGGCCTCAAAACGATGATGGACACATGCATTGCATGGAACTAACTGCCAAGTACATGGTGGTAGAAAGATGTGGTAGGAAGCTAAGGTGGTAAAGTTTGGGTGTAAAACGAACATGAGAGTATGTAAGTTCTACCTAAGCACTCTCCCAGGGCTCGGAGCTGAATAGGGAGCGCTCTAAGTATGTAAGTGAGGTAAAGTGATGTAAAGTAAGGGTCCATGACGAAATAGGAAGTGTAATATGCCAAATATAGTCAGATAACAAAAAGGGACATACCAAGGGACTGGTTGGACGATGGATGGATGCTCCTGGATGATGCGCGACACAGGGCGCTTAAGCGCGAGAAAGCGTGCAAGGCGCGCATGCGGGAATACTGCGCGTTGTGCGGGAAAGTGTCGCGCCTATGGCGCGTTTCGTGGGAAGTGGTGCGCTCCATGGTGGAAGTCATGGTGGATGATGGTGCGAGTTGTGCCATGAAGGCCAGTCATCAGAATTCGTAATATGAGTCCATATGTGCCTGCAGAAATGCGAGTCTCTACAACGGTAACCGCCACAGGGAGGGGGCTGTTGTACAAGTGACGGATGTAACACTTGCGGTTGAACTTATACCATGTTTCGGCGAGAAAGTGGCCAGTGATGTTTCATTGGCCACCTGTTTGGAACGCTACGAGCGTTTCTTTTTGAACAACTTCGCAGACAAAGAAAGCTACCATACATTTAGTACTGAATTTGTGTAGACAGCGACTCAATTAGCATGATCAATCACATCGACTATCTATCACATCTTATCAACGAAAGATAATTGGGCTTATGTTTTATCAGCCAAATGTGGTGTGTAATATTGGCATTCAACATCTCCACCAATCACATGAGTGCGCTAGTGAAGTCGTAAGTGTTTGTAAGTGTCCGTAACGCGCTGTAAGTTAAGCGTTCATTTCAGTGGTTTTGCAGATGTCGGTGGGCCATGTTATCTAAGGTTTATACGTGTTTTCATCTTTGCTCACCAGCAATGTTCCATGCATCGACTAATCATCTCTTCCCCTCGTCACACCAACCAATCATCCGCCACCTCCAGCGTGTCCTCGATGCACTCCCCTCAATTGGGCAGATACAAAAGACAGACGACTCCACCATCTTCAGCAATTGAAAGATGCAAAAGTCAAGTAAAAGTCCAACATTGTCGCATATTCATGTGTTCCGGGCTCTCTAGATCAGATCTCATTCAAATTGGTACTAAAACAAAATTTGAAACTTTTGAAACTGGCTTACAAACACCAGCTAGATGCTTCAAATTCCTGGCTAAAGCTTGAGCAAACTCAGCCCAATGCACCTCAATTCAAAGTCGGGCAAGTACCGCAGGGCGGTGCCTCCTAATACTTGTCAACGTGTCCACTGTTTTACAAGACTTTGAGCTGACAATGCTTGAGTGTGCTCGAAGGTGATGGACCCTACAGCACCTTCCACACACGGAGAGCTCTAATTGTCGTGCTCCAGCCCAGCTCGATCTAAACATTTGACGAGTCGATCAGGTTTCTGGTTTGAATTGCTATTGGTGTCTGAAACGAGCAAGTGTTGTGTTGTGTTGTTGTCCAGTTGCCTGTTTAGTGGACTAGCTTGTGCAAGAAACCGAGGCATCAGATGTCTCGAACGACCAGGAAGATGGTAACACACATGTGGTTGGCGTCACTGCTAGTGATGCAAGTAAATCCTTCGCCAAGGGAGCAGGTGGACAGTTTAAAGCTGCGTACTAGGGCATTGAGAAAAAAATCGACAACATCAAACTTAAGAATGGTACTCACAGACAGTTGAGTGGTGTTTCATGGTGGTAGGAGCAATACTGTAAGTGCATGTTGCTCACCACCGTGGTTAGTATGCATATCAAAAAGGTAGCACCATACAAAGCATGGTGGAGAGTGGAAGAACATTAGTTATCCTGACCCTTGTCAAGGTGAAATTCGTCCGAATCTGTTACATAAACTGACATAAAATGCTAGATAGCTAGATAGTACTGTGAACACTGTGCACATATTAAAAAGAAAGTAGGGTGGAACACACGCGCATTGTCACCGTGCATGAAGAGCGGCAGGCGAGGCAAAAAGGAGGTGAAGTAGTGAACCTGATCCTAGATGTCCACTAGAGTCCACGCTGTAGAGACTTGCGTTTCTGCAGGCTCATATGGGCTCATATTACGAATTCTGATGACTGGCCTTCACGGCACAACTCGCACCATCACCCTCTAGTCATTCCCTGTAGAGCGCACCACTTTCCCGCGGAACGCGCCATAGGCGCGACACTTTCCCGCACAACGCGCAGTATTCCCGTGTGCGCGCCTTGCGCGCTTTCTCGCGCTTAAGCACACTATGTCGCACAGCATCCAGGAGATCCATCCATCGTCCAACCAGTCCCTCGGTATGTCCCTTTTCGTTATCTGACCATAATTAGCATATTACACTTCCCATTTCGTTATGCACCCTTACTTTACATCACCTTACCTCACTTACATACTTAGAGCGCTCCCTATTCGGCTCCGAGCCCTGGGAGAGCGCTTAGGTAGAACTTACATACTCTGATGTTCGTTTTACACCCCACTTTTCCACGACTTTACCACCTTACCTTCCTACCACTCAGTATCTATCATCAGTTAGTTCCATGCAATGCATGTGTCCTTCATCA